TGGGTGAAGGTCCTCTTCATGCTGCCTCTGATCTCAGCTTCCTTTGTTCCTAAATAGGCCAGTGATCTGGTGGAATGTGGTGTGCCACTTTTGTGACCTCCCCCTACTCTACATTATTTTTGGACTATATTTAAGCTTCTCAGCAGGTCCCATTTAGAATTCAGAATGAAAAAACACACCCTCCAACATTTCTCCGATGAAAATAGGAATGTCCCATTCCACAGCAGCAACAACAACAACTGTAGTTATTATTGTTATTGTACTATTTACACCTCATCCACAGGCACACTAGGCATCTCCCGACATATATAAAAACATAATGAAACATTAAACATTACAACACCTCCCTTTACAGGGCTGCCATCAGAAGGCTCGGGGGTCAGATAACTCCATACCCTCCAACATTTCTCTGATGAAAATAGGGATGTCCTAAGGAAAAGTGAGATATTCCAGGATCAAATCAGAAACTGAGACGGCTTCTGTAAATCCGGGACTATCCTTGGAAAATAGGGACACTTGGAGAGTCTGAAAACCCCCCAGTTAAAACAGAATACTGTACAGTCATGGGAATAGGGTGGACCTGAAAACACACCTCTCAGGTGTCAAAGGCTGGGGTAAAATGGCGCATCTTCAGCATTTACCAAAAGTGCACCTCTGTGGGGAGTGAGTTCCTCAACTTTGCGGCTGACACAGACAATGCCCTCTCCCAAGACCCCAAGACACACACACCCCATACTTCGGAGGTGGGGCGGCTGTAAGAGCTAACAAGAGGGGCCCCTCTTCTGATCTTAACGTTCATGGGGCTCTATAGAGGTGCTCTTTCAGGTATTTGGGGCCTAAGTTGTTTAGGGCTTTAAGCACGAATGTGAGCACCTTGAATTGAGCCCAGAAGCAAGCAGGCAGGCAATGTCTCTGCTCATGACCTGCCTTCCGAGCTCCCCACAGGCATAAGACTGACCACCGTGAGGAACAGGATACTAGACAACTTTTGTCGAATCTAGCAGGGCTCTCCTTCAGGATAGGTGGTGAACCCTCTGGAAACCCTGCCTTCTCTTTGCGTCGAACGTCACATGGCATCTCGGTTTTTCCAATCCATGTCTGCCCCAGGGGAAAGGGGGCTGATGACTCAGCATTTGTCAAAATGTCTGGTATGAGAGTTTGTTTTATTAATGCGGGTGAAATAATGCTAATACAGAGGAAAGGCAAAGATGCTTGCCGAAAGGCCCGAAAGTGTCTGTGAGGCTAAGCAAGCGTTCGCCGGGTGAAGAAATGCCGCTAGCTGCTTATGAAAGCAAACTGTTCTTTTGATTTTAAACCTTTCACCTTGCGCCTTTCTTTGAATGATGCCATTCAGAGAATGAAACCTAATCCTCACATAGTTTATCCATGCTCAGTTGCCTGCCAACAAGGCTGCTAACAAAGAGGAAACTACTTCTATATTTGCAGACTCTCACCATCCAGCACAAGCACATCTCTCTCTCTTTCTCTCTCTTGCAATATGGGTTTTGTCATCATTCCACAGGTGAATCCCTGAAGCCCAGGGGACAACAATCCCACCAGCCAGCCCAGAATTACCAGCTTACAAAATGAAGAGCAGGGCCTGATGCTGGAAGACGTATTAACTTGGGACTCTTCCAAATGACCAGTTTCTCAAGCATTCAACCCAATTGTGTGTGTGTGCGTGTGCGTGTGCGTGTGCGTGTGTGTGTGCACGCGTGTGCGTGCGCTCGCACAAAATTTGTGTGGAAGATAGGCAATGTCTCTGTCAGGGATGAATAAAGACCTTTAGAGGCCCTAAGCACTGAAAGGGTGATGGTGTTCCCCAAATCTAATTCCAAACAAAACACCACTAAACCATAAAATCATAATTTAAAAATAAAGGAAAACATATTTATTGCAACACATGACAGGATCTGATTTCCTCAAACTATTTTGATCTATGATAGTTGGATCCTCCTTCATCACTGGTTTAGGTGGGGATAAGTAATAAAAACAGAACAGAAAAATGTGGCAACAGGGTGGAGTGAAGGAAGTTTAACCAAGTTATGATTTGCCCCCCATGATGATTTGTTGCTTATTTAAAAATACATCAAATGTAAAATTCTTTTTTTAAAAATAAAATAAAAATCTTTTTCTTTCTTTCTGCTGCCCCTGCTTTGCTGGTGCCCTAAGTATGTGCTTAATGATACTCATAATTTTATTATTTTTATGCCACCCATCTGACTGGGTTGCCCCAGCCACTCTGCGCAGCTTCCAGTCTGCTGATTGGGTAATCCAGCGCTGATCACTGACTGTTCATTGGCCATTCTATGGCCCAGTTTGAATGTCACAGTAAGCCAGTGTATGGAGTTACTGTGACTGTCCAAACTAGTTCCCAGAGATGGTAAACCTTGGGTACAGGTGCCAGGGGCTGAACCTGTGACTTGGCTCCCAAACCCCTTCCGTGAACAGAAAGTGCTTAGATCCAGTGGAGGTTTCCATGAAGTGAGGAGGAGACCATTCTGAACCATTCACTCTTCTCCCTGCAAACCTGCACCCCAGCATGCCACTTGAATATCATAAAGACAAGTGAAACCTGCAACAAAATGTTGCAGTACATTCTTCCTCCTAAAGGGACTGCCCCTCCTAGCCAGTTATTCTTTCCAAACAGGGAATTCCACTCCCCCTCTGATATGTCAGCATTGTGTTTGCGCTCTTAATTATTATTAAAAAAAACCCTTCTGTAAGCCTTTTGTTCCCCCTGCGCATACTGATAGCTCCTGCTTGCTTCTCGTTTGATCCATTTTGACTACAATTCAAGCGGCACTCACTACCTGAGTTTTCTGTGAGAAGGAATGATGCTCCTTTAACATTCTCTAACCTCAATTCTTGCACCCAGTCACAACAGCTCATCTTCAGGAGCGCAGGTGGTTGGCCTAGCCTGACTTTTGAAGCAGCAGTCAGCATTTATGTGACCTTTTTAGGCTTGTGGAAACATAGGGGGAGTTTTAGCCAGGCTGTCCAATAAACGTGACAGCCATGAACCCTAAAGGTCATGTGAAAGTGGAATGAAACACAAGCTGGGTTTTTAAAAAGAAATAAAAGGTGTTTAAACTTGTTGTGAAGGCATTTGTTTATCTATGGCTACTGACCAAGCAGCTAAGAACGGAGCCTTTGACGAGGGTTTCCATATTTCAAAAAGTGAAAATCTGAAATCTGGACACAAGAGTTGTTGAGCTCTTTTTGTAATTTCTAAAAAGAAGAAGTTTTTGAGCTATTTTTAAGGGAATTCGTCAAAATCTAGACATGGGTTGCCATATGTCCAGATTTTCCCAAACATTGCAGCAATTTCCGCCCGGACATTGCTTCCAACTGCCGTACTCTGGCTATGTCCGGGAAATTCCGGACTTATGGCAACCCTACATTTAAAGAACATGGTTTCCCCCCAAAGCATCCTGGGAACTGTAGTTTGGCCGTCACAGAGCTACAATTCCTAACCCCCTTAACAGACTACAGTTTCCAGGGTTCTTTAGGGGAAAGCCATGTGCTTTAAATACATGGTGTAAACATAACAGCTTTCTTGGGGTATCTGCTTAGCTGTTGTCAGAGACAGATAACTAACTAGATGGGCCCCTGACATGATCCATCAATACATATTATGCGTTTTTATGGTGGTCCAAAGTGCACATCCAGTGTACATTCCCATATAAATCTTCACGTTCATCTTAATTTTCCTCCTGTGTTTTGCAGCCCTCCTAAAGCAATGAAGAATTGCTAAGGATGGGCAAATTCCTGATGCATGTCAGGATCTAACAATACCTTTGGGACTCCAAAAGCAAGCTTGTGGCTTTGGTAATGTGATATACGAGATCACGATGGCAATTAAACCCCCTCCTATTACTGCAGACTCTAGAGTTTTTCCTTGTGGTTCCCATGATGAGGCCATAAACATTGCTCATATCCCGCTAGTCAAGCCCTCCCTTTTAATACCTGTTGCACGTTAAGTGTATTTTACGACACAACTGAAACACACATAAATAATTAAGAAGCGCACCAGCTTGAAAAAAAGAATGGCAAAACCTACACTGTTTATTCTCCCAATTGCTTGAGCCCATTTGATCATGAGGGACAGAGAGGGAGAGACCAGGCTGCTCTAAAAGATCTCACATTTTCCATCAGCTGAACCAAATCCTCCTTTGATCTGTTAATCCCAAATTTATAAGGTTAGGAGATAAGCAAGCGTAACCAAATTCCTTTTTCTTTTTTGTATACCTAATAGTCTATGAATCAAGGAATCAAGGCAAACATAATAAGCTTCTTTGCTATGTTCCCCACCCCCCTTTTAACCTCTTCTTGCTGAATAATTCAAGGTCTGCATTTCAGGGTCTTTTTTTTTTTTACTAAAAAAAGAAAGAAACTCCAACTGTACATGCAGAGCACTTTTCCATGTGAGGAGCTTTTTCTCTCCCTCCCCCAACATTTTTTTTTTTTTGCATTCCTTAAATTTGCATTCATAATATTTTGATTTTGTATTTCTGACACAGTAGCTGACTAGCTTACTCTCCTTTGTGGGGGCGGGGGGGGGGAGCAGGAGTTCCCTAGTTTCTTTGAAGTCCTGTGGAGGAGAAGGCCTCTTTTGTCCAGGAAAGCCTCAAGGCAGATCTTAGGTTAGTGAGGAAGCCAGAGGTTTGAGGCTAGTTAAATGTCACCCAAATGGCTCTCTTTATGTATTGAAATATCAGTCTTCTCCTCTTAGAGGAAAATGAATCGCATTACCACTGAAGGAGGCATGTCTTTGTTGGAGGAGACTGCTTGTCTACTGCTTAACAAGAAGCTTTTAATTCTCCCTCCACACACACTTTTATAGATTTCTGGTCAATCCAACCGTGGTTGCGCCATGTTAGAACTTCAAGACAAGAGTGTTGTTTGGGTGAGGTAACAGAGCACAGACTCATAGCGTTGTAGAGTTGGAAGGAACTACAAGGGTCATCTAGTCCAACCCCATGCAATGCAGGAATCCTTTCTCCAAGGTGGAGCTTGAACCCGTGGCCCTGAGATTAAGAATCTCATGCTCTATCAACTGAGCTAAGAAGAGCCAGGCGTTAGCTGTTGGGGTCATCCCAGACCATCTATTTATTGTGTATTCATCTTGAGCATTTGCAGAACATTTGCAGGGAGGTTAGATGGTGTTAGCTACTGTCAGGGAACTGCCATCGGAGCTAGAGGCGGAGGGAAGGCTCCAAAGGGATGCAGGAGAGGGTCCCAGTAGGGAGAGAGGCAGCCCATCTGCTGGGGAAGGAAATCAGCGTAACACCAGTGGAGAAGGGGGGCAGGTGGGGGAATCGGGGAGGAGGCTCCAAGACTCTTCGCTGGAGACCAGCGGAGAGAGTACGGGTCCTCCGCTGCCCACACCCTCCCTGCGCAGAAGACTTCCGCGCAGGGAGAGTAGGAGGAGACTTGGCGTCAAACAACTTTTATGCTGGAAAAGGTTTAAGAAACGCCCACTGACGGATTCTGCCAGCGACTGAGGCAGTCACGATGCTGGAGGCTGTTCAGTCAGAAAGGGTTAACCAGGTAACCTAGCCAGGAGTGGCGGCAACTTACGCATGAGCAACCCCTAAACCCATTACAGCTACGTATTGATTGTTCGGTCTGATTCTGTGTGTGGAGGTTATATGACTGTTGTATCAAGCAGTCATTATCCCACAATTTGCAGTGCATTTCTCCGTCACTGCAAAATGTCCAGTTTTTGTTTTCTCGTTTGGAGCAGGGGTTCTCAAACAGGGAGGTGCGGCCCTCCCAAGGAAATTGCGTAGCAATTTTAACCTCCCACCCCCAAAAAAATAAATAAATCTCGAAGCCACATGCTTTCCTATCGAACACACATTTTGTACTTGGTTTAACTCGGAGAACATTTCCGTTTATGCTTCTCTGGCCATAGAGGTCTCTGCAGCACTCGGCCAATCCTAATCCAAAAGTATTGCTATGGCAAAGAGCCCCGCCCCTCCTGTGTGTCTCTAATCAGAAAAAATCATTTGAATGATCAGACTGCCTGAAAGACAGCCCTACTATGAAGGCTTCTACTACATCTCTTGTTATGAGGCTAACCAGCAGCCACAGTATTGACCTAATAGGGCTGCCTTGAAGGGGCAATCTGAGCATGCTCTGAGCCCGTTTCCTACAGCCGTACCTCAAAGTATGTTCTTTGTAGCTCAGCACAAAAAGCTGTGCTGACAGCATGTGACATCTTTGCTGAAACATCTGCACTGGCTGCCCATATGCCACCAGGCCAAATTCAGGGCTCTTCTGTGAACACACAAAGCCCTGAACAATTTCAGTCCAGGGTATCTTCAGGAAGGGCCTGAGCCATTCCATCCCTGCTCAGTCACAGAGGTTATCCAGAGGAGTGTCTTTAGTTGTCCCCTGTGTCACAGAGGCCCAACTGGCCTCAACTAGACATCATTCACTGATTGTTGCCAGCCCCATGCTGTGAGACTTCTGGCAGAGATTCTGCAGTTACCCTCACTTTTGACTTTCATCTGTCTCTCGAATACCTCTTCATGCCAACAGGCCTATGCAACCATTTAAATTTCCCTGATTAGCCAGTCATTTTAATGATTACTTGGTATTTTATGTTTCATTGTACTTCTATACATTGTCGTATACTGCCACGGCTTTTTTCAGCCAGAACTCGCCAGAACCCAGTTCTAGAACCTCTCAGGTGGGTGCTGTTGTCATTATAAGAGAACAAGGGAGGCGTACATGGTGAGTTCCAACACCTCTTTCTCTGCAAAAATAATGCTGTTATTATCTTGGTATTTTATGTGAGTTGGTCACACGTACATATTTTTTTATAAATAAATAAAACTATTTTCCCCTAGTTGCATTTGTCTGCCCTGTTTCATGTAATGCTAAAGGTTTTGACTCATTGGCAGAAGGATGGTATAAAATGTAATAAATAACCAGTTAATCAAGAAGCAAATTAATTAAAGCAGCAGAATCAAACTGTCCAGACAAACCAAAACTATTTTAATGGGCAGAGACAGGACGATGTCATCTCCCCTTGAAACAGGATGATGACCTTCCCTTTGCTCTTAGAAGGGTCATTTTCAATGTGATCTTATATCACACCCATACGGTACATCTAAAACACATTTAAAGCTTACTGGAAATTGTGGTTTGTTAAGGGTTCCAGGAACTGTTTCTCTGTGAGAGGTAAACTACAGTTCCCGTGTGCTATAAATGTGCTTTTAAATGGTGTGGATGTGACTTCAGAAGTAAGTCCCATTGAATTCAGTGGGGCTCATTCACAGGGAAGTGGAAATAGGATTGCAGTGTTATATGTAAATCAACCTCCCCGCCTTTTCCTCTGAGGTACCTTGGCATGGGGAGAATCATGTGCCATTATGGGATACCAGTTCTAGGGTCTTTGTTATTCGTATGAAAAACAAAATATTTGATTTGAAGTAGAAAGTGAAATCTCAGAAGGGGTGTGTGTGTAGCTTTGATGGTGTCCCTTTAATTGTGTGCCGGAGGTAGCCTTCTGTTGGTCAATCAATAACAGGGGTAATATAATAGAAAACAAAAATACTTTTATCTCTAGAAACCAGCCTCAAATCTATTCTGGATCAAAGTAACAAGAGTATCTAGTGTCTGTTAAAATGTCCCAAGAAAGAACAGTCAGGCAGCTTCTTTCTTTGGTTTTTTGCATATCACACAAATCTATTCTTGGCATGCTTTAATTCCATAGAAAATACACATGCCTTAGTTAACAGTCAGGCCACCAAGAAAAGAAAGGAAAAGACTCTAACATTGTCACATGTCTTTGCTTTATGCTGGGCTCAAAAGCTTTTAAAGAGCAATTTTAGAACAGCACACATAGTGTATGGAATAAATTTGCTTTTGCTCTCATTAGAAGTTAAATTTATCCTCCAAGAAACTGGCCTTTGTGCTGGGTGCAGATGACAGCTGGTGGGGTGGGAGCTTCCTTCAAGCTAGACACATAAGGAAATTTGAACAAGAATGAGAAGACTAATTGTCCTACTTAGCCAGAATCAGCATTTGTCATTGAGAGAGCCTTTGCAGAACACCAGTGTTCCAAAAGTACCACATCCTCCTCTGTGAACCTGTCCCACCAGTTGACATCTAAATCCCTGAACAATTGGCCTTCAAAGCCATTTGTTGTGCATGGTCAGGAGTTCAGAGGGGCAGCTTCTACCCATCTAAGCCAGCTGAGAGTCAGCCCTACCATTAGGCTGTCATGATCCACAGGGATTTCCACCACTGAGGAAGGGTGATGGCCCAAGCAAAGGGAGGTCAGTAGTTCCTGATTCTCAGGGCAAGACAAGGCAAGAGTCAGCACCTGAGAAGGAGATTAAAACTGCTTTCACCAAGGCAAAACATCCAAGGTGTCTCAGCAAGTTCTTGGAGAAACTGGCTGAGTTTTATGACAGGGCCAGGTAGTTCTTGAGAACACAAGAGTCCTGCTTCATGAGGCCAAATGTCCATCTAGTCCAGCATTCTGTTCCCACAGAGGCCAATCAGATATCTAGGGCACACCCACAAGTGGGACATGAGCACAATAGTCATCTCTCACTCATGAATCCTAAGCAACAGGTATTCAGAGGCACACGACTTCTGATAATGGAGGCAATATATTGACCAGTAGCCACTGGCTACTGGTTTGCTTCAAGCTTTGTTTCGAGAGAAGGAATGGTTGTGTGTGAAGGGAGGAATGAGCATGTGAACGCAAGGTCCTTTGTCACTCTTTAAGTAATGGGAAAGGATGGTTTGACACAACATCTAAACTGCTCCACTGTGTTGATCCAGGAACATAGGCTGTGTAGACATTACTGCTTTCTCTGGTTCCAGCGCACTTCCTACCACTGGTGTTTAAAGTCAAGTACACATAACATTAACCACAATCCATTTATATCCCGAGCTACTTCCCTGTAAGGAAAGGTTACAGCATTTGGGACTTTTTCGTTTAGAAAAAAGGCGAGCAAGAGGTGACACGATAGGAGTTTATAAAATTATGCATGGCGTGGAGAGAGTGGAGAGAGAAATTCCCCACCACCCCATAACACTAGAACTCATGGACATCCAAAGAAGTTGAATGTTGGGAGCTTCAGGGGAGATGAAAGAAAGGACTTCTTCCCACCCACTGCCCCAGGAGGCAGTGATGACTTTAAAAGGATTAGACAAATTGATTAGACAGTTGGAGGCAGCAGTGCTTCTGAATACTAGTTGCTAGAAACTACAGGAGAGGAAAGTGCTCTTGTGCTCAGGTCCTGCTCACTGGTTTCTCACAGGCATCTGGTTGACCAATGGGAGAGCAGGATGCTGGACTAGATGGGCCATTGGTCTGATTCAACAGGCCCTTCTTATGTCCTTATGGTGCGAAAAACACCCTAGTCACTGTCATGGACCACCTGGAAGAAGCTTGCAGACCCTGTGGAAAGCAGTCCATTAGGGCAAGTGGGACACTGCCTCACCATCCTCAGTCTTGGTTCCTCCAAGCCCAGCTGCCTTCTTATTTACAAGTCCAATGAGGTTGCACTGCCTGTCAACTTCCTTCTCCATAGTTTCTGCCTCGCTCCTGCAGAGCTCAACAGGAAGAAGGAGGATGGGACAAAAGTAGAATTAGATGGCTCCACCAGACATTGACTCTCTGGCTCCACCTACTGTTGGCCTCCGCACCTTCTGCCCCACCAGTTCCAATGGGCACCAGCCACCACTGCCAGCTGACCATACTTGGGGAATCTCTGGTCTATGGTTTTTCCCATTGTCTTGTTCCTAACCTTTTAACTGGATAAGCTGCATTTGAAGCTGGAGGGAGATCTGCTGTTTGCAAAACCTCCTATGCATCCTAGGTATTCTTTGCCTGTGAGTGCCTAGTGAATAAGGGTATAGACTAAGGTTACCAGATTTTTTTCAATGAATCCGGGGACACTTTTCAACTTCAGTAGGAATGATAGAATTTTGTATGGGGACTGATTTGTAAATCTGGGGACTGTCCCCGGGAAATGGGGACTTCTGGTAACCTTAGTATAGACTATGGGAGAAAATCACTTCCATACCACTTTACTGAAGTGTTATTTGGATTCAGGAAGGGCTTGCTGAAAGATAAGTCGCCCTTTGGTATGTAGCAATGTATTGCTCTCTCCCCCCATTTGCTGACTATTTCCCCCGCGTTTGCATTATGCAAATTGTCCCTGTCCCCCTCTTCTTCTCCCACACAGCGTGAGATAGGATTGGTTCTCTCTATTCAACAAAAGTGGCTGGGAATAGATGCTTCTATCTATATTGGATGCCTGTGCCTTGGCACTCAAACGCAGAAAGAAAACAATATTGGTCTGCCCGTAGGAGGCTGAATTTGTAAATATACATTAGTTTGGAAGTAGAATGAGAGATGATAAAATATTCAGAAAGTAGCTTGCACAGCCAGGGAGCAGATTAATGATTCTGCACAGGGGATATAAGTATATGTGATACGCACCATAAAATATAGATTTGGAACTGGTAACTGGGAAGACGCGGCACTGAAAGGCTGATCGGCTGCTGTCTGTAAAACACACACACAACTTTCTGTGAGGTTTGTGAGCAGCAGATTTCCCCCTCCCCCTGATGATGCAAACTTAAGAGCCACAGCTGCATGGGGGACCGGTCATAGCTCAGTGGTCCAAGGTTCAATCCGTGGCTTTTCCAGGTAGGTTGGAAATATTCCTTGTCTGAAACCCTGGACAGCTGCTGGCAGTAAGTGTAGACCAGGGATACCCAGTGTGGTGCCCTCCAGACGTTATTGGATGCCAACTTCCATCAGCCCAAGCCACCATGGTCAGGGTTAATGGGAGCTATAGCACAGTGACATCTGGAGGATGCTGCATTGTCTACCCCTGAGATACAAACTTCTGAGTTAGATGGACCAATGGTCTTACCCAGGAGAAGACAACTTCGTGTGTGTGTGTGTGTGTGTGTGTGTGTGTTTGCTTTTTAAACTGTATGGGCAGGTGCGCCCCTTGATCAGAATGTTATTATACAATTGCACTGAAATGCAATGTTCAACATCTATTTTTTATTATCATTAATTTTAAAAATATGGGGGAAAGCACACGATTAAATACTGAACCATATCAATATTATTTTCATTATGCTGCTGAACCTTCAGTATTGGGAATATGCAGCATGAAATTTAACTGAGATGCTGTCAGCATTTGACATCAGTAATGAAATGTCATGTATTTCTCTTAAGATAACTAAATAAAAAGTGGGGGTTTTCCCCCAATTTTGAGGTGTTCAGTTTTAAGCACTTTTGTTCTCTATATTTTGTGATTTTGCTGTGAAAGAATGTTGTTGTTGTTCTTGTTTAGTCGTGTCCGACTCTTCGTGACCCCATGGACTAGAGCACGCCAGGCACTCCTGTCTTCCACTGCCTCCTGCAGTTTGGTAAACTCATGCTGGTAGCTTCGAGAACACTGTCCAACCATCTCGTCCTCTGTCATCCCCTTCTCCTTGTGCCCTCCATCTTTCCCAACATCAGGGTCTTTTCCAGGTAGTCTTCTCATGAGGTGGCCAAAGTATTGGAGCCTCAGCTTCAGGATCTGTCCTTCCAGTGAGCACTCAGGGCTGATTTCCTTAAGAATGGATAGGTTTGATCTTCTTGCAGTCCATGGGACTCTCAAGAGTCTCCAGTGGAGTCTACTAATTAGTTCCAGAATTAGGCATTGTGATGGTTTTGTTATCATTTTCCTTTTCTCGCTTTTTTTTTTTTTTAATGTGTTTCTAATACTAGTACTCAGGCTCATAGATAATAGGTTAGAAACTTGGAGGTAGAATTTGGTTCGGAAAACATAGGGTAGTTCAAAATGAGCCATGATTGCTCCAAAAGTTCTTTCGGCAGAAAATAAATGCAAATTAATTTAATTTGCCCAGTTTATCCCGTGTGTATGGATAATGGCTGAATGTCTCCCTGCTATGTACAAGGCCTGAAGAAAGAAAGTGAAAACTTCCCTATGCCTTTCTCCTCAAATTACCGGTATACACTGTTTTTGTTCAGCTTTCCTCAATAAAGCATTATCAAGTTTTCCTTGCTCTCTGAACTCCACCTGCATAATTTAAGTCACTTTGCTAACAACACTGACATAGATCATTGGTATCTTAATTATCTGTTGGTATCCTATGTATAATCATGCATTATCATGGTAGCCATGATAATATGACAGCAACAATCGCAGATAACAATGGCTCTCAAAGTGAACCATTCACAGTGGGATCAAGTGTTAAACAGGGTTGTGTTATTGCCCCAACTCTATTCATTATTTTCATTACCATGATCCTATACTTGGTTGAAGGGAAACTGCCCACTGGAGTAGAAATCATGTATCGAACAGATGGAAAGCTCTTCAATCTGAGCAGGTTGAAAGCAAAGAGTAAGGTTACTGTAACTTCCATCATAGACCTTCAGTATGCTGATGACAACGTAGTGTGTGCACGCTCAGAGGATGACCTCCAAACCATCCTAAATATTTTTACAGAAGCTTATGAAAAGCTTGGACTACTCAACATCCAAAAAACCAAAGTGATGCACCAACAAGTACAAAATAACCCCTCGGCAGTGCCACAAATCCAACTCAATGGTGTAACGTTGGAAAATGTTGATCACTTCTCCTACCTAGGCAGGTATCTTTCCACAAGGACCAACATTAATGCCGAAATCCAGCAGTGCCTGACCTCTGCAAGTGCGGCTTTCTCCCGACTGAAGTGCAGAGTGTTTGAGGACCAGGACATTCTCAGGGAAACCAAAATGCTTGTTTACAAAGCTATTGTACTACCAACCTTACTATATACTTGTGAAACATGGACCACTTATAAACGCCATCTCCAACTCCTCAAAAGATTCCATCAACAGTGTCTCTGAAAAATTTTACACATCACTTGGGAAGACAGGCGAACTAATATCAGTGTACTGGAAGAAGCAAAGATCACCAGTGTTGAAGCAATGATTCTTCAACATCAACTTCGTTGGACTGGTCATGTTATGCGGGTGCCTGATGATCGTCTTCCAAAGCAACTACTCTATTCCGAACTTTAAAATGGAAAGTGTAATGCTGGTGGTCAACAAAAGAGGTTTAAAGACTGTCTCAAGGCAAATCTAAAAAAATGTAGTATAAACACTGACTGGGAAACTGGGAAACACTGGCCTGTGAGTGCTCCAGTTGGAGAACAGCCTTTACCAAAGGTGTCATGGGCTTTGAAGACACTCGAACTCAGATTGCAAGGGAGAAACATGCTAGGAGGAAGGCACGCTTGGCAAAACCACACCGTGATCAGCTCCTGCCCGGAAACCAATGTCCCCACTGTGGAAGGACATGTGGATTCAGAATTGGCCTCCACAGTCACTTACGGACTCCTTGTTAAAACCATGTTTATGGAAGACAATCTTACTCGGCTACAAGTGATCGCCAAAGAAGAAGAAGAAGATGTAGGAAGTGGTCAGGAAGAGCAACTTTCTATATATGATGGCCTGGGACTCGGGCTCGGGCTCGGAACCAGAGGAGTCTCAGTCTGCACCGGATCCTTTGCCTCAGGCATCATCGGAATCAAGTCTGGGGCTTGATCCTGAAGAGTCCCAGTCTGCACAGGTTCCCCCTGCAACAAACACCAGCTGGGCCAAGTCAGGGGCCTGAGCCTGCCCTGGCTCCAGATGCGGGGATTACCTTGTTGCCTTCAGCTGGGCCATCACTTACAGCTACTCCACTACCGGTTGGGTCAGGGGAGGCTGAGGCGGCCCCTGGGTCTAGTAACCCAACGACGTCTCCCGAGCTGCAGAGACTAAGTTCTGAGAGAAGGAGAGACCTGAGTACTCGCAGGAGGAGTGCTCACCTTCGGGCGAAACAGGGAGGTGAGTCGCTGGGGGATCAGGACCGGCTGTTACCCTGACAAAGATAAAAGGCTGACGGACCCCGCCCCAGGTTGTGGGAGCAACATTGCTGTATGTCAGATCCTGTACCTGTCCTTGCCTGGTTTCCTGCCTTGGCCCTGTTGGACTGACTCCTAGCAGAACCTCCGGATTCTGGACTGGTCCAGGACCGTGTTTCAAGGGTTACCCCTGGGCCCAGCACACTATATTGTTGATTGAATTCTATGAATTTAGTTCTGCTAGCTCCTTTGCTGCCATAAATTTATGCTGGTAAGGGAGGGGAGACTTTGCCCTGAGATAGTATAGAATCTGAAATAAACTGGTTACCAAATTGATGCTCCTGCACCAGACCCCCAGAATTGCACAGTTGTCATCATCCCCCCCCCAACAGTGCTGCCTTAGCTAAAACAGCCTAAGAGTTTTCACTTCCCCAAAGATATGTGATCGTAACTTCCTTCCAGCAGAATAACTTGGGAGTTAATGGTGGTGTAAGGGGTTTAGTAGCATTTCTAACTTCATCCAGCTGGCGTAACACAAAGAGAGGGCGGCGTTGTAAATCTGATTTCAAAGCTATTCTTTCTCCACTAAGAATTTTAGGAGCTGTAGTTCTTTGGGAGGAAGCTAGGGATTTATAACAGAGAAATCTCAGCTCCCTTCAAAATGGAAATATTACAGAAATACCATGATAGTTACCATAAATTGGATACAAGCCCCTTAGGGTTTGCAGCGTAGGGATGCCCTGGGTTTGGTGGTGGGGGGGATAAGAAGCTACATGACCCAAATTCCCCATATGTGTTTGCAGATGGCAACGTTGCCTTGAAACGCATCACCAGCTTTTCTCTTTCTCGCTGCTCTCTTTGAGATTTGAGCGCGCCACTTCTCCAAAGCCAGACCATAGCTCAGCGATAAAGCACATACATACTTTGAGTGCAGATGGACCCAGGTTCAATCCCAAGCAGCATCTCCATGTGAGGAGTGGGGCAGACAATCCTTTGAAACCCTGGAGGCTGTGGACAGCCCTCAGGTAGATGGACCAGGACTCAGTAGAAAGAAGGCAGTTTTCTATGTGGGCCACCCTCTCCCCACCCAAAATAATCCATGCAAATCTGAATTACTGGATTCACACTAAGTAAGGGGTAGTGTTCTGTTAGAAGGAGGAGAAATCAAATTTCCAAGAATATTAGATGTTCCCGAATAAAAGCCCTGCTGAGTAACATACACATTTTTAATGGCTTCTTATCCATCTCCTTCATTCCGTATACAAACAGCAAAAAAGAAGACAGGATTAAAAGATTAGATTTGTCAAGTTGTGTTTTTTTTTAATGTCTTTCAGCTTCTGCGTTATTAAACCCAAGCCACTGACCACATAGCTGGGCTTCTCTTCATTTGACAAGAAAGGGGGATTTCTTCATGCCTGCAATTGATTTCCACACTTCAAATCAAAGATTATTCAATCTTCCTCTAGAAATCTGATGTATGTTTTACAGGCTTTTCTTTTTCTTTAAAAAAGAAAAAGTCCTTTACCCTAATTATACCATTGCATGTCACAATTATCACTTGACTTCAGCAAAACCCTTCGGCAGGGGGAGTATACTGAGGCCCGAAGGCCAAATATAAACATTTTAATAAGGAAAGAAATAAGAATGTGAGGGGCGGTAATTGTAAATTAGTGTTTTGGGGGGGGGCAGGCTTAGCACTTTTTAAAACAAAACAAAAAAACTATGCTGATGCACATGTAAGAAAAGTGGGGGGACGGGACCTCCATGTACCAGGATTATAAAGTTCAGTGCAAGCTTCTTAATACCACATGATTTTCTGATTTTCTCTTTCTTAGTCCCAGGTTAGTTAACATCTTCACGTTTTTTTCTCTTTCTTTAACTCTCCCCATGTCAGCTAGTGCAAAACAAATTTCTCTTTCACTCCACCTCCCTTTGTCTCCTGTATTTTTTAAGATGGTGAGTCTGTGGTGGGAATGGGCAAACACAACATTTTCACTTTTTCTCAGTTTTTCATTTTGCCAACCTTAAATTAAGTTCCCTATATTTCCACATCGGACTGTGATTTTTTTTAAAAAAAACCTGATGAAAGGTCATCATCATTTTAGCAGAAATGTCTCCTAATATACACATATGTACTATATGCAGTTTTGTCTAATATACACATGACATGTTTGAAAAGCAACTTTCCCAAACATAATACATTATTTTCATATTTATATGCACACTCCTCACCAATTAACCTTTTTTTTTTGTACACATCACTTGGCTGGGGAACTGCATTGCAAGATGTTTCGGTTCATATATTGCTTTGGAAAATGTGAATTAAGTGATTTTGCGTTTAAATGTGAACTGAATCAAATTTCTCCTCCCATCCCTAGCCTGTTGGCCATGATTCCCCCTCCCCTCTTACTTTCTGTTTCCTTCTGGTTCCTGGTCTACTATTAGCCTCTTTTATACACGATCATTGTTGACTATTAAAAAAAAAATTTTTTTTTAAAGTATTGACATCCAGACATATTCAGACACTTATTTATGGATGTAATGTCACTACTTTCTAAATGCCAGGATAGCGGACTCCCTTGTGGTCTTAAGGCAGTGTTGGCATTAATGACACCGTCTGCAGCCGCCCGTTTCTCCTTCATTCCATCATCTCTTGTGTCTGTTTCAACAAAGTCATCCTTTCCGCGCACCCCCAGTCTCAGTAGGAAACACTAGAAACTGAGACCTCAAACAACCCATTTGAATTTATGCTCTAAAAGCTTCCCAGACTTTGACGTGCAGATGCCATCAAAGGCGATTCTTATCAGCATCCTGAATGCTCAGGTACGATGTCTGTTGGCAGCTTAGCTGGGGGTATTTTAGCAGTGATGGCAAAAACGGCATTTCATTCTCCCACATCTGAGGCTTGGGAATGACTTTGCAAAGTTTCGTTAATTAAGCCTGGCAGCCCCCTTGTGAGTCAGACAAGGAATATCTAAACGTGCGACATTATCCGCAACTCTAATGCAGCCACCTGTGGGACAGAGCGTGACAGTCCTCCTACAAGGCAAGCCCACACAGCTTGCACCCTAATTAAGCAATTAGGAGCCGTGGAAGGCTTTATTCAAAGAGCATGTAATTCCAGGCAATGCGCAGGTTGAGAAATGCATCTGTATCTGTAACCTGCATTCGTTGACTTCGTCGGCGAGTTTTGAGTGGCGTAAGTTACATTGCCACACTGTGTCGCAGCAGCAGCAGGCTTTGGTAATATGGCGTCCTGGACAAGGACAAAAGTTGGCACCCTCCGTATATTTCTTGTTTTCACAATAGTTCCTTATTATTAATTTGCACCCTCTTGGCTCGGTGCCCTGCACAGGGGAACCGCCCGCACCACCCTAAATCCGGCATTGGTCACAGCAAAGCTTTGTCTAGCTTAGTACTCTGTCTATGACAGCGACCGGCCCTGCAGAGGAGACTGGGAAGTAGGCCTTTTTGAAAACTAAGTGTTGTGCGGTTGCATAACAGCAACACTATTAGATGGATTTCCTTTGGATGAGGAGCTTAACAGTATCTTTCTGTGTGCGGGCGAAATTTATGAACATACAAAGCAGGGATGGTCCAAAGATAAATCTACTGAGAGCTGATTTCCAGCAGATCTGCAAGGGTTTCTGATTCTGAATTGTTTCAACAATATCAACAACAAAAGGATGCCTCTTCAGCCTTCCAAATTAAGTTGTTTGAATCCCTGAACAACTCAAGGTTCACACTTATGTTTATTTGTTACGTTTCTATGCCATCTCTCCCCCAAGGAGCTCAATGTGGCATACATGGTTTCCCCTCTCCTCATTTTCCCCTCACAAAAACCCTGTGAGGTAGGTTAGGCTGAGAGACAGTGACAGGCCCAAGGTCACCCAGTGATCTTCATGACGTAGTGGAGACTAGAACCCCCGTCTCCCAGGTCTTAGTCCATTACTCTAACCACTACACTACATTGGCTGTTACTGGAATTCATATTGGTGTATGACTCATGAGGTGTTGTTGGGGCTCTCCTTTCTGAGCCACCATTTTGCGCCTGGTTCCACCCATCTCCCATCTCCTATTTTGTATCTAGCTCTGTTTGGTGGAGCTCAGGGCTCTTGTAACCCTGAAGGGCCGTAACTCAGTGGTAGAGCATCTGCTTTGCAAGCAGGAGGTCGCAGGTTCAATCCCTGGCATCTCTAGGTAGGTTAAAGGTAAAGGCAAAGGGACCCCTGACCATTAGGTCCAGTTGCGGACGACTCTGGGGTTGCGGTGCTCCTCTCACTTTATTGGCCGAGGGAGCCGGCGTACAGCTTCCGGGTCATGTGGCCAGCATGGGTTAGGAATGGACTAATGGCAGCTTTTTATGTTCCTAAATAAACTCTCTTAAGTAGATTCTGACGTGAATGAAATTTAGAGCAACATGTCAGAATCTTGGTCAAAAAGCCTCAGCTTCATAATGCAACAGATATTGCAGTGTGAGAGGAAGATTAGAAAAGTGCCAGAATTCTAATCAGGAAATCTAATGCAATCTTCTCCACATCTGAATGCACCCTGAAGTTGGTGGGGCAGCACCCTATTTACCCTAACGGGCCAGCCTCCGCGGGCCTACCCCTCAGTTTCACAAGGCCAACCTTATGTCACGAACCTAAACAAAATTGTTGGGAGGGATGGCGCATTAGAAAATCAGTGCCTGCATTTTCGCTGCACACAAGGACAATGACATAATGATTGCCTTATTATGTTACTATTCTCGTAGCCATTGTAGGCTTTCTGCCTTCAGAATGTGCAGGAATTGTTTTCGTCTGCTGCCAATGGGGAAAAGGCTGCTATAGTTATAAAACTATAGTCTCTGTTCTGGGGGTGGGGTGGGGGATTGGAATCACATCCTAATTTTTCATGACTGAGATGCTCCATTTTACAATGCAGAATTGTTGGGGGGGGGTTTAAGGTGCTTAAATTAGCATGGAAGAGATTCAGATCAGCTTCTGGCGTGGATACAGATAGGAGGTGCTCCATTCTATTTTTAATTATCCTGGTAATGGCTTGCTTTTCTATATGTTGGCCACATATAAGATAAGCATAATGCCACACTGACATGTGAATAGCTTATTCATTACGAGAGCCTGCTAAGAATCCACATCCGGCATTCCTCTAACGAAATGCAGCTGGAGCTTTCGGATACAGGACTAAGCATCTCTTGAACAGCTTGTATTCTGCAAGGTTCAATCGGCTATTATCTGTTGCATTGTGGATTATCTTCTCCTCTACTGTGAATAGGAACCTCGCCCTGCAACATTAACCATGCTGCTGCAAATGCTGGAATTTACATAATGGAATTGCATTAGGGTGAGGACAGATGTGAAAAATTGAGAGCAGCTGGGCCATTTTTAAAACATCTGCATACCTGAATTCATAAAAAATGCATCTCTCTCTGCCCCCTGCCCTGGCCCCCACACTTTTGGGGCAAACTCAGAAAACCCTGTGGTATATTAGGTTTAGCCTCAAGGGTCAATCATTACAGTTCTGCCACATAAAATAAGTAGCATTATCCTCCATAAATTTGTCAAATCCCCTTTTAAAGCCATCTAAGTTGGTGGTCATCATTGCCTCCTCTGGGAGCAACCATAGTTTAACCATTCATTCATTTATTCATTCATTCAGCCTTTATTGGCATAATATAGTTTAAATATGTGCTGCATGAAGAAGTACTTCATTTTGTCTGTCCTGAATCTTCCAACATTCAGCATACTTGGATTTCCAGAAATTCCAGCATTATGAGAAACGGTGGGTGATCTTTTGCTGCACTTCCTCCTCGCTGCTCACCATGTGTCAGGGTTCAGAACATGACCCTCCAGCAAATCTCCCCCTTGCCAATGACCTGGAGGAGCCATCAGATCTGGACATCACATCCCTACAAGGAAATTATCTCAAAATCTCCATTTCCAGAACATAAAAATATAAGGCGCACCCTGCTGGTTCAGGTCAGTGGCTCATCTGGTCCAGTATCCTCACAGTAGCCAACCAGATGCCTATGGGAAGCCCGCAAATAGGACTTGAGTGCGATAGCACTCTCCTCACTTAGAGCAGAGACATTTTGACTAGTCTGTTGATTGTCTGATCCTCTTTTAAAGCCATCCTGCTGTTCAATCCAGTCCCACCCACCTCAAACCAGCTTCAGTCTGACTAGAGGATTCAACCAGATTCACTTTGTAGTTAAGGTAAAGGTAAAGGTAAAGGTAAAGGACCCCTGACAGTTAAGTCCAGTTGCAGATGACTCTGGGGTTGTGGCGCTCATCTTACTTTACAGGCCAAGGGAACTGGCGTTTGTCCGCAGACAGTTTTTCCGGGTCATGTGGCCAGCATGACTAAACCGCTTCTAGTGCAACGGAACACCGAAACCACAGCAACGCACAGAAACACCGTTTACCTTCCCACCGGAGCGGTACCTATTTATCTACTTGCACTTTTTTTGGGCGTGCTTTCGAACTGCTAGGTTGGAAGGAGCTGGGACTGAGCAACAAGAGCTCACCCCGTCACGGGGATTTGAACCACCAACCTTCTGATTGGCAAGCCCAAGAGGCTCAGTGGTTTAGACCACAGTACCACCCGCGTCCCTTGTACTTAAGCTAGGTGTGGACATTTGAGACAACCATTGCACTTGAGTAGATGAACATTCATGCAGAGATAACAACTTCGTGTACATGCATTCTGGTCATGGGGTGTATATGTTGCATGGGCAGGGAAACCAAAAAGGTAATGTATGTTGGGTGAAGATATCCCCACCTCCTCTCTGATGTGTACAACACTATGCAGCCAAATTGATCTGCAGATCTGGCACAGTTACAGGTGCCACATAATACTCATTCTGCATTTGTAATAAATCAATATTTCGATGTGGCAGCACCTACACTTTGAAACTTCCTGCCTATTGACATTAGGCAGGCACTTTCACTATACTCTTTTCGGCACTGCTAAGAAACATTTTTGTTTAGTCCTGAGAACATAAGAACCTGCTGAATCAGGCCAAGGCAAACCTACCCAGGTATGTACCATGTTCACATGTGTTTTAATCTGTTTTTAGTTCATTACTGATTTTAATTATTATTTGAATGTTTTAAACTATTTTAAACTATTATAACTGATAATTTTATTGTTTTATTCTTTTTGTAAACTGCTTTCTGTGTGTGTGTGTGTGTGTGTGTGTGTGTGTGTATGAAATAAATAAATAGGAAAAAAAATATATCCAAAGTCATGGTTTCATAAACCATGGTTTATCATTATGTGTGAACTAGGCCAATACGTTTCCTGTAATATCCCCCCACCCCCCTATTATTAAACCAAATGTTTGTAGACAAAAACTGATGGTGAAGCCACCTGTTCAGAATGCTGGAGCAGCTATTTTCTTGCAGCTGATTCCTCATATGTTAATGCTTTAATGTATTTTTTTTTTAATGTAAAAAAATAATCCTCAGAAGTTCTCTTATTCAATCAGATCAAGGCCAATGGCCCAAGCAATATCATAATGGGAATTAAAATGATTATTTTTATATAGTTATACTTTAAAAAAGAAAGAAAGAAGAAAAACCAATTCTCTCATTGATATCTGAAAGTAAAAAGGGTCCTTTTTAGGTTTTTATTTTCTCCAGCCAAAGATCCAGCCTTTATTGTCATTCCTGAACATTAGCCTCAAGGTTTAATTCAAGTTGAATGTAGGAGAATACTTTTGTAGTCCTTCATTTACATGTATGCCAACAAGCTTAAATGCACTGCAACCTTGGAAGACTTTCAAAGGAAGTAATAATTCCTCTGAAATAGGTCTTTTGAAAGCGTTATCTTGTTCCTTCTCTTTCTGTTAATCTTGGGAACCCCTTAGCATGTCAAAGCAATTTTTCTAATGTCACATCGTCTCAACATTACCATGAAAGCGCTTTAAAAAGATGATTTGAGAAAGAATAAATGTTGAATGAGCATTTACTAAAGGGCCATTTATGCCCCATTTGCATTTTGACTATGTTTTTTGAAATGTTTGAAAAGCCAGCTAATTTGAAAGTCAATCTCCTCTCCAAACAAACTTCGGGACACAAGTGTGTTTACACCAATCTCCTTCCTTTGTGCCTTCATTAAAAATAAAATCATTAGGTTGAAGCTGGTTTTTCCTTTTTTAAACAGGGCTGAGATTAGACACGTAAGACCTAGTGCTGAAATGGTATTCTGTTCAGGGATGTTAGCTGTGAAGAAATGCTTCCCCTCTGCTGTTTGAAAGAATATAAGGGCATCTCCAGCTAGACCACAGTGATGGAAGGGCTGAGGTGGTGTTCACCACTCACTGTATGGTGAAGATGTAGCTGGAGTCTACCTCCTCACTGCCATCACCACCAGCTTCTGCCATTTCCCCACAAGAAGAAGAAGAAGAGGAGTTTGGATTTGATATCCCGCCTTTCACTCCCTTTAAGGAGTCTCAAAGCGGCTAACATTCTCCTTTCCCTTCCTCCCCCACAACAAACACTCTGTGAGGTGAGTGGGGCTGAGAGACTTCAAAGAAGTGTGACTGGCCCAAGGTCACCCAGCAACTGCATGTGGAGGAGCGGAGACACGAACCCAGTTCCCCAGATTACCAGTCTACCGCTCTTAACCACTACACCACACTGGCTCCCTACAACATTGGTACCCTCTGCTTGATTGCCTGGTGGAAACCCAATGAGCAACTGGGCAGTGACATCTATTTCTCCTCATCTTCTTTCAACTTACAACCGTCAGGTTTGATGCCTCAACGCCTTCCACATGCACTGCATCAGAAGGGTTTTGGGTATCACACGACAGGACAGAATTCCAAACAAAGATGTGCTCTCCAAAGCCCACATTCCCAGCATGTTTGCACTCCTGTCTCGGTGTTGTCTACACTGGCTTGGTCATGTCTAGAGAAAGAAAAATGGCAGGATCCCCAGGAGTGTGTTCTATGGGGATTCTGGCACCAGGCCAATTGGCAGACCAACTCTGCATTACAAAGATGTCTGCAAACGTGACCTGAAGACTGGCAACATTGTGTATCCACAGAAGTGATTCTCCAGGGTTTGGGACTGGGAAGACTCCCAGCCAGTAGTGGCTTGGGACTGGCAAGGCAGGAGGCCAACAGTAGATGGAGCCAAAGAGCCAATCACAGGCAGAGCCAACAAATTCTAGTTTGTCCCCATCCTCCTCCTCCTGTCTGAATTCTACAAGAGGCAGCACTAAGATTAAAGAAAAGGAGGTGGGCAGATTGTGCCTCCCTCTGGGCTGGTTGCATAAGGAAGGAAGTTGAGGACTGACTGAGGGTGGAGTGAAGTTGGTGGAGCAGTGCTCTACTCGCCCAAATGGACTAGCCTCCACTGTTCCCATCCTTACCTGGAGATGCTGGGGATTGAACCAGGGACCTTCTGCACACAGAGTAGATCCCTTTCCCCAAACTTTGTGAGAAAGTTCAACTGAGGCAATTCCTAACTGAGCCAAGCACAGGCATCCACCACTGGAGAAACTATTTCCATGAAAGCAGGACGTTTTAAAAGACACAGCGTTTACAGGCCTAATTGTGTCAAGTGCCCTTAAGTCCAGGTCCAGATGTTAAAAGCTGAGCGAGTTAAGAGGAAGTAGTACGCCAGAGGTTATTCACCCGATATTTGATTATAGAAACATTTTCCATCTTTTGAGTAGGTACTTCCTGACCTTTCCAGCATTGTGATCATATCCAAGTTCCTGAGCAGGAGTCTGAATAAGGAGTTGCTTACAAGGGATGGCGTATTTGGTTCATAACAAGGCAACTCTCTGTTCAGATCATCCTTTACGCACTTCTGACACTATTGGTCAGGCAGAGCAACACTTCAAGAATAAATGGAAAATTTTTACTCATAGATCTCCCTTTGTGAACTTTTGGCACTATGACAAAAGAGGATTTTCAAAATGTAACAGCTGAAAGTGTCTCAAGAATGCAACTTTTATACAGATTCTCTCTATCTACCTTTTCTTCTTTTTGGTATGAATAAAAGTTCAGCCTTTAACCTTAGCTCACTCTAGTGCAATTGCTTTGCATGCAGAAATCCCAGGTTCAATCCCTGGCATCTCCAGGTGGAGCTGCCAGTCAGTGTAGAGAGGTACCTCTGGATGCGAACGGGATCCATTCTGGAGCCCCGTTCACATCCTGAGCAGAACGCAACCTATGTCTGCGTGGGTCGCCACTTCTGCGCGTGACAAAACTCTAGTATGTTAAAGGTTGCTGGGAACTGCTGCAACCCCAGAGCCTTCTGCGACTGGACCCAACGGTCAGGGGTCCCATTACCTTTCCTTTATGGCTGTTAAAGTGGTATGAGCGTGCTTTAAATGTCTGGTGTGGATGCAACCTATGTACCAAACAGAAGGAGGAGGAACATTCTCAAGAATTCTCTCATTCAGAACTGAAGATATGCTTCTTATTTTCCTTTCTCAGCTCTGGAACAGAAGTCTTTCCCTGCTTGTTTTTGTGGAGACTATTGGGAGGCCAGAGCCAAAGCCAGCCTTGATGGAGGGTGTGTGTGTGTGTGTGTGTGTGTGTGTGTGTGTGTCTGTGTGTGTGTGTACTTGAGTAAAGATCCCCAGCTTACCTGTAGGGACCCTATGAAAGTGGGTAAAGTTACATAGCCCTGTTCTCCTACCCCGAGTTTCTTTCTAATGCAAGACTATTGGCGACCCCAAACTCTGTTCCCTAAAGCCTTATTGAATTTTTGACCTTGGAAACCCCAAATCTTTCTCCCTCGAACAGAAGGGAGGCACTGCTTAAGCGAACGCTTCCGTTCCTTTGTGGATATGAAATCGCACTGCCTCCCTGGGAAATAAGTAACGCACATTCCACAAATCATGGAGTGTTAGCAATCTTATACATTACAAGTTCCTCGGGGGCAGAAAAGGCTTGTGTTTTATATACTTGTAAATGGCTGTGTTCACTTAAAGGAACTAGGGAACAAAAATAATTAATGGAGGGGAAACCATTATTTATAGAGTACCATAAATATACAGCATAACACGTAACATTCCTGCCCTGAAGAGCTTGCAGTGTAAAAATAAAAAAAAATCCTTTCAGTTGCAGGATTCCAAGCAAGATGACGATGACACAACCGCTCCAGATGTGTCTGTGGCTTTTAGGTGTGGGAGCGAGGCCAAGGGAAGTACCACTTTGGATTTCTTTCAGCAGCAAATCTTTTAAGAAATCCCCAGACCTCTGGTAAGTGGTATTTCTTTTCTAGTGTTTGGCAGAATCACATGACACAGAACTTTCCCCAGGCTGTACGACCTCAGGCTTCCAGCAGGAGAGCACACTTTAGGATACTTCCCACATAGCAATCTCTGGGCACATCCACACTATATATTGAAAGCACTATGATACCATTTTAAGAGACATAGTTCCCCCGCCAAAGTATCCTGGGAACTGTACTTTGTTAAGGGTGCTAAGAGTTCTTAGGAGACTCCCTGTTTCCTTCACAGACCCACAGTTCCCAGAGCAGTTTAACAGCCAACCCCTCTTCCCAGGGAACTCTGGGAATTGTAGCTCTACAGCAGTAATTAGGGGGACTTAACGTTGGGATAAATTATTCCAGTTTAAGTTATATCAGCTGAGCTGGGAAAGCCCAAGATCTTCTGAATCCAAGCTCTCTCATCTCTGTGGATCTTGGGTATAAGGCTGCAATCCTAACTCCTTCTACTCAGAAGTAAGTCCTAGTGAATTCGATTGAGCTTACTCCCTGGTAAGTGGGGTCAGGATTCCAGGCTAACTTGATTCAGGTTGGCAGCCCTGATAAAAATAAAATAATTTTGGACATTTATGCTACATGAATGACTTTATATCAGGTCAACTTCAATGCCAGGGAAACAATTATTTGGTATCTTTTTAATCTATTCATTTCCTCTACCTGGCATCTCGGTGCCTTTTAGATTAGTTCTCTGTAGATCGTCCCCTTTGTTTCTGTGCAGGCATTCAGTGTTTCCAATTTCATGTTACTGTACTGAATTCTCTTTTCACAGCAAAGCGTCTTTCAATATGCTTGTATTTGGGATAATGAAGTTCGTCGCCTCCGTGTGTTAAATAATTCACTTCCTTTTTCCGCCTCTGTGAAGTTCTCTTATTGTGGCGTGGCTTCCAAAACATTTTCACACACACACGCACAAAAAGCGTAATCCATAAAATATGAAGAACTAACAATGAACACTGACATTTTAATTCTTCACTTACGAGCACAAAAGGGATGACAATTGGAAATTGCTGTTGTTGCCATAATAAAGAGAGATTTGCATTCCTCTGAAATTGATAGTTTAGTATTTGAGCATAATGTCAGTAACGGCAAATAACAATGCCTAGGTTCTGCGGATTATAAGTAATAGCTGTTTTCCGTTGCACCCTGTTGAATAGCGCCATTTCCCCCACCCCTTGCTGTAAACAAATGAGAGGTTGCTGGCAGTAATAATGCAGGTTTGCACAGAATCAGAATTATTTCTGAATAAGCAGATAACAGCTTTGAGATGTAATGACTATGTGGGGTGGGGAACCTTTCGCAGCCAGAGAGCATAAGGCAACTGCCATCATTTATGTTAAGCTCAATGCACAGTCCTGTATGTGAACAAACATGGCCTGGATTATCTTTCCCTTCTCCTTTGAGGCAGAAGCTCCTGTATCTGGCAAGTCAGGTGTATGCTCATATGAGAACTAGAGGAACATAGGAAGATGCCTTATAACACGTCAGGTCATTGGTCCATTTAGCTCAATAGTGTCCACAGTGGCCGCATTCACACCGTACATTTAAAGCAGTTTCATGCCACTTTAAACAGTTCTGGCTTCCTCCAAAGAATTCTGGAAGCTGTAGTTTGTTAGCAGTGCTGAGAGCTGTTACAAGGCCCTTATTCAACTCAGAGCTACAATACTCAGAGTGGTTAACAGTCAATCCCTGTTCACAGGGTGAGAATTGTATCTCTTGGAGAAGAATAGGGGCCTCCTAATAACTCTCAGCACCCTTTGCAAACAACAGTTCCCAGAATTCTTTGGGGAAAGCCCTACCCATTTAACGCCGTATCAGGGAGTTTTGCTTGTACACTGTGAATGTAGCCAACGACTGGCAGCAGACCTCCAAGGATTGAACCTGGGACCTTCTGCATGCACCATGAATTATCTACCACTGAGCAATGACCCTTCCACAACTGCCACGTGGAGTGTCTGGGTCACATGTTCTCTTGTACACATGCTCACTCTTCCTTCTACCATATGTAAATCCTTGACTGGGTGAAAAATTCCAGAGGGGTAGCCCTATTAGTCAGTTGCAGTCAATTGGTGAAAGGTCCTGTGGCACCTTAAAGACTACCAGATCTTGTGAAGGGCGTGGACTGAAGTGGACTCCAGCTATGGGGCATTTGTGGTCCTCTAGATGTTGCTGGAGCCTAGATTACCCTCCACAAGAAACAAGCCTTTCTTTCCTGTAGCCCCCTAACCTTGGAACGGCTTTTCTTGGGAGACTGAGATGGCCCTCTTGTGGCTTTTCTCCCAAAGCCAAATTAACACTTCTCTTTAATGTTTCACCAGTTGATTTCTTTGGACCCTCTTTTTGTTTGTTGGCTTCTAGTGGAGGCATGTGGTTACATTAATTCCCCCCACCCCTAAACTGTAGTATTTTTTATCTGAAAAAGTTCATTTTAAAAAATGGCTAGTAGCCATGATGGCTATGTTCCAGTTCTGCTGTCAGGGGAAATATGTCTCTGAATACCAGTTTTTTGGGGGGGTGGGTAGAGTGCTATTCCACTCATGTACTGCTTGCAGGCTTCCTGTAGGCATCTGATTGGCCAATGTGAGAACAGGATCCTGGACTAGATGTGCCATTGCCCTCATTTAGCAGGCCATTTGCTTCACTCAGTTGAGAAAGCGCTCCTCACTTCTCCGAGTGGTGAGAAGTTCTATGGGCAGCAGTACCAGCTGAAGTTTCCTTCCTATGAAATAAAATGCAGCCTTACACTGCCTTTGTAATACTTGCCTTGTTGAAAGTTATGAAGGCAAACAGAAACTCCTGTGAGGCAGACCTGCCTGACAACAACTTGGACAGTGCCCCCCCTCCCCGACCGCCACCATGACTGCACCTTCCAGGCCCAGGTAAGTCCAACTAGAAACTCTACTCTCTTTCCTTCTGCCTAATTTCTGTTTCTCTGCCCCCTTCCCTCAGCTAGAGTTGGGTTACCTTATTCCAAAACACAAACTCTGATGGGCATCTTATTCCAAAACACGGAGAGATTCCTAACTATCAAGAGATGGTTTCTTATGTGTTGGCTCTTGTTGATGAGGCATCAACCAACTGTCTTGGACTATTAACAATCTGCCTGACAAAGGGCTGGTCAGTTAGCAGCCAGAACAATATAGTAGTCAACGTTGAGTGATATCTAAAGTACAATTCTTGGATATATATATATATATATATATATATATATATATATATATGGAGGGGAGAGAGCGAGAAAATTTCCACCAGGGCAATGGAACATATTCCTTAACAATTGCCAGGCTACTAAAGTCAAAGGTTCACTCTCACACCATACCTGCCAAGATCAAGGTGACTTTGGGGTCTCTCTTTGTGGGAAGCTCATTCGGCAAGAGCTAGTCATCAGAAGACTCTTTCCAATTAAGTAATTAGACAAGGTGCTAAATATAAAGGAGGACTGGTAATGATCCTGTTATTACAGCATTATAATATTTTGTAGCTTAAGAGCATTAAGAAGGCCTCACTGGCGATTTGAAATTAGGATCCTCTTTTTTTTTTTAAGCCCATCAAATAAAAGAGAGAGAGGAAAGAAGAAGAGAACTTCAAAGCTGCTTTTTTCCCACTTGGAAACCTGCCTGTGTTAGGATGAAATGAATAGAAAAAAGAGCAAGGTTTGCCTTCTAATAAAGCATCTGTTGCCCACTTTGAACATTTCTTACTTCTTTGTGAGCATGTCTCTCCAGTTATGGGGACTACTGACAATGAAGAACAGAGGCCTTGAAATAGACAATACCTGTTATCTACCCAATATTTCTGATTTTCATGTCACTTTGAACTGGATCTTCATTTGACCGCATGCTGAGTCCAAAAAGAATTTCTTTGTCGGCTGATCCAAAGATGCCAGAAGATGCTCGGAAAAAAAGTAAACTGCGGGAATCTGCTCAATAAAGGCAAGATGAAAAACAAGCCTTTGCCATTCACTACACGCACGGACAGTGCTTTTAACTTCTGCCTATTTTGGTGCTGCAAAGAAGCCCCCTAAATGCAAATTTTGTGTGTGTGTTGTTCCAAGGCTAGATTATAGCTTTCTCTGTGCATAAAATAACAAAAAACAAGCATAAGCCCCAACAAGAACGGTGAGTATGGAGAAGTAGCCAGATTACTTAAAGTAGACCCCTGGCTTTCGGAAGCCCAATGCAAGGAGACTTTTGCTGCTACTGAGCCACTGCTGCTCTTGAGCAAATGTCAAGAGGCCTATTCCCAACAAAAGATTGGCAGCCTTTCACTGGGAGTTGCGGGGCGGGGGGGGGGGGGGAGTCAGATTTGGCAGCTCTGCTTAGCAGAGTGATTCAGCTAAAATTTGGCCGGGCTTCAGTAAGCTTTCATTTGTTTGTATGTGTGTGTGTGTGTGTGTGTGTGTGTGTGTGTGTGCATGCGTGGTTGTTGAATGCTAGAAAACTCCTGGCCAGAACAGGCAGAGAGACAGGATTCCAAGGCACATTTTCATCTCCATCCAGCGGGCTCTCGTCCTGATTGGGCAAGGATAAAGCTGGGCCCAGTGAATTGATCAATGAAAAATGTTCAATGGAAACCAGCCAACAAAATCATCAAAAAGAGCCGGGGCGGGGGACTGGATGGCTCAGAAGGATCTGTGATGGTGGGAGGGGGAAAGAAAAAACAAAAGCAAGGGGGGGGGAGGAGAGAAAAACCTCCTTTGACTTAAATGGGGATGAATTAGACTAGCCTTGCCTGATTAAAAGAAGAAGTTTGAGCCAACAGAACTTTTTTTGGGTGTGTTCTATTAATGGCATACATAGTTCCAGAATTGCTGGATACCTTAGGTGGGAAACTCTTTTCTGGCTGAGGGCCACATTCCCTCCTGGGGGCTGGTGATAAAAGTGGACAGAGCAATATATGTAAAATATTTACATTGTTCACTAGACTGGTTTCTTCACGCACCCCTGTTTGCGTTCCATCCAGGGAAGAAAGTGGCATGATCAGAATTCAAGGACAGATTTCAGCCAGGTAAAGAAAATCTTAAGGCCAGATGAATTGAAAGCATGTGGTTTCCCTCAATCCTGGGAATGGTCATTTACCACTCCCTGTGCTACAGTTCCCAACACCCCCAATGAACTACAGTTCCCAGAGTGGCTTAACCATCAATCCCTCTTCACAAGGAACTTTGGGAGCTGTAACTCTGTGAGGGGAATAGGGGTCTCCTAACAATTCTCAGCCTGCTTAACAAACTACACCTCCTATAATACTTTGAGGAAAGTCGTGAGGGTTTAAAGTGGTGTGATAGTGCTTTAAATGTTCTGTGTGTATAGTATTGGGGTTTCTGAGTAAGGATGCATGGAGCCCAGCTGCAACTGGGGACCAATAGGCCCCCTGCTTTTCCCTCTTAGTGACCACTCGGAGGCCAGTTGCAATTACTCTTGCCCCACTAATTCCCTCTCCGTCCCACAGCCACCTGCTCGCCCTCCCTCTGCAGCCGTACTTTGTAGTGCACATTCTTTCTACCAAGTCATCAGTAACGTCAGCTGGAGCAGATGTCTGTTCTGTAATTGATTAGGTATCTTTCTGTGGCAAAACCGTTTTGAGTTGTGATCAAATGAGCAGTTGGTAGGGCCCAGGCTTTGAGCATCAGAATCTGATTATGTCCTCAAAAAAAACACAGCCTTTGAAGTGGGCCAGAGAACACTTGGGTAATTCCAGTTTATCTGTCTTCTGCAAAATTCATCTCGAAGGGAGGGATTTTTGCCCAGGTGTATGGGGGGGGGAGGGAACGAGCTTGTTTCCATTATGACCCATCTGTTGACTTCAAAGTTCAGACACTGGCAAGAGATTGATTTAAAAACCTGGCAAGCTGGTTTTGCTTGCTTCTATATACTTGGGGCAACTGGTGGATTCAGACAACCAGTGTTCTTCCCCCCTCCCAGTCCTATCCCAATTTATTTTTTCCCTAATTTCTATTTACTTTTGAAGTCACCAGGTGTGGGGGATCATGTGCTTAAGAGGGCTGAAGGAGGCTCCGAAGAATTGAGGGACCTCCAGAAATGATCCGGCGCTATGATTTTTGAACTGTAAGTCTGTTGTGTTTTTTTAAAAAAACATTAAGTTGCTTTACAATACAGTGGTACCTCGGGTTATATACGCTTCAGGTTACATACGCTTCAGGTTACACACTCGGCTAACCCAGAAATAGTGCTTCAGGTTAAGAACTTTGCTTCATGATAAGAACAGAAATAGGGCTCCGGTGGCGTGGCAGCAGCAGGAGGCCCCATTAGCTAAAGTGGTGCTTCAGGTTAAGAATAGTTTCAGGTTAAGAACGGACCTCCAGAACGAATTAAGTACTTAACCCAAGGTACCACTGTACTGTTGTAGGGGGACAGCAGATATACTGCCTCCTTCCCTACTACAAACCTCCTTGGATGCTAAGATCAGCGAAAAGGCCCTCTTGATAGTTGCTCCACCCGAGAGGGGGTTTCTCTGTGGCAGCCTCTAAGTAGTGGGACTCCCTCCCCACAGAGGTGCGTCTGTCACCTTCGTTGTATAGCTTTTGACAAATACTGAAGACACACCTCCTTACCCTGGCTTTCGACAATTGAGACATAACTTTTTAGGATCCACCTTATTTCTATGATTGTAAGTTGTTTTGAACTTTTTTTTTTTTAAGTGCATTAACAGTTGTAACCTGTTCTGGGATCCTGGGGCAAAGGGCAAGTAATTTGTGACAACAACAACAGGATCATAAAACCATAGAATCAGAGTTGGAAGTGACCCTCAAGGGTCATCTAGTCCAACCCTCTGGGCAGTAGTCTAGGAGATGACCACAAAGAGAATAATAGCTCAAGCCAGAAGAGAATTGACTATAAGCACCTATATTAGTATGCGTGTAAGAGCAGCAGATGTCAAATTTGTGCTCTGTGGAGCCCTGTGATATTTACTTAGGACAGGGTTAGGGAACCTCAGTGCCAGGGACCAAATGTAGCCCTCCAGGGACTCTTCTTCCCAGGCTACACTTCCTCTTCAGTCATGCCCCCTGTCCCTAGGCCACACCCCTCATTGAGCCTTCTTTGCACCCTCCAGTGTTCAAACCCAGAACACCACCCTAGTCCAGCATTCTGTTTGGCAGAGCAAAGCAAGTACACTCGCTGTACGTCAGGCAGGATTAAGGCTTTGTACTATGGCACCGAGTAAGCCAGATAAGGTATCTGCTTCCATGAGGTCCAGTGGCTTGCCTGCTTAAATAATATTTAAAAGTTTGAACTTGCAACATGTCAGCTTTCTTATATACCAGAAAGCACTTCTCCAACATCTCACTTTCCAAGCTTAAAATCAATACAAGCACAGCTGCATTAGTCATTTCCTAAGGAAAACATTTCAGTGTTTCGCCCTCCGCAGCTCCTGAACTGGAAGGATGTTCTAGGAGTCAGCTTTTTACCAAAGTTGAGTGTGGGGAGCAGCTAGGCACCTAGATAGGCATGGCAGCATCAGCCACCCACAAACGAGTAGCAGCCATTAGATGAAAATCTAGTGCAAACAGCCCACTTGCAAGCTTAGTAATAAACCTGATGCAATGCCGATTATGAAACCAGTACAGGTGTGATGAAGTGATGGGAAGATTTCAGCTCTATATCCCCATACCACACAACATACTTCCTGTCCCCATAATCCTATGTCTTCTTCCGTTCCATGAGAACGGAAAGGCCAGCAAAACATCTTGGCTCTTATTTGAAAGGAGCCTGGATGGCAGTGGATGTTTCAAGAACAGGAAGAAGAAGAGAAGAAGAAGAGTTTGGATTTGATATCCCGCCTTTCACTCCCCTTCAGGAGTCTCAAAGCGGCTAACATTCTCCTTCCCCTTCCTCCCCCACAACAAACACTCTGTGAGGTGAGTGGGGCTGAGAGACTTCAAAGAAGTGTGACTAGCCCAAGGTCACCCAGCAGCTGCAGGTGGAGGAGTGGAGACGCGAACCCAGTTCCCCAGATTACGAGGCTACCACTCTTAACCACTACACCACACTCTCCCCAGTTTGTAGTGCCCATCCAGTTGAAGTTGCCAACTCGGGAGCACCCGAGATCCTGAAATTTCAAGACCAAAACCTGAGAGTGACCCCTGTTGATTCTTCTTCTGCTTTCCCTGCTACCACTGAGCCCTGGAGATGGAGGTTAATTGGGAGAGGAGGGAGCAAAGGAAGGCAGCCCCCCTCCCCCCGCCGAGAGCCTATGTCATAATTCACAGACAGATCCTGTGGGGCTGAAGCTTACACACATAGTCTTAATTTAGTTTTAAAACAAAACAATGCACTCTCACCCTCCTGGAGGGGACCAGGCAAATGTGGAGCCTTCAGGTCAGCCTGGAGTTCCGGCAACCCTATCCCTAACACATTTTACATGGGAATTTCTGTTCTCTGCAAGAAGGAACACAGATCAACATAGGCCCAGGATCTCCAGCCAGAGTTAATTCTGTGTGAGTAATAAAATGGCTTCCAAGCCTGGATGTGTTTTTGGCACAACTGTTTTCCTTTTGTGTGTGTTTCCCCATTACTGGGACCTCCCAGAATGTAGGAAGGCTTTTTACTGGCAGCTGGAAATTCTAATGAATTCTTCTAACTTGACAAGAAAGCCACGAGGCCTACACGCACGCACACACACAGCCCCTTCAAATCATACACATGACAGTAATTATCTCCTTTGCTGATGTCGAAAAAAGCCAAAGTTTGCGTCATGCTGGATACCTCCAATAATCATTTGCATGGAGATGTGGCGTCTGTGGCATCAGGACATCCCAGCGCCAGCACTGGGGCACATGCTGGCACAAAGGCTCAATTAACAGCAATGAAGCTGCAAGAGAACAGCTCAGGTGACGGAATGAAACCAGAATCTGAGTGTCAAGAAATGAGATGGCACACTAGCCGTTCCGGGATGGTTGTTTTGTTTCTGTTTTCTGGGATTGAGTGCTGAGGGAAATTACATCCATACTTGGTAAAGATTCCTGGGAACTGAGGATGCTGCTAGTTGTTAGGAGGCCTCTATTGCCCTCACAGAGCTACAGTGCCCTGTGAAGAGGGATTGATTGTTAACCCACTCTGGGAATTGTAGCTCTGTGAGGGGACAGGAACACGTTTAGGAAACCTTACTTGGGTTCAGAAGTACCCAAACAAGCAAAATAACCCCATGTCCACATACTGATCTATGTAAGCAGCTTTCATGCTGTGTTCCAGAAACTCCTGAGGCTCCTCAGGTAGATTGTTGTTTATTAGAAGATTGGCAATTGCAGCTGTCAAGGCCCCAGCCCCAACCTCTCTGTGGTATAGTGGTTAGAGTGCTGGACTAAGACCTAGGAGACCAGAGTTCAAATCCCCAATCAGCTATGAAGCTTGGGCCAATCACTGTCTCTTAGAGTACCCTACCTCAAAGGGTCGTTTTCAAGATAAAAGGGGGGGGGGAGAGAGAGCTGCATACACCACCTTGATTTCCATGGTGAAAAGGTGGGATAGAAATGTTTAAATAAATAAAAGAAGGGGGTTGGGTCTTGGGGCCACCATTTAAATTTCCCACAAATCCCCTGGAGTGATGCTTTGGGGAGCATTGTGGAAATTAAAATGGCAACTACCAGCCGTGCAGGGCTGATCCAGAGTGCTGCTTCTTCCACCACTGTTGCTGCTACTACTAGGTAAGCGGGCATGTATGGGCCTGAGCCTTAAACCCAGTGGCTAAACTTACCCAGAATCCTTTGCACCATGCAAGGGTTCTGTGGCAAACAGCCAGTGTGGAAAGGGGCTCCATAAAGGTGCAGGCAGAGGGGAGGAGGAATTGATTTGGCTAATCCATTTTGAACACTTTACAGTGGTACCTCAGGTTACATACGCTTCAGGTTACAGACTCTGCTAACCCAGAAATAGTGCTTCAGGTTAAGAACTTTGCTTCAGGATGAGAACAGAAATCGTGCTCCGGAGGCGCGGCAGCAGCAGGAGGCCCCGTTAGCTAAAGTGGTGCTTCAGGTTAAGAACAGTTTCAGGTTAAGTACCGACCTCCGGAACGAATTAAATACTTAACCTGAGGTACCACTGTATAAAGAAAAGCATACATGCTTTTCTGAGAGCAAAATCTGGGTTTCTCTTTGGCCCAAAAGCTTGCACTTTTGTGTGAGTTGCAAAGTATGAGGAGCCACTGAGTCTCCTTTCATTGCCCTGAATTCCTTTTCTGCAATTCTTGACAATACCAAGGGGAGCTCTGTGGAATTCCACCACCAGGGTGCGTTGGTAATGAAAGAGGAAAGACCAATGTGTTGTGGCAATGTGATGTCTTGTCCGGACTCAAGTGGAAGGGGGAGCAAGGAAGAACAACATGTCACTTTTGATCCTGATTCTTCTGAGGAGGGACAGGATCAGGACCTCAAACTTACTTCTGAGAGCAAAAGGGAGGGAAACCGGCCCAGACAGTTTTACAGAGGGAACCTTTTCTCGAGGAGAGACAAAACTAACAAGACACCTTAAACTTGTGTGGCAGCCTTTGAAAAAAACAGAGAGTTCAAAAGGATGAAGCTTTCTAAATTCACAAGAAAGATGAAAAAGGAGCTGGAAGGCAAAGAACAAGAGGTACCCCTCCTCCGCCAACCTTGCTCTGGCCAAGCTGAATAAGCTGCATGGTCTTATAACAGATGGAAGGAAGATGCTTGAATTGCGCAGCTATAGGTGGGTGGGGGGAGAAATATGATTCCGTTTGTTTTTAAAGCCAAAAGTATCAGCTTTGCACTTTCTAAAACAATATGTGAACCAAATTGCAACCATCCTTCGAAATTTGCAGTTACAGTGGTACCTCGGGTTAAGTACTTAATTTGTTCCAGAGGTCCGTTCTTAACCAGAAACTGTTTTTAACCTGAAGCACCACTTTAGCCAATGGGGCCTCCTGCTGTCACCGTACCGCCAGAGCACAATTTCTGTTCTCATCCTGAAGCAAAGTTCTTAACCCGAGGTACTATTTCTGGGTTAGCGGAGTCTATAACCTGAAGCATATGTAACCTGAAGTGTATGTAACCCGAGGTACCACTGTATCTGACTTTTGCAATGCAGTTCTCCAACCAAAGTGTTTACTACTGTTGTTGTTGTTGTAACCCTGTTTCCCTCCCAGAGCTACAGTTTCCACAGTGGTTTAACAATCAGTCCCTCTTCACAGGGACTGATTCACAACTGGAAATTGTAGCCCTGTGTGGGGAATAGGGGTCTCTTAACAACGATCAGAAACCTTAACAAACCACTGCTCCCAGAATTTTATGGGGGAAGCCATGACAGTTTAAGTGGTATCATAGTGCTCTAAATGGATGGTGTGAATTTGGCCTAAGTGTGGTGAAAGTGGTTTTGAAACAGATTCTCTGCCATCAAAGCAAATGCTGCAGGATGCAACTCTAATTCACTTCAACTGCGCTCTCCTTAGCAGCAAATTCTATATATGCCCTCATCACCCATTGCATGTTGAGTGGCACCCATCGGTCGGAATCAGGCTTGCCAGGTGCCAACAAAGACAACCCAGATACCACCCTTTAACCCAGAGATTTTGGCAGTTGAGAAAAGCAGCCTAAATTCCAGGTTTTATATTCCATTCTGTTCTGAAGCAGAGCTGTGTTTTGGTTCATATTAAAATGAAAACCAAACTTAATTTCTTCCCCACCCATAGCCTTAATCTTTGATTAATTCCTATCTTTCTTCTCCTTCAGCAAATCACCAGCTATTTCCTTAGCCATTTCCCCCTCTCTTTTAATTGTATTGTTGTTTTAAAACAAAAATGGGGGGTGGCAATTACAGGCAATTCCAAGGGTAAGAACATTGCTAGGAAGGAGCATGCTACATCATAAATTCATCTGGGATGTAAATCAATGGCCAGATGTCTCTCCACATGTGACCATATGTCTTGGTTTTTTCTTAGGCTAAGCGACATTTTGAGGGCACATCTAGATTTGTGTGTGGAACGTGTGTGTGTCAAAAATGAGCCTCTGATTTCAGGTGGGGCTGGGCATCTGAATTCATTTACTCATGGTCTCAGGGCAGATGGCACACAGGTCTGCAGAGATGTAAGCCCCAAAGCATATTGCCCCATTTTGCCATCAGACCCTTTAGAATGTTTGTAGAATGAGAAACATTACGAAATATGTTCCCTGGTAGTCTCTAGGGTTGGCCAAAATGATTCATGCTTTCTCAAACAGGCTTAATGGTCCACATGTGTTTAGACTTCTTGAAACTGCTCTTTGGGGGCAGGGGGAAGGCTTAGCTGGATGGGTTTAACAGCAAGACCAAATCTTGTCAAAAACAACAACCTAACTTCCAGTTCAGATTGGGAATTTAACATCCTCTTTTTATGTATTTTTGTTATTTTCTCAAAGGCTTCCCATTTTAATTACAAAACTGATTTGAAACTTCTTTTTTATTGTGCCACAGCTGCCTCTGAGATTCTTCACTGGATACTGAATTACAACTGATGATCTTTTAGTGCAATCCTATGTAGATTTACCCAGAAGTAAGAGCCTGAAGTGGAAGAGGGAAAAGGATTGGGGGGGGGGTGTTAGGCCCACTGTGGCCGATCAGAGAATCATAGAGTTGTAGAGTTAGAAGGTTAGAAGGTACCCTGAGGGTCACCTGGTCTAAACTCCTGCAATGCAAGAATCTCAACTAGATCATATGTGACAGATAACCAGCCAACCTCTGCTTAAACATGAAGAGAAGTGGTATCCCATCCCATCTCACCTGACTTTGAACATTGCCCTGAGTTTATTAGTGCTTAGTCCCAGGTAAGAGTTCATAGGATCGTAGCCATAGAAAACTTTGCAGGAATTCTCTTTTCACAATCACCTGGCATTCAGAGGCATGCTTCCTCTCACAGTGAAGGTAGACTATAGCTGTCATGGATAGTAGCAACTGATAGATTTACCCTCTGTGAAATAGACCCTTGATAAGGGTCTTGGTGCCCTACTCAACACTTAAGGAAGCTGTGGTGGACTTTGGGTTCTCAAATTCTAGCAGCCGCCTATGTGATGGTAAATTTCGGCGCCCTCTGCCGCTCCATTCTACACCATTGTTGTAGCCCTGGCACTCAGTACAGCCCAACTGACCATGCTACCCTAAAACCACCTCTGAAGGAAAGACGTCAGCTCAGTGGTGGAGCATCTGCTTTAATGCAGAAGGTCTCGGGTTCAATCCTTGGGGTCTCCAGGTAAGACTGTGAATGTTCCCTCTCTGAAACCTTGCTGCCAGTCCGTGTAGAGAATATTGAGGTGAATGTCCTAACTCAATAAGGCACTAGGCAGTTTCTTACATTACTGTAAGACGAGGGGGAGATGTCTTGTGGTATTACTAAGCAGCACCTTTTTCCTTCTCTTCTTCTTCTGTCAATGGCGTTTGGCTTCAGAGAGTTTTTTCCCTTTCTGGGTTGCATCAAAGCACGTCCTGCCTCATCGCACCTTAGAGCATCCTCAGAGCACAGTGACATGATCTGTGCCAGCCCACCTGGAAACACAACCGTTACAAAGCAGCAGCATCACCGATTCTCTTTCTACTTCTGCCATCAATGAACTGGAGAAAACAAGAGGCAGGAGCAGGCCAAACAGTGGGGATGCAGGCAGGGTAAGAATCGCTTTCTTTGTAAGGATAGAGGATGTAAGCCAAAATTCACCCCCCTGTCTTGTCAGTGAAGTTCCAGGCGTCAGCAGAGGATGCTGGCTGAACTTTGCCACTTTCTTCATGTTGTTGTTGTTGTTGTTGTTTAGTCGTGTCCGACTCTTCGTGACCCCATGGACCAGAGCACGCCAGGCACTTCTGTCCTCCACTGCCTCCCGCAGTTTGATCAAACTCATGCTGGTAGCTTCAAGAACACCATCCAACCATCTCATAACATACTACATCTCACGTGGCAGAGCCCTCATCTTACCCCCATGATGGAGGTGTCATGATAGAAGTTTATAAAACCATGCACAACATGGAGAAAGTGGAGAGAGAAAAGTTTCTCTCTCTCACTTCCAGGGTGGCGCCATCGGCAATGGCGGACTCCCTCTGATCTGGAGGGACTAGCTCCACGCGAAACAGGTCTTTTCCGCTATGGCGAAGCGGGGACCCTTTTAAAAATCACAGGCAGATGAAGCCTGTGACCATGGGACTCGGCGGGCACCTTTAGCGCCCCCCCAACCCGCAAAAGAACCCACTAACGGGCTCCGGAGCGAAGAGGGGGAAGTGGCGCGGTGCTGAGAGTCAACTGCTTCTTCCGTGGAGCGAAGCCGCACAGCCGTTGCCGGAGAGCGCTGCCTTTTTCCTGGGACAATTTGGCTTCTAAAGTAATCACCCGTGAGTACTTAAATTTCGGACAATTGGACTTTAAATAAGGACTTGCGAGTAGAAAGGAAAATTGGACTTAAAAGTTTAGGTCAATTTGGCACTGAAACGGGAAGGTCTAAACAGGAAGTCAGCCTTCCGTTTCTTTGTAGATAGATTAAAGCAAAGACATGGCAAACTAGAGCTCAGAAAATCGCTTGTAAAAGATTACCTTTCATCATTTAAAATTGTTGAACCCCCCTTCGGAAGCAGGAGAAGAGGGGGGATTTTTTCGGACTGTTTAAACCTGCAGAAGTGAGTGTAAAGTAAAGTAACTTTCCACCGTCCTGATCCTGGAGCGGGGTGTCAGGACTGACGTTTTTTGAAGCTCATTGACCAGAGACAAACGTTTTTGACAGATAGCTATAATAAGAGAAACATTGATTCCATTGTCCCTCTTCGCATTTTAAAGGAACAAATATTGACAAAATATCTGAAAAAGGAAACTTTGTTGTTAGACTTGTCTTTAAAAGAAAGAACAAATAGAAGTTTTCCCCTTAGAGGGAGACTGTGAAACTGTAACCAACTTCGGGGAGCTTGCAGCTGTTACAGATTACAATCGTGGGAATAGACTTCTGACCTTGCAGGACAATGTATTCAGAAGCTCTGTTGCGTGCTTTCTGTAAAACAAATGCCCTACTGGAACAGCTACATGAGAAGACGGACTTGATGACTGATGCGATCAGAAATTTTGAACAGGCAGTGGGAAATTATACGGAGCCCACCCAGGAATTAAATCAGGAGTGTGCCCTGACAGAACAGATGAGGGAAGAGGATGTTGCAGAATCTTGGGCGCCAGAGATGAAGGGAGCTGTGGCCCAGCAGGAACATGAGCTTTTGGACTTGACAAATGAACTTGGAAAAAGCCAGATTTGGAAAGATAAAGTTTGGTTTGGTTTGGAAATGGGGGGTTGGATAGGGGGTTGGATGCAGGGATGTTTGGACCTTTCAAGTCTGGCAATGGGCCGTGAGATGTTTGGGGTTGTGGGGGCTCTTAATTTTGGAGGGATTTTGAAACATGTTCTTAAATACCACATGGAGTTTAGTGTGGACTATGGAAAAGGGGCTGATTTGTCGAGAAGGGTCAAAAACATTGTTAAGCTGGAGTTCCCACGAGTGAAAGGAGCAGGAGACAAAGGAAAATACAGTTATAAATATGAAGAAGAGCTGCGGAAGGGACATGGAAGAGACTTAAGGGCCTCGGATACAAGGTTACCAGGTTAATGCGCTAGATTGATGGGATAATAAGGACTGACAAAACCCGGGACCAGGAGGAAGGGACGCTGGATGAAGACTGGATTGTTTTTATTTCCTTTTTTTACTACTAGGATTGTTTTATAAAATTGATGAATGTTAGAAAAATGTTGGAACGAAATTACTTGGCTTTAGCAAAAATGTTTAAAGAATTATGTAAGAATATTATGGTTATGAGAAGTTGGTAAAAATAAGATTTAAGTTTTAAGCTTTAAGGTTCTTTATAGTAAGATAAGATTAAAATAGATTAAGGTAATGTAATGACAGAATATTATGAAATATGGAAAGGATTTGCTGCGACAATTAACAACTAGGATACAAAAAAAGGGAGGAGAAGGAGGTCAAAGAAAGAAGTTAATGACAGTTGAAGATTTGAGAATGATGGATTTGTTTTTGAGTGTTTGTGGTGTATTTTTGTTTTTTTGAATTTGTATTGTTTGTTTTTTCTTTGTTTTTTTGTTTTTTTCTGCTTTGTTCTCTTTTGTAATTCTAAAAATTTTCAATAAATATCATTTAAAAAAAAAGAAAAAAAAGAAAAGTTTCTCTCTCTCATAACACTAGAACTCATGGACATCCAATGAAGCTGAACGTTGGAAGATTCAGGACAGAGAAAATAAAGTACTTATTCATGCAGTGCGCAGATAAACAATCAAACTCACTCCCATAGGAGGCAGCCATGGCCACAACTTGGATGGCTGTAAAATGACAAATTCATGCAGGAGAAGGCTATCAGTAGCCGCTAGCCATGATGGCTATGCTCTGTCTCCATGTTTGGAGGCAGTATCTTTGAGTACCAGTTGCTGGAAACCACAGGCGGGGAGAGGGCTCTTGTGTTTGGATCCTACTTGCCTGTTTCCCAACGGCATGTGGTTGGCAACTGTGAGAACAGGATGCTGGACCAGATGGGCCATTGGCCTGATACAGAAGGTTCTTATATGTTCTTATGATTGCTGCATTCTCTCCTCAGTATCCAGAGATGCTCATAGGAACTTCCTCAGGCCAGGTCAGAATCTTTTATTTTGCTCACAGCAGCAGTTGATTTAATCCCGTATTTCATATTTTGTGTTCTCTTTTAATATGTGTTATTGTAGGCAACCAATTAATCACTGTTTCTTTTATTAGTTTGCCAGATTGCATCACTGCAGTTAGATTCATTATTTCCAATTGTTCCCAAAAGTTCCTAACTGTTTCCAATTTCTTTGGCTCTCTTTGCTCTTTCCATGCTTTGGCGTAGAGTGTCCTGGCTATGGCCATTATATACAAAATCCATTCTTGATTTTGTTTTATACTGTCTTGGCCTTGCTTGGCCTTGGCATGCTTAAGATTCTTTTTTCCAAGAAATACTTGGGTCCAAACTAGACACAATGGGAGCTCCGTCAGGATGCAGATCCAGGAGACCCATGGCTGAGGCTGGGCTACGCAGGTGTAACTCCCCATCCTCAGCTCAGATATGGGACCCAGCTGCCTGAGCCAAGCCTAGCAGATTGTAAACCCTAAAAAGGGGGTGTTCTGGCAGCAGGACCAGAGACAGGGGTCTTAGGCGGGATTCTAAGATCGTTTAGCTTGGTCACTTGTGGTGACAACCTGTCATAGGTTAAGCCAGCAAAAAGGGTGATATAACTCAAAGACTATTTTAAGGGCTTGTTTTCCCTCTGCCAGGCTTAGGCCTGCTCAGCCAGCAACAGCCTTGCTCCTAAACAAATTTTGGAACTGGGCTCCCCTATTTTTATCAAAGAAACGTTGGAGGGTATGGAGTTATGTGACTCCCCCCAAGCCAAGGAGATAAGTACTGTAACTATACAACCTTTAAAAGACACCTGAAAGCAGCCCTGTATAGGGATGTTTTTAAATGTTTAATGTTTTCTGTGGTTTTATATCTGTTGGAAGCTGCCCAGAGTGGCTGGGGCAACCCAGTCAGGTGGGTGGGGTATAAATAATAAATTTATTATTATTATAGAATAGGACGTCCCTATTTTTATTGGAGAAATGTTGGAAGGCGTGGTGAATTGTTTGTCTGCTGGGTGTTGTTCCTTATCAGGTCTAGCTCATGAAGAGGCTTATTTACTGGCAATGCAGCAGCTAGATTTATGTTTGCACCGTTTACAATCACACCGTGCTCACATTTGTTCTTGTCAGTCAAGTAGTGATCTATTAATCAAACAGGACGCCTGGGGTGTTCATTACCACAAAAAAAAAAAGGTATGAAGACTGAATATGAATGGTAATTTTAGTGCTTTTGACAAACAAGGATTGTTAAGGCCCCCCCATGCACTATCAATTCATTATTAAGAGCTTGCTTGTAGTTAAGTGACAAGAACCCCAAATCTCTTATTCAGTCACTGACATGGCAGTTTATTCCTGCTCACCCCACCCAGCCCCAGTTCTGTTCATTCAGTGCCTAAGAATCCCCGCTGCTCTTCCCAGCATGCACTGCTGTGTGACCCTTGACCTCTGGCAGTGATTAATTGTCTTAGTGTCATAGCAATCACCTTGCTCTCTCTGATCCGCGCTCACTTTGTTCTCTCTGATCCTCGCTCACTTTTTCTCTCCAGATCTCCCCCCCCCCCCCATTTTTTAAAAATCTCTCCAGTATCCTGGTTACTGTAAAACAAATTAAGAGAAATGGCCTGTTGCTGGACCCCAAATCTCTTAATTCTTGATTCTGAGGCAGCTTTCTGCTTATGTTCTTTTTTTCTTTTTTGTTTACCTTGGATCTAATGAACTGGGAGGAGGTGATCTGCATCTGTGTCTAGACTCTAGCATACCCTCCAAGTGCCCTGATTTTCCAGGGACAGTCCCAGAACTATGAAAGTCATCCCAGCTTCTGATTTGATACTGGAATGTCCCTATTTCCACTGCCAGGGCTACTAGCTCTGAACTCACGGAGGAGGAGGAGACTGTGCTTCTCCTAAGCTGCAGCGGAAGCTGCGAAAGAGCACCCGGCCTCCCCATGGCCGCCGCTGCCAGGCTCCTCCATTGGACAGTTTGTGGCGGCGGCTGGAGAGCAGGCAAGGAGGAGAGGCTCTGGCTGTTGCAGCAGGAAACGGGGAGGAAAACAAAGCAAAAGGAGTCTTGATTTTTTAAAAAATACACTTTATGTGTCCGCATCTAATCTTGCCCCTTTCTAAAATTTATTTATTGATGTGTGCTTTACTTTTTGTAAATCTACCAAATAATAAAATAAAATTGGGATTAAGGGGCTTTCTCTGGACGGCAAAAGGTGTGTGTCCCTTGTGTGAAGTAGTGGCGGCACTTGCCCTACTTCTGATAGGAAATGCTGTGGGGGGAGGGATGGAGACAAAAATGGGGTCTGTTTGAGGAGGGTCAGTTTGGGGTGTGGGGAATGTCCCTATTTTCATCTGAGGAATGTTGGAGGGCATGCTCTAGGCTGGGCAGAAAGGCAGGTCTGTGGCAAGACTCCTGCCTGGCACCCTGCAGAGTTGCTGCCAGTCGGTGTAGTCAGTATTGAGCAAGATTGGACAATGATCTGCTTCCAGACTTGCCACTGTTTTCAAGGTTCAATTTATAAGGGAGGTCTTGTGCAATGAACTCATTTCCCTTAAAGAACAAACTTTGTGTAAGAAGGAAAGTGGTGGGGGAAATCCGCTAGAAAGTGTGGACGAACATTTGCTTTGGCACACAGCTGTCCTAAAATAAAAATAAAAAATCATGGGAGCTGTAGTTTACCTCTCAAAGAGGTACAATTCCCAATACCCTTAATGTGCTTTACATGATGGTGTGGATGTAGCCGAGGACATCTAACCCCCATGCAAACAAATCGGAATGAACTCCCATTAAATATCCAGCATGACTAATCTTCTTGAAAACAAACGGGGTGACTGGTCAATAAACAGCCCACCAGAAAGCACCCAAAGGCAGCCTCAAATGCTCTCTTCTCTTTGGCTAGGGCAAAAGGGAGACCCAAGGCTCTCTCCACAAGCCAATGCTCACTGTTCATCTGTGTCCATTGTGTCTGCGTTGAACAGGAGCTTGTTATCTCTGGTGACATAAGGGTGAAAAGACAGGTAAATATCCTCCTCTTAGGCTCGCTCAAATCGCACAAGGAACCTTTCCCCTGTGAGTGAAGGTTGCTCTGTTTAGGACTTTTTAGTTTAGAGAAAAGACGATCAAAAGGTGGCAAGTTTCTAAAATTATTCATGGCATGGAGAAAGTGGATGGAGAGAAGGCCCTCCTCCCTCTTATAACACTCAAACTCATGGACATCCAATGAAGATTCAGGACAGATAAAAGAAAGAACTTCTTCAGGCAACGCTGAGTTAAACTATGGAACTCTCTTCCATAGGAGGCAATGATGACCACCAGTTTAGATGGCTTTTGAAGAGGATTAGACAAATTAATGGAGGAGAAGGCTATGGATGGCCACTAGCCATGATGACTGTGCTCAGCCCACATAGTCAGAGACAGCAATGTTTCTGAATATCAGTTTCTGGAAACCACATTTATTTTTGCCAAATCCTGCTAAAACAGAATTAGCAGAAACAATATCAATCGACTTTGGGGTTGTTGTTTTTTATAAAAAAAACACAAAAAAAACAGAAGTGAGGGAAAACACTTAGCAGTTTTACATTCTTGATTCTGCTACTAAGAATGGATGCGTTAGCTGTATGGTATCTTTGTGACACTTGTTCAAGCATGGTGTGATTGTTAATTATTTCCCTCCAACGCTTTAATGTTGATTTGACAGGTTGTCAGGTTGTTTCTCTCTCTCCCCCTCCCCCAGCATTGCCTTGTCTATTTTGCAAAAGTATTGCACATGGTTGTGGTTGAAGAAATGTAAGCATATGCCTGTGTGTGTGTCTGTGTGTGTTTAAATTGTGCAATGAAATTAAATGGTGTATGACAAGAATGTTCTTTAAATAAGCCTTTAATGTGTGTGACACCTTTCGGAGGAAATAATGGAAGCTGGTTTTGTATTTACAGCTGCAGTTTCTACAACCAGTCCTGTATTGATTCTGCAAACCCCTTATTAACACCTGGCTGCGCTTTTGCAGTTTGCTGTTTGCCTGTGAGATTAACCCGGACAATTGCTTAAGTGAGTACAACTGCTCCCATGGTCCCGAGGTGATAGAAACCCTCCCCCCCATCTGCAGTCTATCTGAAGGAGATAATAAGTTTCAACAGAAGGCTGTGTAGTGGTGCTGTATCTTTGGAACTCCCTCCTAGCTTTTAAGTGTACCTTGAAAATGTATTTGTTTGAAACAGCAATCAATTAAATGGCTTTAAAATGTTTTTAAGTGCTTTGACTTGGCTTTTAAACGGCTTTAGACCTGTTTTAGGTTTTGTGATTAGATTGTCTCCTTGGTATTTTAAAGATTGTTTTATGGAGTTAATTATCTTCTGTAAGATGCCTAAGAAGCGCAAATCCCTGAAAAATGGCATACAAGTATTTTAAACAAAATAGTTTGTGGATCTTGACTACTGGTGAAATTCCAAAGTCGTGCCACTTGATTGTTTCTACAGATATTCTGCTCCAGTCTTCTCTGAGCACCTAGAAGTGCTGCTCTTCCATAGAGCTATGCCTAACCTCTCTGCATTACTCATTGCTGTGGAAGTGTTTCCTTTTAATCACGCCCCATCTGCACTAAACATTAAAGTGGCATGATACGGCCATAGCTTCCCCTGTAGAACTTTAAACAGTCAAAGATTTCACCCCAGGGAATCCTAGGAACTGTAGTTTGTTAAAGGTGCTGAGAGTTGTTAGGAGATTCCTATTCGCCTCCCAGAGCTATGTTGCTTTGCCATTTGAACTTAACGGCCCCATATTCCTCCAGGCAGATCTTCCTTTGCAAAGTCATGTTAAATGTGCAGAACTGGAAATTTCCCAAACAGCAGTGCATTGATAAAATTTGGGAGATCTGAATTACGTACCAACTCACTCTACAAGTGCAGTGAGCAGTAGTCCAATTTTTAAAAAGATGTTATGACTGCCGTGGCTTCCGTTTTATCTCCTTGGTGGAAGCTCTTCAAGATTCTGACCACATTCCAATCAAATGCAGATGTAGGTATATATTTTTCTGACTGCGATTCCGTTATATAACTTACGTGCTGAAGCTCTCTTAGGGCAGATGAACGCATCTGGTTGTGCTGATGCAGGTGTACCATGACGTTTTTTCTTCCTGAGCTCCTCCCAGTGGGCATCAGTCTCCCGTTAGATCATACATTTTTCAAAAATTCTGTTTTCAATGCCATGTGCATTTTCACGCACACTTTATCCCAGTACATACATTTTTGTACGCATTGCTCAGCTGGAGAACTGCACTGCAAAATCTGGAGTAGTATAGATTACAATTGATGGCTGCATTTCAGTTTGGACGTTGTTTTGAAAGTTGGTAAGGTTCCCCTTTCCAAGTGAACTGAACCTAATTTCTGCCCCTGCCAACCCTATCAAACTCTATGGGGCCTAAGTTAGCCATGGCTCAAGTCCCATTGATTTCAATGGGAGCTCAATCCAGCTACCTGAAGCTTGGATCTAACCTGTTGTCTTGACAGATGATTGACAGAGGTGCAGTATATCCTGTGGCTTCTTTGGAGTAGGCAAGTCATCTTAGATTTCTTTGACATGTTAGAGAGTTGAGAAGCTGCTCCATTTCAAAACACACAGATAGGATGTCGGTATGTGCCCGCGCACTTACGTCTTCAGATGTTTGCTAAGGTTGGATACATGATCTTGTTTGGCTTAACAAGCAAATGGTACGATCGCCTTGTCCCTTGGCATTCTTAGAAACCAGGGTGAATCATTGAGGAAAATCCCCCCCCCCTTTACGTTCCTTTCATGCGAGCAGAGAGAAACCTCCCTCCCTCTCCTCTCTCCCTTCTCTTTGGCTGGAGTTCCTTGTGTACTTGGAACACTCTGCTGAGCTCGTGAGCTCTTGACAAGTGCGTGAGGATCAGAGACACCGAATACCTGGGCTGCGGCCGCAACAATTATATTTTCCAAACGTTTTAGGGTGTTTAACAGCTAGGAATGCTAATTCCGTGCACTTTTACCGCTTGGTGGCTACTGGTAGCTTGTCAACATGTGGAGCTGCTTTGCCTCAGCTTCTCTCTAGGCTTGCATGCTGTGGAGTGCAAGTAATATGTTTAGTGTGCGGTTATTGCAAACGAAAGGAAAGCCAGTGTGGCTTAGTGGTCAGTGTTGAACTAGGAACAGAAAGATTCCTGTTCAAGTCCTCCTCACTTGCCCACAAAGCTTATTGAGTGAATTTTCGGCCAACTATTCTCTCTTAGCATGTCCCCCCTCCTAGGGTTGTTGTGAGGATAAAAAGGCTGGAGGAGATGAACTTTCCTGTGATGCAAATAGCGGGTTGTATCCAATGTTTAGGCCTACTCAGAGCAGACAAATTGAAATTAATAGGGATTGCTAGCTTAGGTCCATAAATATTGTTGGGTCTACTCTGAGTAAAACTTGGTTGATTGCAACCAAGGGTTGTTAACAGACTAGAGAAAAATTGGCTTGATGGGGGCAGAGGGAGCAGTTTTCATCTCCTCCTTCAACCTTTTTTAAAAAAAAAATTAAAAAAGGAATAAGTTGTGTCTCTTTGCTGCATAGACAGCTTTTAGTTTGTCTGTGCCCAGGACCCACAGCCAATAGCTGGTTCTGCCCCTACTCTCTGTTCTTAGACTCATTCTGGGTTCCACCCCTTGGCATCCCTTATTTAAAGAGTTGGTGACCTTAAACATAAATAGTTGAGAGACAGCATTGCCCTGTGGTTAGAGTGCTGGACTAAGATCCAGGCTGCAAGCTTACTAGGTGACATTGGTAAGTCACTATCACTCAGCCTGACTATCTTCCAACCTTGCAGGGTTGTTGCGATGATAAAAGGAAGTTGGGGTGTGGGGACTGTGCTCCCTGAACAAGGAGTAGCTGGATTAAAATGCAATGAGTAAATTAATTAGGTCCATGTCCAGGCCTAAGATACATATTTCTCTGTGTGTGTGTTTTGGGGGCCAGAATGAGAAGAGCTACACCTCACTTTTCACACATTGCAGCCTTGCTCCAAATTATAAGGTTATATGAGGAGTGCCCTGCTGGATAGGAGCAAAGGCTTAGCTTAGTCAGCCTCCTGGGGTGCCTCAAGATAAGGGCTTAATACTGTAAACAAGTGGTGGTGGTGGTGGTGGTTATTATTATTAATTACCTGCCCTTCACCCTAAAGTCCCAGGGCAGATTGCAGCATTTCAGACACATTATTAAAAGCCATTTAAAACAACTTCAAACCACAGGACTAAGGTGGGACTTAAAAATATGCCTCTACATTGTCAAAAGCCAAGGTAAAGAAGGCTGTATAATGAAAGTGCCAGACTCACCCATGTGGGGAGGGCATTCCACAACCTAGGGGCTGCCACAGAGAATGCCTTCTCCCAGGCTACCCCATTCCCCAAGCTGCTGAGGGTGGAGGAAATACCCAGAGGGCGCCCGCTGCCAATCATAATGCCCAAGAGGGTGTGCAGGGAAGGAGATGGCCTTTCAGGTATTTGGGGCCTGCCTCATTGTTCAGACATAGTAAGTGCATTGTTGGTAACAGTGTTTAAACTTATCAGACCTTATCTGGGAAGCAGCAATCAAGAGTAAATGTGGAGTGCTGGGGGGAGATATTTGGGCTGTCATTCGGATGCCAGCAATGCAATGTAGGCATTAGGGATTTAATGGCAAATATCTGTACTTTCCAAAACAATCCAGGAACCAAAATGCAGCCATTCACAAGCCATTCACTCCAAAATTTGCAGTGCAGTTCCCCTGCTGGGTAATGTCTATGAAAAACTGCACACACCAAAGCATGCATACAACAAATGCATTTGTTATTAAACATAACATACAAAAATGCATTACATTGGAGAAAACTGGCTTTGCAGAAATGTGTGGGACCTCTCTGTACAAAAACATTCCCTTCATCCCATTGTAGTCAGGGGGTGTTATCTACTGTGGAGCTATCTTCATGCATAAGAACAAAGGACAATGATGGCTGAAGGGGACATTCTCTTGCTTGGTGGCTTGTGAGTCATAGCCAATGTCTGACATGGGAAAAATAACTTGAGACAAGTTTTACTGGGTGACCTTGGAGGGATGTGTGGTCTGTTGGCTCCCAAGGTTATGGCTCTTTGGAGATGAGAGGCAGGTTTTGTTGTACTGGGATCGGCAAGTGTTTGAATGTAATAATAAATACTTCAGGAATGATAGTTTTCAAGGGAACAGATAAAGTTAAGTACGAAGAAAGGACACATACCATGATGTTTATAACCACTATGTTATCTTGCCAGTCAGCAAGAATAAAAACGGTGGAGTCCTAAAAGAGATTGGGGGGGCAGAAATCCCATAGCGATGAGTCCATCTGCATGCCTTAATCTTAAGCAATCCATCCTTTATTCTCTCTCTTTTTTTTTTAGTCTCACTAGGCATTCAATATCAGTTTCAGAGCCTGGGATGGCAGCAGCAGCTGCCTGGAGGACTCCCAAGGAGAGGGAGAGGAAGCTGAGGGAGCACTCCACAAGGGAAGGTGTTTGAAAAAGGGTGAGATGCTGTCAGCTCTGCAGGCAAAGGGTGATATAACTGGGCTCCTGCGCCGCACAGGGGTGCTACAGAAAGAATATAGTTGGTCAGGGGAGCTGTGGACTCAAAAAGGTTGAAAACCTCTGTTCTAGGGAGTTTCAGACACTTACCCAGGGTCTCTGTGTCTTTTTGGAAAATAAGGCACAGCGGTGACTGTGGCATCTTTTATTTACACATATATACAACCTGAGCCTAACAGACAGCATCTCAAAAAGCAGAGACATCACCTTGCCAACAAAGGTCCGTACAGTTAAAGCTATGGTTTTCCCAGTAGTGATGTATGGAAGTGAGAGCTGGACCATAAAGAAGGCTGATCGCCGAAGAATTGATGCTTTTGAATTATGGTGCTGGAGGAGACTCTTGAGAGTCCCATGGACTGCAAGAAGGACAGATCCTGAAGCTGAGGCTCCAATACTTTGGCCACCTCATGAGAAGAGAAGACTCCCTGGAAAAGACCCTGATGTTGGGAAAGATGGAGGGCACAAGGAGAAGGGGATGACAGAGGACGAGATGGTTGGACAGTGTTCTCGAAGCTACCAACATGAGTTTGATCAAACTGCGGGAGGCAGTGGAAGACAGGAGTGCCTGGTGTGCTCTGGTCCCTGGGGTCACGAAGAGTTGGACACGACTAAACGACAGCACAGCCTGAACCTATGATGGAGGGGTCCCCAGAATTACACTCAAAGAGGGCCTTGCCCCTTCCAGAAGCACATCGTTGGGTTCAGACATCAGCTATTTTTCTCTGCCTCTTGCTCTCTGCTTGTCACATAACATCTTCCTCCCAGCTGCTAAACCACAGTTGCTTTTCCTGAGGTGTGAAAGGAGCCCCACCCCATAGTTGCCTCACAGAGATTCCTGGTGATCCATTGTTGTGCTAACGGCTCATTGCCCCACAGGCTAACACCTCCAAGGAAATTAGTCTTGAGTTATTCCATGGGATTAGTTAGGTGTCAAATACACAGTTTAGGAAGTTTGCCTAGCTAAATTAATCCTTTCACATATGTTAATTCCAGAGAATTAAAGCATCCAACACACATCTTAACACACATGAGTCTGGCAACAGACCGGCCTTAATTAAATTCTAACACTAACTTGATCTGGAATTTAGGGTGACTTGCACCCACAGATTCATAACAATACAAAGCAATGGAGCTTTCCAAGCAATTCAGATAATATGCAGGATTGTATCTTATTTTTTACTTCTTCAGAATCAAATTGGATAATTCTTAACAGATGGCAGTCATCATTCCCCCTTATCAACTCAAATTTTCTTTCAGGAATATGTCATTCCTGTTGATCTTAAATTTTTTAAATATAATATACTGCCTCCCGTTTGATAATGTTAGAATATAGGAGTAGAGCCGCAATATATGTATTAATTGTAACTTAGGAAGATATTCAGCTACATTTTATGCAGAGAAGGTCAATTGTAATTAATGGAGCTAATGGAACTTAGGGCTCACCCAGATTTGTGTTTATCCAGCACCTAGAAAGCATGGGTCCAAGCAATTTTCCGTTTGTCTTGCAATTTCTTGGCACAGGTCTGAGAGATTTTGCCCTCGCCCCACTGCTTTTATTAGTGATAAATTGGAGCAAACATCAATCTGGAGAAAACCCAATTTCTCTTCTTTGCCTCCAAATTTCACTTTGATCTAAATTGGCTGTATAAACAAAAATTGGGCAGTTAAGATTCCATAGGCCAGTTTAAAAAATAATATAAAATCCAAAGTACCGTGTGTGTGTGTCTGTCTGTCTCTGTGTGTGTGTGTGTTGGGGGGGGGGTGTTTTCCATTCCAAATAAGAGCATTTGCCTAGAATGGAACCAGAGATCTTGTTCCGAGGAGCGCAAAACAATTTTAATGCCAACAATATTTTACACAGTAGAATACTTCCCTTACCCGCTGACTCTTCCATATAGGAGCAAGCCCAAAGGAACATTTCATGTGGAATTATTTAATTTTGATTAACAGAATGCTACTTTTAGCTGGGAAAAATGTTCCCATAGACTGGTAGGCAACAGAAAGGCTGTATAAAGCCAGATTACATCACTTCTTTCTCAGAGCAACAAAAGACCAATGGCATCCCCTCTTGCTGAGAGAAAATTAGCAGCAACTTTGGATCCAGGGCAAATACTTCAGAAATTAGGGGGTTACTGGCTCCTTCTAGGACCTGACACCTATTTTGCAAAGCACATCCAGAATTTCCTTTTGGTTCTTAAGACCATTTCCGTACTTTTAGATATTTTTACTATACCAAACTGTAGGTTTCTGAACGGAAAACTTCTAATGAGTGCAACTGGGAATGCACAATGGTCAGTTTAAATTTGAGAAACAGTGACTGAGAAATTTGGAAGATGAGAGAAGCCAAAATGGATAGATTTGGCCATTTCTAATTGCCAGATTCCATTTCTGAATTAAATATAGGAAGTGAAAAAATAATTATATATGGTTAAGGAGGAGGAGTATAGTTACATCCACAGCATGCATCCAAAGCACACAACTTCCCCCAAACACACCCCGAGAACTGTCGTTTCCCCCTCACACAGAGCTATGATTCCCAGCACCCTTAATAAACTACAGGTGCAGATTTGATCTGTGTATTTATGTGTGTATGAAGGATTTTGGAAAAAAATTCCCCACGAGGTGGAGAAAGAGGGGAAATATTTAGCTTCTGGTTTTTGTAAAGCTTGTTCAGGATTTAATGTCTGGCTTTAAGATCATTCACCTTTCTGTCTTCAAAGCAACCTGAAGAAAGAAGGGAACGAGAGACGTCAAAGATGTTCATAAATCACCGAAAAGGAGAAGAAGCCGCAGACCATCAAATGTGCAACAGAGCAAGGCATTTTACGGGTATATCTGAAGGAAAGGGGTAGGGGTGGGAATCTGTTCTGGGTTTTCGGTTTCCAAGTGCGTAATGCTGTCCTGCTAGCCAAGTATCTCAGGAGTGGAAGACTCTTCGGCACACAGTTGGTATGTGACTCTTGCAGCACCTGAGAAAATATACAGGCAGTGTGCTGGCCACAGGAATTTCATCCAGAATACGTGCTGCTGTTACAACCAGCAAACTCCACACATCATGTGCAGATGTTCATAGGAAGCTGCCCTATATAAAAGCAGGCTATTGGCCCATCTAGCTCAGTATTGTGACTTAGGCCTCCTCCAGATGACCGATTTATTGAGCTTTGCTTGCACAAAGCTTATGTGAGGTTAGACCGGTGGTTTCCAAACTTCAAGTCACCGCCCCCTTATAATAAACTTATTCTCAGTGCCCCCACCCTATAAAAAGCTCTACTCAGAATAGCAGTTTGCATGGCCAACTGAGGAATATAACAACACAATAAAATTCAAAACAGTAGCAATTAATTGTCCATTTATCTAAAATACAATTGAAACTATTTAGTTTAAGTAATTCAACAAAATCATAGATTTGGAAGGGACCCAAGGGTCATCTAGTCCAACCCCCCATAATGCAGGCATCTCAGCTAAAGCATCCATGACAGATGGCCACCCAACCTCTGCTTAAAAACCAAGGAAGGAGAGTTCACAACCTCCTGAGGGAGACTTCCACGGTCAAGCAGCTCTTCCTAATATTTAGTTGGAATCTGCTTTCTTGTAACTTGAAGCCATTGGTTCAAATCCTACTCTCCAGAGCAAGAGAAAACAAGCTTGTTCCCTCTTCCATGTGACAGCCCTTGAGATATTTGAAGATGGCTAAAATGGATGACCTTGATCCAGTGATGCCAGCTTTTCAAATTATGATAGACATTTACACCTCCAGCAACCCCTTGCTGCCCCCACTTGCCTCTTAACACCCCTCTATGGCAATCCCACTGCCCCCAGTGGGTGGTACCACCCACCTTGGAAACCACTGGGTTAAACTATAGCCTGAGCACACACCATACATTTAAAGCACAATGAGTTCCCCCGAAGAATTCTGGGCACTGTAGTTCGTTAAGGGCGCTGGGAATTACAGGTCCAGGAGGGTTAGACTGCAGTTCCCAGGATTCTTTGGGTGAAAATGTATGCATTAAATATATGGCGTGTCTATAGTTTCTGTTCAGTATCTATTAAGCAGCCACCTTTTTTATTTGCAGGGAGGTTGTACTACAATAAGCATTCATCTTCATTTGCTTGTGGTGAGTTTATATGTCTGCTCGTTCATCATTTGCAAGTTAGTATTAAAGGTGTTCCACAGGTAAAAATTCTCCAGGTCAATCCTTCAAAAGCTGGCATTCATGGTTTAATTTCTTTTCTTGCTGTGATGACTCTGCTGCAGCAGAAGGCATCTGTAGGGAAGGGCAGTATCTCAGTGGTGGATCATCTGCTTTGCATGCAGAAGGTCCCCAGTTCAATTCCTGGTATCTCCAGGTGGCACTAGGAGAGAACCCTTCCTGAAACCCTGGGGAACTGCTGCCAGTCTGTGTAGGCAATACTGTGCTAGATAGACCAATGGTTTGACTCTGTCAGAGGCAGCTTCCTATGTTCCTATTGGTCACTGTGAGAAAAGGATGCTGGACTAGATGTGCTTTGGCTTGATCCAATAGGGCTCTTCTTATCTTCTTCTGCAACACAACTTAGAGCAGAGGTAGCCAATGTGGTGTCCACCAAACATTGTGGACTACAGGTCCCATCATCCACGACCCTGCTAGCTGGGGCTGATGGGAGTTGAACAACATCTGAAGGGCACAACATTGCATACCCCAGTCAGAACCAGTGCCAAATAATGTGCAGATGAGGCATCAATACACAAACCACAAAGTGCATCTCATTCAGGATAATTAAATGAAGTCAGAGCGGCCTCAAAATAGGCCAGGGGACCTACAAGCAAACATAGGGTAGTATTCAACACTAGTGCTACTCAGAGTAGACTCACTAAACTATCATAGGTTCTTTAATTTCAGCGGGTCTACTCTGAGTAGGACTTGGGTCAATGCCACCCATAATTAAGGCTTTATATGAAATCTACATGGGGAATGTGTAATCTGCTGAGGAACGTTAACACGATGTGTTAAAATCTCTTTTTAAACGAACATCTTCGCTAATCCTTAAATGCGCTTTGTTTTCAGCTATGTTCATCCTGAACATTTTAGTTCAGTTGCTGTTATTATTTTAATCCTGTACATTTTATGAAATTGGCTGGTCCTCTTAGCAGTTGAAGATTTCAATCCTAAACACATCTACTAAGAAACACATCCCATGGAACTGTGTAAACCGCCATAAGATTGCCCTGTGAGCAAACTTTCAACTTTTGTACATTTAGAATATTGTTGTTGTCATCTTCATTATTCTTTATCATTATTTTAAGCATGTATGTGTTACGAAATTGGCTGGTCTCCTTGGCAGCTGACAATTATAATCCTAAATACGTTTACTAAGAAATAATCCCATGGTGGAGCGGAGTATTCCACTGTTGTACATACAGAATAAAAGTTGTGCCTATATAAGGTATACAACAAGCAACTCCTTCCCTCCCTATACAGCATTAGCAGGAATGCCTCAAAGGACAAAATCATGACCAGACCCTGGCAGAAGAATGCACATATGGTTAAAGGTAGGAGACAACCACATATGCACACAGCAAGCTCTGCTCACATCTGTTGTTTGTTTAACCAGCCTTTTCCTTCTTCATAGTTTTTGAAGGAAAGAGGGGAGGGTATGTTTGGAAGGGGGGAATGATCAGAGAGGCTTTGTTTTCTAAAAGAGAGAGAGAGGGAGAGAGAGAGGGGGGAAAAGTGGTACAACTCAAACACGGATCAGTTTTGTACTGCTTTAACCATAATGGTTTTCTCTCTCCAGGCCAAGAATCCTGGGAATTATAGTTTGGCGACATGCAAAAAATTATCTGTGTAAGTTGCTTAAGCCCCCCTCCCCCTAAATAATCACACAGCTAGAGTTCCCAGGGGAGAGGAAATTACATTTAAACCAGTAAGGCCATAGTGTAGGTTTGTCTCCTGCAATAAAAAAGTTCAATTTTAGCAGGGAACGAGGTTAGCAAATGCCTTGTAAGACAGTAAAAGGCTTTTTGATTTCGCCTCTCCAGTCATTTTCGGTTTTATTTAGAAGCAATGTATTAAAGGAGGTGAAAGTATCTGCTTTGCTCCGGTCCCAGTGTTGTTCATGGTTGCTGTTGTTTTTTAAAAAAGATATAAAGTCTGAGGATTGGCTTGCCTGCAGGAGCAGACAAAGCTACTGTCTACTGAGTCAGGCTGTGTCCATCATGGGCACACCCTGGCAGGGACAAAAGCAAAGCCCTGATGCCTGTCCTGGACCATCCTTTAAAAAGTGAATAAATTCTGAACAACAGAACCTGGAAGCCAGTTTTAAACCCCTGCAATGATGCCAATGTTGCAGTGTTCCAGGGCTTCGTAAGGAATCCAAACGGCATTTCCCAGCTGCCTGCCACAGTAGCCAACTACCGGTAAGTCTTACTCAGAGTAGATCCATTGAAATTAAAGAACTGAAGTCTGTCGTGATCATTTACTTTAATTGGTCTACTCTGAACAGGAATAGTGTTGAATACCACCCATAGTAAAGGGCTCTCAAAATGAGCCTACTCAGAGTTAGATCACTGGTCCGTCTAGTTCAGTATTATCTAATCCAGTGGCCTTCCAAAGTCTTGGGCAGGGGTCTTTCCCATCATTTGCTATCAGATCCTTTTAATTCAAGATTGCTCTAAACAGGCTCGAAATAAAGAAATAAAAATGAGTAAAGCTCTTTCATGTACATTTTGTTGTTGTCATCTGTGAGCGACCTTGCAAGGTAGGTCAATATTATTATCCCCATGTTGCAAGCAGAGTTCTGGCGCCCTGAGCTGCATTTTGAATGGTCTCCCCAGAGACCTTTGCCTGGCACTGAATATGATGTCCTTTCAGCACTAGATGAAAACCCTTTCCTTTGCCCCAAGCATATTAGATTTAAGTTTTTATTCATTTTAATTAGGCTTCTACAATGTGTGTCCCCCTGCACTGCTCCTGTTTATATTATATTTTTATTTGATTGCTATTTCTGTTGTGTTATCGGTGCATTTTATTGTTTTAGCTGCTCTGAGAGCTCTTGCTGGAAAATTTCTAAACAAATTTTCAAAACAAACAAACAACAGCATCTGTCTTGCAGAGATGAAATTAACTACAACACCACAGCAGTTCCTGTTGCTTTCAGTTCCATTTCTGGTCACACTAGATCATGACAAAGAAACAGCAGTTGGCATGTAGGTTTTAGATAGCAAAATGCCCACCAAATTTGGTGTGCAAGGGAGGAGAGATTGAGAGCTCCAGCCCCTTCCTAAACACACCCCCCTCCCCAGTTTGGCATTGCAAAATGTTTACTTAAAAAATAACCAAATAAATACATATAGGTAACATTTCACCAGAAAGAGGTTACAACCTGAAAATCTCTTATACAATATTTCTTATCTCTTGGTGGACTCCTTGATATAACTTAATTCTGTTCCAACATAAGACAAAAGGTCTCCAAACTTCCATGAGTATGATTGCTCCATTTCCCCATCACTGACGTTTGCCAGCTGTTTTGGAATCAATCGTCAAGCATTGCTAGATTTTTGCCCCACCCCCAGGAATACAGGAAACTGCCTTGTACTCAGTGAGACCATTGGTCCACCTGGTTCAGCATTGCCTACACTGACTGGCAGAGGCTCTCCAGCACTTCAGACCAGATGTCTCTCTCAGCACAACCTGCGGATGCCAGTGATTGAAACCTGGGTTCTTTTGCATGCAAAGCAGATGCTCTACCACAGAACTATGGCCATCCCCATAAAGTGTTTAGCAACTAAATTATGAGTTACAATCTACGTATTGTTTACTTAGGCATTTGTATTCTGTTTTCATAGATTGTCCAAACAGAGCAAGAACAAAATTTCAGGTTTTAGAGACATCATTTCCTCTCCAGTCTCTTTGATAGTTCTTATGATAAGTTTCCTGAAGTTTATTACATACTTACAGGACCACCACATTTGCCTGAAGCCTGTGTTTTGTTCCATACGCTGCCAACAAGATGAATTAGCTAAGCCAAGTACAGCTGCCACCAGCCCTGCACACTCGCCACGCTGGCTGAAATTGTTGGGATTTGTAATTCAACATCTGGTGTTTGCCACCCTGAGCTAAACCATATAGGTGACAATACCCATCATTAGTCATACTAGGGAGACCCACTGAGTTATGTTCAGTGCAGTTCTACTTAGAATAGACCCCCTGAAATTAAAGTACTCAAGTGAGTCATGCCCATGAATTTCAGCGGGTAAACGCTAAATAAAACTAATATTAGCTACAATCCATTGAACTCGATGGGTTTAACGCCATGAATTTCAGTGGGTCTACTCAGTTTTGTTGGCCTTGTGTTTCTTGCAAGTATGGGGAATCTCACACCACATGCAGATCATTTTAATGAAAATTTCTTTAGATCTAGTAGCTGCTTTGTTCTTTCTTCTCTGCTTTATGCCCTCTTAATGTAGTTTCAGAATTAGGGTTTTCATCCCATTATTCAACCCAAGATGTGAAGAGAATCTGCAACCCTTCCTTTTTTTTGTGGTGGTGGAACAGTGTCCCTGATAGTAACAGCCAATTGAAATACCAGAGCGAGTAGATGCATAACACAAAACAGCTGTCAGGGTTTCCCCCCACCTCCTCTTGGCAAATATAAGCTTTCAGATCTATAGTTCAACCCACCGTTTGAGTGGAAGTCAGAGAAGCCATCCCTGAAACATCTGTGGTAAGGGTTGTAAGGCTTTTAAGAAATGGAGAAGAGGAAGTAAAGCAACACTAAGGGCATATTCACACCACACATTTAAAGCACTGTTATACCACCTTAAACAGTCATGGCTTTCCCCAGAGAATTATGGGAGCTGTAGTTTGTTAAGGGTGCCAGAGCTGTTCGGAGCTGTTCGGAGACCCCTGACCCCCTCACAGCGCTACAATTCCAGGAGTGGTTTATCAATCAACTCTTCTTCACAAGGACCTATCAAAATCGTAGTTCTGTGAGAGGAATAGGGGTTTCCTAACCGCTCTCCACACCCTTAAACTACTGCTCCCAGAATTCTTCAGCACAATCCTATACTCGTTCACATGGAAAGAAGTCCCATTTCACTGCTCGCTGGGTTAGAGGGGGCAAGGGCAAAGGCCAGAAGCGGCTCACTAGGTGAGATGGATCCACTACGCTTGTGTCCTTCAGTGACCCATCTGCTGGGAAGCTGGCAGAGCAACTCTGCCCCACCCAAAAAAGCTGTTTCTGGCAAGAATTGTGAGGATGAGGAGCACCAGGAGGCTCTGGGGATGAGCCAGGGGTGCCATTTGGGGGAGCTGAGCAGCTGAGGGCTCTTCTTAAATCTTCAAGCAGGAGGCCAGCTAGGCTCCCTCAATATTCCACAGCCTGAAACGGGCCTTGCTGGTCCTTCCCACAGCTGCGATGGGCCCCATTGGGCCTTCCCATGGCTGCAGCAGGCCTCGCAGCCTCCTCCTGCCACGTGACATCACATGTGCACATCATGTACGTGACATCACACACACACACCGGGCACCCCCAAAGTTGGGCAGAACCCACTGGGATGGGCAGTGGGTCCCTTCCTAAAACATGACCTTTGGCAAGTGCCTGATGGTGCTGACCTCAGGCGTTAACCCTGTAACTTCTTGCTGGCTGTTTGTATCCAGGTTTTGACACCAGTTATCCATGATGAAACCTTGTTGGGTTACAAAACCCCCTTAATCACTACTGCGAGGAAGCAAATTGTATGCGGATGGGTTTTTCTTGGGTCGTCTAGTTGAAGAATAGGCCGTTTCCTTTTTGCCTTTGCAAAAGGAAACAAAAAAGCCAAAAGTGAATTGGCTCTTAATCTCCAAAGGAAGCTGATATGAGATGGATTTCTCCCTTCATCTCTCCCTGGACTGTTTTTTTCTTCCTGCTGTGAGAAAACTATGGTCACAGCACACCTGTGTTTCACAGGAATATAAAGGTTTTTGCAGCAGAAACCTCTGAAGCCCCCAGGAATTCCTTTGACGCTGGGATATGAGCAGCAGCTGTGGGTCTTAATAGCTGCAGTCTCCTTTTGGGGGGACTTTAATAAACATCCCCTTCCTTGAAAAGAAGCTCCAGTTAAAAAAATACATTCTCAAGTTGTGTATTGCACTGTTAAATAAATAAATTTGTTAGCCTTAAAGGTGCTTTCTGCAGGATTCTTCACTGTTGTTAACGCGAAGATGGTGACCCTAAAGAACAGTGTCACAAATGATCTGGACAGCCTTCTCTGTTAAAGGTTCTGTCTCTCCATTTGGCTGCATGCACACTAACCCATTTCTAAATGTAGAAAATGTAGTTTTTCTCAATCTGGAATTGTTGATACTTATCCTCAAGATTAAGGAGCCTAGGACTTGCCAATCAGAAGGTCGGCAGTTTGAATCTCCTAGACAGGGTGAGCTCCCGTTGCTCAGTCCCTGCTCCTGCCAACCTAGCAGTTCGAAAGCACGTCAAAGTGCAAGTAGATAAATAGGTACCGCTCCGGCGGGAAGGTAAACAGCATTTCCGTGCGCTGTTCTGGTTCACCAGAAGCGGCTTTGTCATGCTGGCCACATGACCCGGAAGCTGTACGCTGGCTCCCTCGGCCAATAAAGCGAGATGAGCGCCGCAACCCCAGAGTCGGCCACGACTGCACCTAATGGTATGGGGTCCCTTTACCTTTACCTTAATCCTCAACATTAGGGTTGCCATATTTCAAAAAGTAAAAACCAGGACACCCCGAAAGTTTCAACAGGCCTTTCGGAAATTTCCCGGACGTATGGCAGCCCTACTCAACATGCCACTTTCAATTTAGATTGATCCTAGGTCCTGCCATCCATAAGCGGGGGTCTGTTTACTTGATAAACAATTGAAAATCTTTTCCTTTACATTATTCACACCTTTTTCTTCCCTGCACATACCCCAGGTGAATGAAGGAGGAGGTAGTGATCCCACCCACAGCTTCATTGGGCAGCTATGGATCTCCCCGCACCAGCCAATTGCTGGGCCCACTTCTATCTGTTTTCAAACGGGCACACTGTGGGATAATACAGAATCAATATGCAATACCCCCCCCCCAAATGAAACTAGTTTCTCAAGAGGCGCTTCTTAGGGGCAACAAATTTGCACTATATTTCCATTGTGTGCAGACTACATAGAAAACACAAGTACTCAGCCTCCATAGATTCTAGAAATGTGTGCATACAGTCTTTATTTCCATCACTGAATAAGGTTTATTCTGTTCCCACCATCTTTCGTTGGTACCAACACTCAGTCTGACAGCTTCCTGGTGCTTTTTGTCATCCTATGTAATGAAGAAACCCAATTTGTATTGTGTATTGTTTTTGTTTTCAGGTGGGGTTTTTTTTAATTCAAAAATTATCCTTGTTAGAATACTACTTTAAGGGACTTCGAAGGAAGGGAGGTTTTTTTGTTCCTTTTTTGTTCTGTTTTATTTTAAGATATAATGAGAACTTTGTGTGAGCCGCCTGCAGCATCCCTGTTAAAACTGTGATTAATGTCACTGTATAATTCTGACAAGCTGAAGCTCTCTCATGGCATCCATTCATCTCAAGAGTTCCTCTCTAGCTCTTATTTATTTATTGAACAACATGTAAGCACCGTTCCCTTTTTTTTGTCTAAATGTATCAGTGTTTCAGCACAGAGACTTCAAGGTTTCAGTCTTGTTGACAATAATGAGATCATTCAGACAATTACCGCTGTTCCCCTCCTCGTATGTTTTTTATTTCTTTAAAAAAAACCTCCACTGGTGAAGAAGATTAAAGCAAAGTTAAGCAGCTTTGTCTGTTTCCTGTTATCCATTTGCTAAACTGGAGGGGGAAAGCAGTGTGTTTGTGTGTGGGACATCCACACACCCACACACACCCACACCCACACAAAAACAACAACCCTTTAACATTCCAGTTGTATAAAATCAGGGTAAAGACAGCTGTAATGTTTGCAGATCACTAGGGCTTCTTTGGAAGTCCTGCACCATCATCCTGCACCAACATACCCTTTGCTATCCAGGGTCAAACTCTGGGGGTGGGAATAGTTCCAGAAAAACCCAGCTGTGGGTGGCACTGATTGGCTAGCTCTAATGCCGTCACCAAGACACCTCCCACTCCCCATATCGCCGAGGCATTTTCCTGTTGTTTTACAACTTCTCTTACTCTGTGCCCTTGTACTTTTGTACTTTTCATTTTTCAATACAGGATATAAAATTTAAAAAACCTTGATTTGAAAACAAGACAAGGGATAAATGTAGAAAGTGCTAGGTATGCATGTGCTTGCACATTTGTTTTGTTCTAATGTGGGCAGACCACGTAAAGCAAGGGTCCAGACGGATCAGATTGTTTGGGATAATGCAGAGTTGCCACTGATGTCTGTGCCTGAAACCTTAAGATCTCCCTCATCCAGCTTGCAAGTTAACTTCGTTTTCCTCAAGTCACTTCATTAGCCTAGGATTCTGTTTCAAACTTTAGCTGACCTGAAGCACCTCAGACTCATTGCCCAGCCCTGACATCAGATCATCACCCACCTAAACCCATAACCCAACTCCTGAAGACTTTCCCTCAAATTTTCTGGGGATTTTTGCCCATGGTAAGATGGGCCTGAGGTTGTCTAACAGCTCGTAAGGACAGAAATTTGCTGGGAAGCCAGCAACATTAAGCCAAGGCACCCTGTCACAGCATTTGCTTGCTCAGTTATACTTGTAGCAGAAACAAATCTCATTAGAAGCCTGTGACTGTCCTGCTAATAACAACTGCTTTATTCATGCAAAAGAAGAAGAAAAGAGAGGGGTGGAAGAAGAAACCCTCAATGTACAAATGGGAACAGGGCAGTGGGGTGACAGAGAAGAAAAGTCCCGTCAAAACTAGATTAAAATAACATCAAAGAATGAAAATAAGTGAATTCAGAGTTTAACTATGAAACTCTCTTTCCTGCTGTGTATCTAGATACTGCAGGAGCCTCAAAGCCATGATTAGCTTAGACACCAAAGGCCGAACGGTACAGTAGATCAGCTCACACAGTTATAGATGACATCAAAGCAAATTCCACATGAAGGACAAGGGCAGGTGGTACACAGCGCTACATGCGCCTCAATCAACATGGTCAATGGGGTGTCCTAGGAGCTGTTGCTAAACACACACACACACAATATCCACAGTACTTGCTTAAGTTTTCAGGATCTGCACCATCCTGCCAAGCCATGGGATGCTGCTCAGATATGCCGCTGATAAGAACAGCCCTGCTGGATCAGGCCAATCTAGTCCAGCATCCTGTCCTCACAGTGGCCACCAGATACCAATGGGAACCCGTAGTAAGCAGAACCCGAATACAAGAGCACTCTGCCTCCCCTCCTGTCATAGCCACGCAATACATTTAAAGCAGGTGGCTCCTCCCAATCCTGGAAATTGTAGTCTGACCCTCACCGAGCTACAATTCCCATGATTCTTTAGAGGAAGCCATGCACTTTAGATGGTTCTCTTCCCTATTTCTACACCAATAGCCCACTGTCCATATGTTATCTTCCCCAGTTAAAACACAGAGGTTTTGTTGAGAACTTAACCCAAAGCCTTCACTCTGGTCAGGGACTCACTGCTCATTGTGGGCAGCTACTAAACAGCTGTCACTCTGGCTTCAGCTCTTCTGGAGTACTGCTGCAGGAGTTTTGCTCTTTGCAGACCTTTTTTAGATGTTCTTACTTTATCTGTAAGCCGCCTTGAGTCCCTGTCAGGGGGGAAAAAGGCGAGGTATAAATAAATATAATAATAATTCAGACTTCTGTGATATCAACTTTGGTGGCCTAACATCTTCCTCTTTGGACAGCTGCTGCTTCCTGCTGCTAGGACCTCTCAGCCCTAGTCTGGGTTCTTCTGTGTCCTTGTCTTGGTGCAGATTCTTAATCAGTAACCAATCAAATGTTGCACTCTGTCAACCCATCCATTCAAGGGCCAATGAGTACAAATGGAATGCCCACTAAAAACCTATCTCAGTCCAAGCTTTTTTATTCTACTATCTTGTATAAAAGCTGGTCTTTAATGTCAACTGACATAATGGAAAACTTCACAAGGTACAAAGTCACTGAACTGGCCTAGCTGGTCCTTGACAGGATGCCAACTGAAGACCTAGTCATTTTATCTCCCAGGCCTCCATTAGAAACAAACTGTCAGTCTTTGCCCTTCAGTTAACTATCCACAAAACTTTTTTAAAAAAATTATAGAACAGCATTCATACATATAGATTTATATATCACTTATGTAACTTTAACTTATATTGCTGTATGTCCGCAGGACCTATAACCAGAAATGTTGTGGCAAGAGGTCCTAAGGGGTTGTAGCTTCCCAGCTGTGGAATGCTCTCCCAAGCAAGGTCTGCCAGGCACCTTCATTGACATATTTTCTGCACTAGGTAAAGACTTAAGCTCCCCCTACCAGGCTTTTGACAGACTAAGATGATGTTTCTTTGTTACTAGTGTGTTGCCAAAGCTTCCTGTGGCTTTTATGGGGTTTGTTGTGTTCTGCTTCAATATATTCATATTTATATTTTAAATGTGTTGCAAATTGCTTGGAGACCTTCAGGTAACAAAAGGCTTAAAAGTCTAAACAACAACAACAGCACCAATAATAATTGTGTTAATGAGCAGTTAGGTAAAATACTGACTGCCCACTTTTTATTGCATTGTCCACAAAAACAAGGAAGAAGAACTCTTTTCATATATATAAAAGCTGACCGTTCCAGTAAGAGCCTGTAATATCTCCAATGGGAAGCTAACCATTCCCAGTCCAGGCTGGAGCAGAGCTTGTGACAGACTGCCATGGAGTCTAGCATAAGACAAAGGCATGTGAATCAGAGGCATAGCCATGAACAAAGGTCAGCGACAAATCAGCCATACAGGAGGCCAGAGGCAGGAAAGGCTATAGACCACATACCCAACTGACAAATCCAGATTGCTATTCATTGTAAGAAGTTGCTCAGGCTAGTGTAGAAGGAAGGTTTTATATGGCCTTGCCTGTCTCCATTGGGTGGAGAGGTCAGCTGATCACCTTCAGATTCCAGGGTCAGCTGACAGCACTCAAACCAGTGCTGCATCCTAGAGGGAGCCCTAGCCCAGAGTACTGGTGACTCAAAGAAGGTAAGGCTCTGAATACTGGCTTCTGGAGGCCCCAGCTTGAGACCTCCCTCCCACCCCTGGTAAAACATGAGTATTTTTTAGCAAACCAGCATATCCTGTAGCCTATCAGACTCAATGCAGCCTGGGCATACCAGGTGTTCTGACAAGCCCCTGGCTTTGCATTCCATAATAGCCAAAAAACAAACAATTAAATGAGCCCCTGGTGGGTCACCATATGTGGTTGGTGGGCTGCGTTACCTTGGTCACCAGATCTGTTGCCTGATCTCAGCAGGGTAACTGGATGGTATTGATCAAGGATATTGCAAGTGCAAAGGAAAGGAAAACCACACAGTTATCTGACTGAATGACCAGGTTTAGCAGGAGCAACAATGGGAAAAATTAGCAGCTGGGATGAAATTTTTTTTCCCCCAGCCGGCAGGGAGGTTGGAGAGTGATGTACTGAAAACAAATTTCTGAAGCATCAGAAACTAAAGAGGAAATCATTTTCCAGGTGGGTCAACGTAGACTTTGGAATGTTCATAAAATGAGATCTAGCTGAAAATAACACCTGTTTTTCATTTGGCAAAGCATCCCAAATGAAGTAAGCGTTCACCCCACACCCATTATCCCTCCAGTGCTTATTGTCCATGATCATTCACTTTATCTTTCTCAAGAGGCACATGTAATAACGAGAGAACCTGTACATATTTTTTAAATGTCCCACAACCCCTGACCTATAGTGGTATGATAAGTCAGCTGTGCCTTTCTTTGGAACCCACCTGGCTGCAGAAGCAGGACTTGTTTTGCCTGCATTTTAGAACAAACTGAACCACTTCACAGCTCCTGAACTGAGTTGTAGGTAATAATCAAAATTTGGCAATTTTGGTTCAAAGTGTCCAAAAATGTGCATTGACGTACCTATTTTAAGGAAATTTAATTAGATTTGTGTGTTGGTTTCACTGGCATGTGCTATTTTACTATTTACACTGCTTACCTAACCTTTAAAGGAAAATATTTTAGAACATAGACCCAAAGGCAGGCTACAAATTAATAAAGCAGTTTCTGACACTCTTAATATGCTTTGATCTGTTTCCAGGCACTCTTTGAGATGCTGACTTTCATCTGTAAAACGGAACATCACTTGCAACCCAGTTCTTCAAGGCCGAAGTGGAGAAGGGTTCCATGTGAACAGCAGTTGAACATGGGTCAGTTGTTCCTAAGAGGTAGGGGAGCACCATTCCAAAAGGGCAAGCAGTGGTCTCTGTTGCCCTCGGCCAATCAAACAGGAGTTGGCTTCAGATCCCTGAATCTGGAGTGGCGGAAACGGGTGCCAAGATGTGTCCAGGGCTGTAACGCAACTGATCCTGGAGAAGCTGGTGGGAGCCCTGGGGGGGAGTTCTCTTTTATTTGTGAAGGCCAGGGCGCCCTGGCATGGGCTTGCCTTGAGAGAAGGGCCTGAGCCTTGGAAAGCACTGGAGTTCCAGCAGTGATTCTGAATAAACACCGGGAAGAACTTTCTGACGGTAAGAGCTATTTGACCGTCGAACAGACTCCCACAAGAGGTGGTGGGAGATGGCTGGCCAGCTGTCATAGATGCTCTGGTTGAAATTCCTGCATTGCAGGGGGTTGGACTAGATGACCCTTGTGATCCCTTCCAACTCTACAATTCTATGGTTTAGTGATTCTATGAGCTTCCAAAGACCTCAAGGACTCCCAGCAGGTGAGATCCTGGGATCCATGAGCCTTGTGTTTAGAAGTTGGTAATCAAGATTGTTAGTTATTTATGCCTCAGCAGAGTGTTTAGAGCAGCCTTTCTCAACCATGGATCCCCAGATATTCTTGGACTACAGCTCCCACCATAACTAACCACTGATCATGCTGGCTAGGAATGATGGGATTTGTAGTCCAACAGTCTAGGGACCCACAGTTGAGAAAGGCTGGGTTAGAGTGTTGGAACAGGGTTCAAATCCCCACTTGACCATGAAACTCATTGAGTGAACTTGGGCCAGTCATTGCCTCTCAGCCTAACCTACCTTACAGGTTTGTTGTGGGGATTAAACAAGGAGGAGGACAACTTTGAATTCCTTAGAGAAAAGGGTGGGATATAAATGAATTAACAACAACAAAACCTGTGGCCCTCCAAATGTTGCTGGGCTCCAATTCCCAGCATCCCTGACCATTAACCACTCTTCCTGGGGTAGTTGGGTGTCGGAATCCAACAACATCTGGAAGGTTGAAGGCTCTACAGCAGTCATATTTGGTCCAAAATATGGGAGGAGGGAACTGTACTCCTGAAACAGTACTGCTGCATAGGTTTTAAAAGAATCCCTGTATCTGATCTTCACCCTTTATTTTTGAGCATATAATTCTGGACTTCCTACACAAACACAGAGTTGCAATAGACAACCAGACAGGATGAGAGATGTGTGCAGAACGTTCTTGCGCTCGCCTCCAGACCCAGTGCTCAAAGGCCAGTGTGGACTTTGTATTATTCCTTTTGTACGGAGATTAATTTGCAGTGTAGAATTTTTCTCTATGAACGCCAAGCCAAGCCATTTCCTTCCCAGAACATGCTTTTGGCATTGCCGGCTGCTTGCTATTCACTGGAGTTGACTGCAGGCCAAACCTTAACATCTTTACATATTTCTGACTCAGGCAAACCTCCAATAGCGATTGATGGAAGTTTTGCCTGAGCAAACACACCAGAATTAGTCCAAAATGTGTAGATCAGACTCTGCAAGGGTACACACACGCACACACCTATGGCTGTGTAAACACCATGCATTTAAAGTGCACAGCTTCCCCCGAAGAACCATGGGAACTGTAGTTTACCTCCATAGAACTATGGTTCCCAGCACCCTTAACAAATCACAGTCTACAGGATTATTTGGGGGGAAGCAATGTGCTTTAAATGCAGGCCTGTCTTAAGCATATGTGGCGCCGGGGTGCAAAGATCCGCCCAGGGCCCCACCCCCAGGTTGCCCAGTCCCAGGCTCGCAGGAGAGCAGAGCCAGCCAGCCACCTCAGCTTCTCACTGGCTCGATCGCCCCAGAACTCGCAGCACAGAGCCACCTGCAGCAGAAGAGCCTGCTGCGGCGCTCCAACCGAAGGGTGGGCTCTTCCCCGGAGACAACTGGGCCTGGCGCCCCTGATAGCCCAGCGCCCGGGTGCCCCGCACCCCTAGCACCTATGTGTAAGATGGCCCTGTTTAAATGTTTGGTTTGTACACAGCCCTAGTTCTGGACCTGAAAATTAGAGCCCCATCACATGTCACTACTGACACCCACTATGAGACCAACCCTCACGCCATTGAGGCTGTAGTGGCTTTTCTCCTTATACTAGGTTGGGTCACTGAGAGTACATTACAGTAGATTTCTAATATCTACACTGGCTTTCCTTCATTGGGCTCATCCACACTGTCATTTTTATGTGGACGGTAAGCTTCCTGTTACCTGTACCTCCATTTATTCTCTGTTGCCCATATGACATTTTCCTCCTAATCACTGCCTTCTCACACTTTCCCCTCCTGCAATCCAGATTTTCTCAAACTGTCCCATTTCCGGAGTATCTCTGGCATAAGAAAATCCTGACTGAGGGAGGGGGGAAAGTGTGGGAAGGCTGTGATTTGGAGGAAAACGTCATACAGACAATGGAGAATTAATGAAGTTACAGGAAGTTTGCTATCCACATTAAACAACATTATGGATGTGTGGCCCATTGTTCTCTTGGCACAGTTTAAGGCACCAATTTTGACCCATATTCTCTTAATCCACTCAAGGGCCGCATTCCCTTCTGAGCAAGCTTCCTAGGAACATATATCCCAGTGGTGCCAGAGGCAAAAGTGGGTGAGACAATGGGTGTCAATTATCCCTTTGCACAGTAGGCTAGTTTCTATGTACACTCACACACCCCTCTTCATCATTCATCCATGAAAGCAAGAGGCACAGCTGTACTGGGCTGGGGCTGATGGAAGTTGTAGTCCCAAAACATCTGGAGGGCACCAGGTTGGCAATGGCAGCTCCATGCAATGTAAGATAATGGTGGTGTTGCTGGGTCCTTTGATGCTCTTGGGAGGGGGGCTCCTCCTGCTAGCCCTGTACAAAGAAGTGGCTTGTAGAATGGGGGAACGTGACCCGAACCAACACTGGTGATAAAATGACGTTCACCGTAGCCACTCAGAATAGAAATCAAGGCAAAGCGAATTCCGAATAGGTCCTTCTGTCTCTGTTTGTGTTTTGTCTGGCACTCATATCGCCGCCCAAGCTCAAATAATAATGCAAAACATTCATGTTCTCTTCTGAATCTCAGCCAAAGGGGAAATCGTATCCAAGCAAACTTTACACAAAATCCAATCATCAGGCGTAATGGGAATCAAATGAACAGGATGATTGGATGCTTAAAAAACAAAAAAAAAAGACAGAGAGAGAGAGAAGCAAAGAAAGAAAGAAAGCAATGGAAAGAGGGGGCGGCCAAACAGAGAGAAGAAAAAGGTCTGTTCTTGAATGGAACTTGACCAATAAGGATCAGCCAAATCATCTGGAAAACATACATTGGATTTGCTGTGCTAAGTTGACGATTAGGCTGGCAAGGTATAAAAAACATCTTAATGGAATCCTGATTACTCAAGGTGTTGCCGTTCTGATTGTGTTGATAGTTTAAATGCTTGTTTGCGAAGGAATCAGGGTTGTGGCATTCTGGGCAATGTTCTTTCTTTCTTTCTTTCTGGTTAAAGAAAGCATTTTGGGCTCATGTACAAGCTGGGTGTTTTTCAAACTACAGGAAGATGCTCATGAAGGATCCCAGTGATTCCATACATGTAGGAGTGTGATGAGTGGACTTCTCCAAATCTGGGTTGCCAAGCGGTCCTTGTGTGACAAGGCCTTCCTACCACAAACCAACACAGAAGTAACCACTGGAGGGATATGCGGCCCTCCATACCCTTCTGTCTGGCCCTTGGAATTATCCCAGGTCACATCCTTTACTGACTGTGCTTCACACCCCAAGTGTTTTCTACTTAACTGGGTGGTATCTGTGGACTCTGGATTGCCTGGGTGGGCAATTCAGTGGGACATGTGTAGAAATTACTAGGCTACTGTACAAAGGAGAAATTTACATTCATTGCTACTCCCACATTTGCCTCTGGCCCCACCCACCACTGGCATGTGGTCCCTGAAAGGGTGTCCAGAAGGAAATGCTTCATGCTAATATCTTAAACCTGTGCAGGACCATCCTCTTACAGATTCTGCAATATTACACAGCATTTCCTTCTATTTGTCCTCTATTTCAAGCACAATTTAAAATTCCGAAAAACCTTGAGATGTTAAAGTTGAATAACCATGGGTGATCCCAAACTATAAATGCATCTGAAATCCAAAAAAGGAGGGAGGTTTCCTTATTACTCTAGCATACACATAATATAAGCTCATTATAGAGGCATTTGGCTTTAAAGGCACATGTAATTTAAATGTAATCTAAAGTTCAGAGCTTTCTTTATTGCACCCACAGCTCAGCTTGCCTTTTTGAGCTTCATTTAAACATCTGAGCAAACTCTAGTTCATCATGTTTTTGTTCCCCTGTGCCATTGATCTCAAAAAAGCCCACGGTCGCCTTGTGCATTATCCATCTTTAACTTTTTACATCTGTCTTGGTTCCTCTTCCTCCTCCCACCCCATCCCACAAGTTTCTGGTTGATTTAATACTTTACCAGATGAGCAACTGATCCTTTTGTCTCATCTTTTCAGCCATCCCCCCACCAAGTGAAAAGCATTGGCCCTAATACTGTCCCACCCCCATCCCATGTTTCAAGAGGCAGACTTCAAGGAACCTCATGCCTGCTCCTTGCATCTCTCTCCACCCTGAGGCTTATTAGTGTTGGCCTTGACCAGGAAATCGTTTTGTAAACACACATCTAGCTTTCTGAGATGATACTGGTGTGTGATGTTTGGGACTGGAGCTGAGGTTGTTGGGATCCCCCTCTACCCCAAACCTCTCCCCCCCACACTTCTGACAGCTGCACCTCACTCTTAATTTTCCTTTTTTCCTGCCATTGTTTCTACACATCAGCCATGAGTGATTTATTTTTCTTTAGTGGAGGGAATGAGAAGGCAGTGAGATAATGACATGAAAACGGCTCAAGTGCTATTTATATAGGGTTTTTTTTTTATATCTCCCTCCATCAGTTCACACAGGGAGAACTTGAAGCTTGATATGTTCATGCTCTTTTCTCTCCCTCCTTCCACCCTTCTTGCTTGTACAAATGCGAAAGGCGCAAGGAGGGCTTTTGATTTGAAGTGCCTCTTCCGCATATCTAATTATTTCTCTATGATATTCATCTTGAGGTTTCGAGAGGAAGGTTAAAATTGCAACCTTGTTTTATGGCTGGTTTTATAGTTACTCCACTCCTTTCCTTTTTCCTTTTTTTTAATCGACCTTCCCTGTGAAGCTATTTCTGAGCTGCTCCACTATAATATCAGCAAGGAGGCCAAGCTGTAATTTCTTTCCCCCCTACTCTCTCCTTTTTCTGATCTTCTTGCCAGAGAACTCTAGAATTTCTACCTTTCTCCCCTTCCATTTTATTCCCTTTTGAAATATGACACGTTGAAGAGACTCCATGGTTGCTGGCTGAAGAAAGGATTGGGAGCCTGGCCATTGGGTAAGGCTTACATCCCAAGTCTAGTTTAGGTCAGCATGGACATTACTTAGTAGGGATCTAAAGAATGATTCTGACATTTCCTTAGCAATGATTAAGTCCATGGGTGGTTTATTTTGGGGGGAGGGAGGAGATTATGTGTTTCCTTTCATGCATATCAAGACCGCATGGTCTTGCATGCCTAAAACCACCCTACATAATTATCATGGTTCCATAGCCAAATGGAGATTGGTGTCTGGAGAAACGGTTTGTAGCACGTTTCTGGGTTGTGACATATTCATTCCAGGAGTGTCGCCAGTAGTCCAGAGCACCACGTTTGCTTTTGTTTTGCTACTGGAAAGATTTTTACTCCCCCCGCCACCTCGCCCTTTCCATCAAATTGAAGTTTGAGGCAGTTTGCATAATTTTAAAAAGGATAGCTGTTTTGTAAAATGCATTATAGATACATATCAAGAATGGTAGCATTAGATGACTGATGGAGAACCTGTTGTTGGACTGCAACTCCCATCATTCCTGCTCAATAACCACCCTGTCTGAGGCTGATGGGAGCTGGAGTCCAGCATCATTGGGTGTGGGTAGGTGTGGATACAGGCTCCCCACCTCTGCACTGGATAGTGCAAATGGCCCACTGTCTGCTCAGAAATGTTCCCTTAAGTTCAATCAGACCTACTCCTAGGTGTGTTAAACCACCACCAGCCCATCATTAAACCCCACCAAAGCATATAATAAATAAAGCAATTTTCACCTGGCATCTAAAAAGATATCAGATAAGGTGACAGGCAAATCAGGATGAGGACCTGTAGTCAGGGAGCTACAATGGAATATACCTAGCAGCTACCAACTTAATATCTAATGATGGGGCATCTGGAGCAAAGTCTCAGAAGTTACAGGCTTGGGCATTCTATACTTTATTCATTCATTCATTTAATGTATTATGTGCCCTTCACCCTAAGGTCCAAGTGCAAGTTACAACATTAAAACACAACAGCACAATATTAAAAAAAGTTTAAATCAAGTTGCCCAACTAAAAACATTTCCATGACCTAAATTCATTTCTTAATTTTTTGAAATGCTGGTCATAATTTCTATGGACAGCTGATTAATTTCAGCAGTAACTATTAAACCTAAGTATTCAAACTCACCACACAATAACTTGAAGCCTGAATACAGCCAAACACACTCCTGATGTGGGACAATGATGGACAATATAACCAATTTATTGTAATTTATTTTCAAGCCTGCTATTTTTGAAAAGGAATTTAAACTCTTGCATTCTGAAGCATTAAAAACATATCATCTGCAAAAAGATTAAGTTGGTGCGCCTTCAACCATAATATCCTCAATACCTTTTGAGACCTCAAATTTATTGCTAGAACCTCTATTGCCACTGAAAAAGCAGCGATAGAAGGCAGCCCTGTTTAGTTCCTCTATTAATAATAGTACTATCTGCATGCTCTCTTTTAATTGTTATTCTTGTTGATGATGGTTAAATTAGATTTATCAGATGGAGGAATTTATAACTGAAATGCATCTTGTTCAAAAAGTTCTTCCATTGAGATTAGAAGAGCAGTCTGAGTAAGATATGAGTTGATGGCCTCTGCAGATGATAAATTAGAGGAATACAGTTGTTTGAAAAGTTATATAAATTATTTGCTAATTGAAGGATTACTGTATAACAAAACACCTTGAGATGATTGAATACAATGAATTAAATTCATGGATCTCCGTTTCTTCAAGGAATGACCTAGCAACCCAGATGCCTTATTGCCAGAATCATAGTATAAACTTCTTGTTTAAATCACTAGAAACGAAAAGATAGTCCAAATGATCCAGATATGCAAATAAGTATGAATGAAAAGAATATTGCCTAGTAGTAGGATGGCAAAGGTGCCAGATTGAAGTCATAAATAAGTTGTGAAACAGTATGATTGGAGTGTTTATATCTTTTTGTATAGTTTTTTCGATCTAGATGAGGATTTAGACATTCATTTAGGTCTCCTCCTAATATAATGCTTCCTTCCTGAAATGCCTGTAAGGTTTACAGTAAATCATTAAAAAAAAAAAAACCTTTTTAATTGGAATTAGGAGCAAAAAATATGCTAATTATAAGTTTTTACAATGAGTTCTTCTTGAGCTGTGATTGTTGCATTGCAGGGGATTGTACCAGATGAACCCTGGGGTTCCTTCAAACTCGATGATGATGATGATTTAGCCACCATTTACCATAAGTTCCCAGGGCAGATATCAGCAATTAAAAAATACAATATAAAAATCAGTTTTAAAAAATCAAAGTCAAGAGAATAGAATGAGTTCCTAGATTGATCGATTGATCGATAGATCACATTGAAAGCATCAAACAGCACTTCAGACACGTTTGTGATGGTTCCTAGTAGGATATAGTTCGTCACTAAAACTATTTATTATAGTGACTAACAAAATAGAAATTTCAGATTCTTTAAAATAGATATAGATAGATGATAGATAGATGATAGATAGATGTGCTCGTGCAGATTAGTGATCAACTCACATCATTCTTTTTTTTTTAATCAGATGAATGTCCAGATGACTAATATATATAAAAAAATCTTTAGCTGTTTTTATTTTGTTTTGTTTTCTCCAAAGGCAGAGTGCAATGGCCCCAGGGAACAAAACCTTGTTTCCCCCCCCCTAAATAACTATACGGAATACTCCTTGTACACCTGACTCCTCCAGCAGGCATTTTCAGCCTTTCCTCCACCATTGTAAAAAGGCTGAAGTCCTCTGGATCCTGGAGGGGGATCCAGCTGACATGTGGTGTGGGATGTGTGCAGAATATCACTTAGCACGAGGGTCTTTTGATTTACCGTGCGGCTTTGTCTGCTGCCCATAGCTACTTCTCCCTGTGTTAATATTATCTTTACAGTCCTAAGAAGAGATTAGCTGTTCTGACCCTCGAGCGGATCATTAGAAAGATAGATCTTCTTAACAGCTATTATGTGGTTTGAAAAAAGAAGAAGAAGCAAGCCTGCTTTCTATTTTATGTTAACATTAGGATTATTTTCTGTGTACAAACAGCCTTGATGCCTGAGAGCATTAAGGAGCGAAAGAAGTCAGACAGGGTGTGGGTGTGTGAAAAACACAAACAGCACAATTAAAAACAGAAACGTGGTTCAAAGTGGAGTAGGGATATTGGGAAATAATCGCCCACAAGGCTTTCTTTCTTTAATAGTGTTATTCTTCGTTCTTACCTGCATTCATTTGGAACTCTGCTATTTATATTTTTAAGCAGATAGATAACTCTAGATAAATACATAATTTCCAGATTCCAAAGAAACTCAAGGCTGCATACACAATCCAAAAGGACAATAAAATTTTGTCTTTAAATTATCATCCTGTCCTTCCCATAGGAGCCCAGGATGGCTAACTGTAAATTTAAAAACCCAGTGCAACAGGCAGCAAGCAGTACTTGCACCATTTACTTTTGCTCCAGCTACGTATCAAAGGCCCGAACAGATAAATATGTTTTACGTTGTTTCCTAAGACCTAAGTGACATCAGCTAGGAGACAAATCCCCCACAAGGAGGGATTTCCGCAACTAAGGTGTCGCCACCGAGAAGGCCCTGCCCTACGGGTCATATACTTTGGAGGGACCACAAGCAGAGCTTTCTCCACCATTTAATGTATAAGCTGGTAGGAACTGGGGAGGCAATCCTTTAAGTCCTTGGGTCCCAAGCAGTTCAGGGCTTTGTACCCTAGCACCAACACTGTGAACTGAGCCCAGTAGCTCACAGGCAGCCAATGTGGTGTTTTAAGGGTTGATAACAAATGATGCCATCTTGCTTCTTCACATAACAATCCGGCGGCAGCATTCTGCACCACTTGCAGCATTTCCTGGACTGCTGGGCCCCTCCGTAGGATCCAATTCTGCACTCTCATCCTATTCCCCCTCTCCCTCCTACTAGCCTTATGAAACCTCCATAGGGCTCATGACAGGGAGGGGGGAGTTCTATTGCACAAGTGTACATTCTTGCACTGATGGAAGAGTTAGGGCTCATCCACATGTACCTTTTGCCCTGCATTTTCTAGGCACATAACTATGCTCTTGAAGCACCATGTCTGGGTGTCCCCCCCCCCCTCGACCTTTTCCTCAGGAAAACCCGCTCCTTAAAGCTGAATTGGAACAAACAGCAATTGGGGTCTTCTGTGGATTGCTGTTTGCTCTGGTTCAGCCGTAAAGAGCAGGGCATGCAGGGAAAGCGCCAGGTGCTGGCTTTTTCAAACATTGGGAGCTAGAGGTTTTGGCGGGTTCTGCAATTTCCACGTGGCCGGAATTTCTCTGAGGGAAAAGTTCCCCTGAGGGAACTTCTCTCGTAGATCTCCTCTTGTTCCTGTGGCGAAGGGGGCAGAGGACAGAGCGCTGAGGATTTTTGGCTGGGCTCCCATAATACCCATCAGATGGGAGCCACGCTCCCTCTTTCTCCCTCGCTGCATTTGGTGCAACCGCCACTTTTGGTCTGTCAGATTGTGGTTATCTGAACACCGAGCGTGTTCCTTCTCCGTTGAGCGGCCACAAAATGATTCCCTCAGATCTTCAGTTTACCTGTGTCAGTTCCCTCTGAGACTTAAGGGACTTAAGGAGTGAGGTGGCTGGTGAGGAATGCATCAAGTTACAGGGTCATTTCTTTGAAGAGATTCAACACTTCTCCTCAGAACAGTCAAGGATGTGAGGAAACCAGTGGTGGTGCTGGAATTTCAGGGTGAAAATGTTTCTCTTTGGAGAGCTGCCTCTTTCTCTCTCACCAAGGCCTGGAAGATCAGGGGAGCATTTCCAAGGCAACAGCCTCAGAAGGCCACAAATAAATGTATAAATACTAATACCCCCAGGAGTCCCCCCCACCAACGAGGAATCAAAAACAGGTTCTTCCCTGCACCCCCACCCTCATACACACACCAGGGGTAACTTATTTATTTAATATTGTTTATATACACTTGCTTGATAAGGGGGGGGGTGACCTCAAAGCGGTTTACAAAACCAAGTGTAGGCTTGTACATGTGGTGGCATTTACAAGAGCAGTTAGTCCTTCTAAATAGCTATAGTTTGAAAGAAAAAATTAATTACCTCATGAGTCCATGAGGAGTTTTAGGGTTTCGCCAGAGGATGGATTAGAATTACCCTGCTGGATGAAACCACAAGATGGACTCCTCCTTTTACCTCTAGCAGATGCTTGTCTGCAACATTTTGTTGATGTCTCAATCACCAAGGTGCTAATGCAGCATTTCAAGGGTCCTCACTTTGACTTTTGCCACCTTGTAAAGATCCCACTTCATTTCTGACATGCCGAAAATGCCCCCGAGACGCGCTGAGATTCAGGATTCGTCCAAATGTAATGCATATCCCTACTGCCTACATGTGACAAAATAATTTACACAGGCACATGGGGAGCAGGGGAGCATGTGGTATAATCCTAATGTGTCACTAAAGTCTCTATGGGGGATGATGTTGCTGAATACTTTTCCACGCCAAAAATTCCCTGTGTGTAGAAAACTAACACTTCTAGGTAGGTTAGTTTTTTTTATTTATTTTGACGTGCTACCTTGCCATAGGCAGGGATTTAAATTTTTATTCTTTGACATGGGAAGAAAATCAGATATACACCATCTAGACTGAGAAATGGTACCGTCCTGAAAGGGCAGTACAGTGTAGCTTGCCATTGCTAATTCATAAACCACCCTGGAAATCTGCTTGGAGTAAAAACACCTATGATCAACAATGAAAACAAATACAAATATGGTTCAGCTCTGAACATCTTCTGAAAGCAGTGCAAAATATTTTCAAAACCCAATTTGGCTTTGGGCATCTCGGGACAGTACTGTACAAGGTCCTAGCTTCCTAGCTTTCATCTTTATGAAGGTTCATTATATTTAACATGTTGCTACCTTATCCCCAAGTTGTTAAGGAATAAAACTATGTTTCTTCATGGCTTGATGATGAAGGTGGGAACCTTTGTGATGCCTTCTTTTTACACTGATCCAGACCCTTGGCCTATCTGTAATGTCTACACTCACTGGCAGCAACTTTCTAGGGCTTCAGATGGGGGTCTTTTTCAGCCTACCTGGAGGGAAATCGATCCTTTTCATACAAAAGTGTGCACTCTGTTCTTGAGTTCCTCCTCTCTGAGCTCAGCCAAAATATCACAGTCCTCTTCCATAGCTCTTGCATTTCCTCATTCATCACAAGATGCCTCAGGCAAGGAGGATCCTTGGTGCTCCTCACCCTCTTTTTTGTTCAGCTTCTGAACACCTTATTCTGTATGGCATTGGTTGCCCATGTTACTACTTGGATGCCCCATTTGCACACACTGACTACCGCTGCCATGTGAGATGACAGATTTGCATACTAGGATCTGTAAGTCTGCATATATATTCATGCAGTACAGGATGTTCATATCATTTGAGTTGAGTATATAGTGCAGTATGGGCACCCAGAAAACCCGTAAAATATACAAGAATGGGAACTAGGCCTTGTACCATCCTGTCTCTAGATACCAAAAAAAACCCCACACCTCAATCCAGGCCTCAGCAAGATCACCAGCAGACCCTCTCTTTCATCACCACTCTTTGAAATAATCTTGATGCAAACAATCTTCTGGTTTTGAAAGGAGAAGCGTGGTGCAAACAGGGCAGCTTGCAAGGTTGAGTGTGCATTTTGGAACGTCTTGGAGGCCTACCAAAAGTTTTTTTCTCTACCCTCGCTCTCTGTGTGTGTGTCTGTGTGTGTGTGTGCGCGCGCATTAACTGGCTAAGGAATAATACCCTCAGCTGCCAGTTGAAATGTGCTGCTCATGTAACAGGAAGAGTTTGTCAACTGTTCCCCTGCTTTTCATTAGAGCCGTGAGGTTTACGCAAGGCAGTTCTCAGGGGAGGGGTGTGCAAGTTCTTTGAAGTCCTTTGTGGTGGCTGTCTAATCTGGGGGAAGAGGATTACTTTCTTTCTGCCAGGAGCACATGACAGTTTGGTAATTAATGAGCATCATAAAATTCTCTTTTACCATTAGATACCCATTAGAAAACCTGGGACGGTTGTCATCTCAGACAAAACCATGCAGATTCTCAATTTATCCCGACATCAAAGGGAATCTCCTACTGTCTTATCCTGAATGCTCTAATTGTGTTTGCATTCGGCGTGGCTGGTGTTGAATGTGACTGAGACAAGTCTTGGTGTAAGGCGCAGGTCCCCTGATTCGATACACAGCCTGAGCCCTTGCAGATCTGGAAGGGGGGGCAGGGAAGCAGCACCCTAAATGTGGGGTAGGGCATCTGCATTACTCTTAAGAACCCCCACTTTTCTTCTTACGCCTGCTGACTGTTTATAGTATTCATTTTCTGGTTTGAGAGCCTGGGAATTAATTCCACCTCCTATACAGTGTTGCGAAATGAAAGAAATAAAACATTATATATGCTTTTCCTTTATTGGTATTGCATTACAAGCATATTGTGTTCTGGGTTTCAATTCGTTATTCAGCTCAGAGAGCCTCTTGGGTCATCTTTGCTACATTATTCTGAAAGGACAGCATCATCTCCTGCTTTCTAATATGGTTTGCGTATGAGTGTGTGTGTGTGTGTGTGTGTGTGTGTGTGTGTGTTTGTTCCTGCTGAGAAGGTTGAAAAGTATGAATCTGAAGACTTCCTTTGTGGCTTTTTCTGTGTGTATGTATATTTGAAAATGCCATTTCTTTCTGGAAAAGAACCCATAGACTTGTTCTTGAACCAAATTAGATCTCTCTTAGAAACAAGAAGAATAGACAAGTCATCTATTTTGTATACTCTAAATGTAAGGCTCATTCACACACCCCTTTGGAAGGTCAGATATTCAGCCTAGGCTTGAAATCTACACTGAATTCAGAAGAGAAGTCAAGGCAACATAAGCCTCTTTTCTCTAAGAGAGGCTGGTTGCAGCAAGTGCTGTTGTAATGAAAAAAAATATGCTTTCAAAGCAGTTTTGCTCTTACAAAGCAAGAAGAGACCAGCCGAGTCAGGGTTGCCAGCTGGTTTCAGGGAACTTTGTCTATCCTTAGAAGTTTTGATGATTAAGCGGTATATAAATCCTGTTAAATAAAATAAATGGTGTAGAACAACAGATGAGAATGCTAATTCTCATGCAGTTATAGCATGAGGAAATAAGGTTGTTCTTTAAAGCACATTTGAAGCATATTCTTTCCCACAAAGAATTCTGGGCCCTGGGCATAGAGTTACAATTCCTAGCAACCCTAAACAAACTATAGTGCCCAGAATTCTTTGCAGGAGGGGAAATGTATATTGAATGTGCTTTGAAGGTATAGTGTGTATGCATGTCTGCAGGTTTGTGGTTGAAGATGGGAGATGGTGCAGCCATCATATTTAAAATTCCTATTTTTTAATTGTGTTTTTATTTTATTTCTTATATGTTGTATGGAATACAAACTGTAATACAACAAAATACAATATATGAGAATTAACTATATAATTGCAGTACAATAAAATGCAATATATAAAAAAGAAACAATAAAAATAAACTCAACAATGTTGCAGCATCTAGTGTAGCACAATACAATTGCCGCAACAAGTGGAAAAAATTGTTTCACCAAGACGCTTAGATATTTTAAAGTTTTCCAGATGTTTTGGATATGTGTGAGACCACTGGCCTTGCTGGCTGGGCTGATGGGAGTTGGCATCCAACAACATAGGGCACTATGTTGGGGAAGGCTCCTATCTCTCTAATCGCCTGAAACAGGGATGGGGAGTCTGTGACCTTCCAGATGTTGCTGGACTACAACTCCCATCACCCCTGACCATTGACCATGCTGGTTGGGGCTGATGGGAGCTGGAGTTCTCCTACAATATGTGGAGAGCCACAGGTGAAAGAAAGAGAGAGAGAGAGAAAAGAACATCTGATAATAATAAAACATGGTGTATTCAAGATGAAGACTCCACTGGGGTGCTGCATTTTAAAATTTAAAGTACTTGACCTGATTTGCTTATTGTTCTTCAGTCCATTTCAGCATCTGATGAAGCAGAATACGAACTATAGAAGCATAATATAAGTTACCAAGTGTAGCCAGTGTGGTGCCTTCCAAATGTTGCTGGATTACAACATATGGAGGGCTCTACATTGGCTATTCCTGATTTAGCCCTTTAAGGTGTTACAGAGATGTGCAGTGAAATCTGGTGCATGTTTACTCATACATAAATAGTAGAGCTCACTTCCAAAAACTTGTGCCTAAGAATGCCACCCAAGTTTCTACCCCTCCACGAAAAATTAGGCATGGATTACAAGCTCATCCACATTTCCCCTTGTTTTGCACCTAGACAACACGAGTCTGAGTGAGTCTGAGTGAGCCAGTGTGGTGTAGTGGTTAAGAGTGGTGGACTCGTAATCTGTTAAATTCCCCGCTCCTCCACATGCAGCTGCTGGGTGACCTTGGGCTAGTCACACTTCTCCGAAGTCTCTCAGCCTCACTCACCTCACAGAGTGTTTGTTGTGGGGGAGGAAGGGAAAGGAGAATGTTAGCCGCTTTGAGACTCCTTCGGGTAGTGATAAAGCAGGATATCAAATCCAGACTCTTCTCTCTTCTTCTTCTTTCCCCCTTGCCCCGCTCCTTTCTCAGGAAAAACCCACTTTTTAGTGCTAAATTGGAGAAAACCTCTGGAGAAAACCTGAATTGCTGTTTGCTCCAATTAAGCGCTAAAGAGTGGTTTTCCACGGGGGAAAGCCGCAGGACAGGAGGAAGTGTGGATGAGTCCTACAACAACTTTGGACTTCAGAGTTAGCTGGGTAAATCCCTGGAGGCAGGTGTGGGGAATTCTCTCCCCCCCCCCATGAGTGTATTCATTAATCAATTTGTATCCCACCCTTCCTCCCCAAGGAACCCAGGGGAGCAAACATCAAAACATATATCTTAAAATGAAATAAAAACACATTTAAAACATAAAAAACAGAACATCTAAAACATTTACAAAGCAATACCATCAAGTAGCCAGCCTCTCTCAGCTATCAAATGCCTACGTAAACAAGAATGCCTTTGAATTTATCCTGCAAATTGGCAATGAGGGAAGTGGGTGCATGTCACCAGGGAGGTGATTCCACAAACAGGAACTACCACCCATCATGAGGCATAGACAACCATGCCGCAGCCTGTGGTAGGCATAGGCAGAGACAGATCTGATGGCAGGGGGAGTCAGTGCCAGAAGCTGGCTCACTTTTCAGTATTGTACAGCTTTTTCACTCTCTGTACCACCCTGTGCGGGAGTCGTCGTCCCCGGCCCCATGTGGAAGAGGAAGCAGTTCCTGGAGGGGCCACGGAGCAAGAGTGGGTCCACAACACTTGGACAGATGAATGATGATATTACAGTGGCCTGTCTAGTCCAGCATCCTGTTCTCACAGTGGCCGACCACCAGACGCCTGTGAGAAACCTGCAAGCGGGACCCGAGCGCAAGAATAATTTCCCATCTTGCAGTTCCAGCAACTAGTATTTCCTTTGTCATGGCTTGTAACCATTGAGAGTCTTGTCCCCATGAATTTGTCCAATCTCTTTTAAAGCCATCCAAGTTGGTGGCCATCACTGCCTCCTGTGGGTGCAAGCTCCACAGTTCAGCTGTGCGCTATGTGATGAAGTACTTTCTTTTAGTTATCCTGAATTTTCCAACATTCAGCTTCATTGGATGTCCATGAGTTCTCTTTTACGAGAGAGGGAGGAAAACCTTTCTCTATCCACTCTTTCCATTCCATGCATAATTTTATAAACTTCTATCATGTTGCCGCATTCTCGCCTTTTCTCTAAACTAAGAAATGCTGCAATCTTCATGGTTGAGTCGCTATATCCTCTGGATCATTTGGGTTGCCTTGTCCTCCTTGCCAACCTCACTTTTCTCAGCCTGGGCCATCCATTCCTACCTGTTAGTGTGTTTTTTCCTCCCGGGCAGTAGGTGACAGACCTCTGCAGAGGCCAGCTGCTTCTCCTCCATCCTACTTTTTTGCTTTTGGCTCTTTGCTAGCAGCAGTCTCTCCTCAGCCCTTCCTGGAAATGCCAGAGATTGAACCTGGGACCTTCGGCATGCAAATCAGGTGCTCTAACCACTGAGCCCCAGTCCGTTCCCTGTATCTGCAGTGCTTGGATTTGCCAGGGCTGATTTCCGAAGTTCCTCACCACTGGATCTGGAGCCATCAAGTGTCAGACGGGACACATGTGAACTGATCCCACATCTGCTGTCAGTCTAAAGATGCTTTTCTGCAGACACTAAAGCAATTATTAGCATTTACAGTCTCTTGTTCACGCGCTTTCATTTGTATTAAAAATAACAACAACCCACTTTTGCCTGGCTAAAATTAACTGTTTAACTCTTGCCCTGTGATGAAAACCCTTTCCTTTCAGTGGTGGCAGAGGCAACAAGCAAACAGTTCACTAGAGAAGGGGGGGGGAGAAACACCCTCTGAGCATTGTTTTTGGACACAAACATACACAAGTTATTAGAACATAAGATCAAAGGAGATGTCCTACTGTGTTTCTTTCAATGCTTCCTTTGTGCTTGTATACTGAAGCCTGGTAGAGAGTTAGAACAGGAGGAGAGGGAGGGAGAGGAAACCCTTTGTACAAAGATACTTGTCTCGGAGAGAAGCTCATAAAAGGTGATGTGAGAAAAGACGCCAGGTGGAGTATAAACCACCCTTATTGTTAAGAAATGCAAATAAAAAAGCCTCATCTATATTAAAACTTCCTCCCTTGTCATTTCTTTAGATGCTAAAGGATTATTGAAGTCCTGGAACTGCTAGTTCCAAACCTCCCCCCCCCCCCATTCCCCAACTCCCAATTTTTCTTTTGTTTTCATCGTAATATATCATGCATGATTGCTGGTGAAAGTTAAGTTTTCTACTTTCTCAGCAAATAACAGTAAGTTAAGGGAGGAAACCTCATTTCAGCAAAAATACTTGCAGGAAGCAGGGAGAAAACAAGACTTGAATTGGTACATTTTGTTTTAAATAAATAAATAATCCTAGTGTTTCTGGGTGGTGTTTTTTTTAAAAAAGTAATGCATTCTATGAATGAGATTATCCAATGTCCCATATAGCTTAAAGAAAGACTGGTCTGTTGGCTGATGGCTTAGAGTTGTTTTGTGGTAGAGGGGGGTTCTGGGAGCTGTAGTTTCTTAAGGGTGCTAAGAGATGTTTGGAGACTCCTTGTTCCCCACACTGAGCTACAATTCTCAGACTTCCCTGTGAAGAGGGGATGGTTGACTCTGGGAACTGTAGCCATGGTGTGTGTGTGTCCTAACAACTCTCGGCACCGTTAACAAACTACAGCTCCCAGAATTCTTTGGGGGAAAACCATGAGTGTTTAAAGTGGTGCCATCGTGCTTTAAATGTATGGTGTGAACATGGCCTATATACTGTGGCACTGGGGCATCGTTGTGTTGAGTACGTGGTCCCTGATTGGGTGGGATCACTCATATCATTACAGTGGTACCTCAGGGTTACATACGCTTCAGGTTACATACGCTTCAGGTTACAGACTCCGCTAACCCAGAAATATTACCTCGGGTTAAGAACTTTGCTTCAGGATGAGAACAGAAATCGTGCTCCGGCGGCGTGGCAGCAGCGGGAGGCCACATTAGCTAAAGTGGTGCTTCAGGTTAAGAACAGTTTCAGGTTAAGAATGGACCTCTGGAACGAATTAAGTATTTAACCCAAGGTACCACTATACTTCAGGAAAGAGGAAAACATATCAGCAGCCAGGGGTGTGTGGGGATGTCAGAGAAGCAGAAGAAGAAGAAGAAGAGTTTGGATTTGATATCCCGCCTTTCACTCCCCTTCAGGAGTCTCAAAGCGGCTAACATTCTCCTTTCCCTTCCTCCCCCACAACAAACACTCTGTGAGGTGAGTGGGGCTGAGAGACTTCAGAGAAGTGTGACTGGCCCAAGGTCACCCAGCAGCTGCATGTGAAGGAGCGGAGACGCGAACCCGGTTCCCCAGATTACAAGACTACCGCTCTTAACCACTACACCACACTGGCTCTCGAACCAGGAACCAGAATAAGCAAAGGAGCTGCACTTGCATTAATGTGGATTGAAATAAAAGCAAAATGAATGAGAAAGATAACTTAAGAAGAAAACAGAAGGTGCACCATCACTGTCAGCTCAGCTACTTAACGTTTCCAGAAAGGGCTGCTGCCACAGTTTCTGTTTCCTGAGGAATATCTAAATTTTCACCATCACAACATATTACACCAAGAATTAACTTTGTGCAGAGAATGGGTCACTAATGCATCACGACAAAGTGAGTTTTTACAACTCATTTCCCTTTTTGCTCTGTGAGCTTCTGGAGAGGTTCACTTGCAAAGCATCCAAGTACTGTACTAAGTCTTCATTAAAATTCTCTGGTTCTCTGGTTGCTCTCCTTCCTCCTGTAACATGAAAAGAGCAGCTGTCTCAGGACAGCACCTTTCTCTCTCTCTCTCTCTCTCTCTCTCTCTCTCTCTCTCTCATCGGAGCCTGAGATTGTTTTAGGATAAAATGCGGATCCCTTTGATTACAGTGAAATGTTTTTGCCTGATCTGTCTGCCATACATAAAAGTGTGGTTATATCATCACCTTAGTGGTACCTCTTTGACCCCATGTATTTGATGACAGATTGTCACCTGGTTTCAACAAAGGAACCTACAGGGCCGGTTAGTCAAAGGAACTTCCTGCTTTTCCTCCTATATTTATTTCATATTCTTGTTGCTATGAGTCTTCAGTAAGCCACTACTTATAGGTAGAATATGACATATCCTTCAGTCTATTAACAAATGAGCTGGGAGCAAGCTACATGCTAAGCTCGAGTACATATTATACATTTAAAGCACATGGCTGTGGAGGGCGGGGTATAAATAAAAATATATTATTATATTTCCTCCCTCAGATAATTCTGGCTACTGTAAGACCCTTTTGGAGGATCTCTAGCATCACAATTTTACTGTCAGTTTCTGGGAATGTAATATAATTGTTGAAATCCTTCCAATTGCTTCCAACAGACTGTCAAATATTTGTTTAATCAGGAAACAGCACTACTAATTATTAATACCACATTTCTCGCTTTTGGCTGGATCAGGAGGCAGAATACATAATGTCCTCCCCATATTTCAATCAATGTGTGCCAACTCATTGTATTACTAGAAGGTGATAGTGATAAATTATTTTTCTTGGGGTTCCCTCCCTGGAAGCAAAATGAAACTCCATCTCTGTTCTGTTGTTCTTTGGGGGATGAGAAGCAAACCCAGGACACTGAATCACCTTTGTTTTGTGTTCATTCTAGTTCATTTCCGTTATGAAGTTTAGAGGGTCTGTGTTTTCTTTGACTTTATTTCTATAGCCTCAAGGAATGGTGTGAAGGCACATGACGCAGCATCATTTCTGAAGCTAAGCACGTCGGGGCCTGGTCAGCATCTGGATGGGAGACCACCTGGGAACCCTGAGCTCCATGGAAAAAAGACACAATGCAAATGTAATAAATAAGCAAGCATGGACTTCGCTCCATTGTAAGTTCAGTCTCACCCCTGCAGAGCACAGTGTAACATCACAGGAGCACAATGTAGCTTAGAATGGGATCCCATAGACATACGTTTGGTCTTCTAGCACTGCAGCAGTGTTTAGGGAATTGACATTTGGCCAGTTATGCCTAACTAATGCTACAATAATGGATCTCCTATCTTGCCTTGTATGGGGGAAAGTGCATACCATATATATGATCTAAGGAACTGCATCTGAGGTATAATTAGGGCTGCCATACATCCAGATTTTCCCAGACATTACTGGGATTTCAAAAGTGGAATTGACATCCTGGGGGAATTTCTGAGAGGCAGTGCTTTGTCCTGGATCTTAGGCAAGTCAATCAAAAAATTGTGCGGGTTTTTTTGTAACAACTTTTGGGGTGTCCTGGTTTTTCCTTTTTGAGTATAATCAGCTGGAAAATCTTAATAGTACATATTTATGTTATGTCTACGAGTCTTCGTGTTTTTTTCAATTTTGTATATTTTAGTGAATGGTGGAGAGGGACTGGGCCATTGTAAGAACTGCCGTGTTGAAATAAACCATGGTCCTTTCATTAATCTAGAAATATGTTCTAAAGATAGGCCAGGTCAGTGACAGATTTACCCAGAAGGTCTGTAGCTCAGTGATAGAGCATCTGCCATGCATACAGAAGGTCCCAGGTTCTTTTCCTCAATATCTGAGAGAGACTCCTGCCTGGAACCCAAGAAAGCCACTGTCCATCACTGTAGACATTAATGAGCTACATGGACCAATGGACCCATTTAAGACAGTTTCTTATGTTTTCAGCTTTTAAATGACTTAGGTGACACGGGCCTTTGTTTTTTAAATCTCTTATTCATTTTCAGGGTGCAGCAAGTTCTGTGTCTTTACCTCCCATCTTACTGGTTTTCTGTTTCACTTTTTGTAGGTGGGATACCTCAGATAGCAAAGCATGAGACTCTTAATCTCAGGGTTTGAGCCCCACCTTGGGCAAAAGATTCCTGCACTGCAAGGGGTTGGACTAGATGACCCTTGGGTTACCTTCCAACTCTACAATTCTATGATTCTGAGTGTTTTTCACATAGTTATTATACACCACTCAGAGAATTTTCTGTTATGGAGAGGCAGCATACAAATGCCCTAAATAATTCCACACATGGCAAAGCCTGGTATTCAAAAGGTCTACTGGTTCTGAACACTGAACTGCATCAGTCCATAGATCTATGGGAAATTTTCATAGATCTGTAGAATGGGGCATTGCATTTTATGTATATTTAAATGGTGGGTGGTCACTACCGATGGGAGGAGAACATCAGTACATAACAGGAGCCAAACCTGTTCAAACCTCATTCAAAAGTGGCACCTTGTCCTGCTGCCCCCAGTTTAAACGGCCAGCCAGGGACTCAGCAAGCTGACATAGCTGGAGCAGGCTAACCTGGGGCCCTTCAGAGCAACTGGGGCCCTTGACATCCAGCTGGTGCTGGATATGCCAATTTTTTTAATCAGATGGCAGCTTTTCAAACAATCAAACCATAGAACAGTCATCCCCAGTGCAGACAATAGCAAACTCATGCTGCCTGTGTGTGTGTGTTTTGTACAGCTTCCTTCCTCTTTCTCAGCTCCCCTTCTTTTTCCAGAGCAGCAAGAAAGCAATTTCCTTTCTTCCAAACATTATTTATACATTTATTTCCCCCCTCCAAATCTACATGCATACGTTTTCTACTACAAATAATCTCTCTCTCTCTCTCTCTCTTTTAATGAGCATGTAAAAGTTCAAGAGTGCGATCTTTTTGCGTTATTTTAACTCTGGCACAAATTTAATTTCCCATCATCAGATGGGAACAGGTTTATATTGCATGAGGGGTTCAAAAGGGCTTTCTTTCAGCGTCAGCCCCTTTGCAAGAGTTTTTGCGCGCTCTGCACTAATGAAAGGGCAATGGGGGGAAAAACAACAGCCACCCCTCCGTCTGCGTCACAGATTTCAACCCTTCGAAAAAATTCCACTGCGGTCACAGGGTTACATGAGAGGCCCCTTTAATCATTATTACAGTTTTATGAATGGTGTGCTTTACTCTGATATTTTACTACACATCACTTCTTAACATGCTCCATTGAAATTGGGGGGTGGGGGGAGAGGAGAAGAAGAAGAAGAAGAGAGAGAAACAAAAGACTTTGTGTATTTGAAAGACCCTGTGGTTACGAAACGTCATTGTAATTATACTGTGACACCCCCCACCCAGCTCCTCCAATCCTCAGAGCCCGCTTGGTTTTTGACATCCTTTGGTTCGAATTCCATTGAAGCCGGAAGATGCCTGAACAAATACAGAGTTAAGGCCTCAGGATTTTACTGTATGTGAGGAATTGTTTTCACTGATACGTTTAGGCTGCGACCCTCCAGCAGGGGAGGGAGGGGGAAAGAACCAAAGGCAGTTGAAATGCCCCATCCAACGCTCTTCTGAGCCCATGCCGGCAAGGCGGATGTAAGGACAGAACAGCGCTTTTGCACATCCCATCTCTTTATCTCTTTTGTGTTCTAACAGTTTCCCTCCAATTGGAAACAATGGCAGGAAAACACAGTGCCGCAGCTCCAGAGCTGTATTATCCCACAACTGCAAGAAATCAATCTTTTAGTGTAGCGGCACCCACTATCAATATCAGACAGGCACCTTCACTTTGTATTCTTTTTGGCACTTTTGAAAAACATTATTGTTTAGACAAGCCTACCTAGTTCTCTAGGATGCTGCCGTGTTCTTAGTTTATTGCTGGTTTTTAGTTTTCTGAGTGTTTTAATTGTTTTGATTGAAAATGCCATTGTCTTATTATCTTTGTCAACTGCTTTGAGGCTTTTTTACAATCAAACGGTATAGAAATTTTATGAAATAAATAAAGAGATCCTCATCATAGTGCCAGTAGCAATGAAAATAGATTTATACCCCATCTTTACTCCAAGGAGTAAAGTGATGCACATGGTTCTCTCTCCCCCACCCCCCCACCCCAAACTTATCCTTAAAATAAACCTGTGAGTTAGGTTAGGCTGAGAGAAAGTGATTTACCTAAAGTCATCCAGTGAATGTCATGGCTATGTGGGAATTTGGGTCCTAGTCTCCTAGTTTGATGCTATGATCACTGCACCCCACTGGCTCTCTCAACTGGCTGTTTCTTTTCTTATTTCCTTTTCTTTTTTTTCAGTGGTAGGGTACATGCTTTGCATGCAGAAAGTCCTAGATTCAATACCCAGCAGTTCCAGGTAGGGCTGGGAGAGAACCCTACCTGAAACAATGGAGAGCCACTGTCAGTCATCTTTTCTGACCTGGTATGTGGCAACTTTCTATGAACATTTCTGAATACAGAGGTGGGAATGCAGCAATCATGGGATAAGGGTGGGAGCTCAGCCAGAAAAGAGTCCCACCTACTCCAGACAAACCTTACCTCCATGAAGGTGTGCTATGAAGAAATATGACCCAATTCATCCAATATGCTACAGGGTTCTGAGAGGATTCATGGCCCTGGACCAAACGTGAGATCACCTGCCACCAGATCGAATGTTTTCAGCTGACATCCACATACTCCCGTCACCCCCCTTTCTTGGCAACCCAGGGTGTGAAATAGTTGTAGCCTTTGCCAAGAGGCAGGGGGGAAAGAGGATTTCTGTGATGCAAAATGTCTGGGGAATCTCTGAGGACAGGATCACATTATCTCTTGTTAAAATATTATGGAAATCAAACATCATTGTTCATTAGGGTCATCTGTGTTTTATTTATTGGCTCAGGGCTGACTGCAAGCTGTGAAGGGATTTTTAAAATAAAATAAAAATTGAAGCATTTGGCTATTTCATAATCTCTTTTCTCTGCTTTCTCCAGGTGAGCTCCAGATCCAACCACTTTGAGACTTTCATAGATTTTTTGAAAATGAACAGACAGGAATGTTTTAGGCTGGGCCTGTTTCCAGATTTCTTTTGCATAGCGTGAGTTGATGGCTTGGAAGGTAGTGAAACCTCCCTCTTCTTTTTCTTTTCTTCTCTCCTTCCTTTCAAAAAGAATTGAACTCATAAGCATGTTGCTTCTCTTTTATCTCTCTTACCCAAATCCCCCTCCTCGCAAGGAAACACAATTTTCATAAAACGGGAAGTAATTACCAGCTACAAGGTTGTTGTTTAAAAAAGAAAAGATGGACAATTCTCCCGTATAACATATTGTATCTGTAGCTGTAGGGCACAGTTTCTGACCTAGCCTATCTTCACAGAACCAGTTCCTAAGTACACAAGAAGAGCCTACTAGATCAAGCCAAGGCCCTGTCTAGTCCAGCATCCTGTTCTCACAGTGGCCAACTCAAAGCCGCTACGAGGACCCAAGTGCAACAGTGCTACCCTCACTTGTGATTCCTAGCAGCTGGTACTCAGAGGCATAGTGCTTAGCCAGCATGGTGTAGTGGTTAAGAGCGGTGGACTTGTAATCTGGTGAATTGGGTTCCCTTCCCCACTCCTCCACATGCAGCTGCTGGGTAACCTTGGGCTTGTCACACTTCTCTGAAGTCTCTCAGCCTCACCCACCTCACAGTGTTTGTTGTGGGGGAGGAAGGGAAAGGAGATTGTTAGCTGCTTTGAGACTCCTTAGGGTCATGATAAAGCGGGATATCAAATCCAAACTCCTCTTCTTCTTCTTCCATATGTGGAGGCGGAATGCAGCTAGTGTTGTATCTGGTGGCCACTGACAGCCTTATCCTCCATTAATTTGTCTAATCCTCTTCTAAAGCCAGCCAAGTCGCTGGACCTGGACGTCTCGATTCCATCTTGTGAGAGCAAACTCAGCTATGCACAATGCGAAGAAGTACTTTCCTGGGTCTTCCAACATTCCGTTCCATGGAATAATTCCTAGTTCCAGTATTGGGGGGGGTTGGGGGGTTGGGAGAGAGAGAGAGAGAGAGAGAGAGAGAGAGAGAAATGTCTACCCCAGTAGTAGCTGGTGAGGTGGGGCACCATTACACTCCTGGCTTCGCAACATAGTGGGCTGCTGGTGCTTACCGAGGCCAAGGGGGAGTTATGCGGTGTGGGGAGCTTGGCATGGTGGCAACATCGGATTGGCTCCACTGCGCTGCTCCACACAAGCTCCCTGTGTCCTGTCCCTCATATCTCCCTCTCAATAAGCTCCAGCAACCCACTGTGTTGGGAATCTGGAAGAACAATAGTGCCCAATCTGTGCCACCTCACAGGGTACTACTGCTCTGTCCACTTTCTCCATGTCACGTATAATTTTATACACCTCTATCATGTCTCCTCTTACATGCCTTTTCTCTAAGCTGAAAAGCCTCAAACATTCTAACTGTCCCTCAGAGGGGAGTTTCTCCAGCCCCTTGATCATTTTTGTGGCCCTTTTCCTTTGGCTTAGGCCTATGCAACTTGTGAAATGGCAGAAGGGGAAGCCTCCAACCTGCTCTGGGAATGAGTCGCCAATTTGCATTTTTCTCTTTTCTTTCTTTCTTTCTTTCTTTCTTTCTTTCTTTTTTTAAAAAAAATATATCCTGCTTTTATTTATAAGCTCAAAGGGTTGTGAGGTAGGGGGGGCTTACTAAAAAGTTCACTGCGTACATAAATCACAGTCAAAACAGTCCAAATGACTAAAATTGGTTTCATACGATAAAACCAATAGCAGAATAAAATGAAGTTCAGTGTAACAGAGGGAGATAGCTAAGCCAGCTGTGTTAAAGGCTTTAGCTTCTTATCTGATGCTTAAAAGTGAGGGAGCCAAGCCAACCCCTCTGGGGAATTTACACTTCCACTCCCCAGCCACTGCAATACAAAAGTTTAGTAAATCTTTGAAGAATTACCAGGATTGGCTTCTGGTTTGAAGGCACCACTGCCAAAACACCTTCAGGTGGATCCTCTCTTACCTCCGGTGCCACTACCCTTGCTCTATCATGGCTTTACTAGATTAAGGTGGCAGACAGCAGCAACGGCTCCCAATGGAGCCACCTCTGAAATTTCACACAGGGGTTCCTAACACCCCCCCACCCCACCCCCGGTGTCGACAGTATTGAGCAAAATGGACCCAAGGGCTGACTCAGTAGAAGACAGCTTCCTATGTAGTCCTGAACTTCTTGTTTGTTAACCTGTTGCCATACTAAGCATTGCTCCATTCCTTCAAAGGGTGAGTCTGGGTGAAGACAGGTAGCCGTTTTGCAGAGTGGTAATTTGCCACTGTGTGCATGCAAACTGCTTAATAAACTGGTTGCTTGTTTACACAAGAGATGAAAAGACTCTTGCCACTCCCTTCTTCCCTAGTTTTCTCATTAAGCTAAAGAGCTTGGTCAGGTAGATGGATACCTGTAAGTCTTCCCTTGATTTGAGGAAATGCTTCTACTTGAACCAAACCCACAATTTCAGCCTGATTTTCATTTCAGGTGGAATTGGGAGTGGAGGGGCCTTCACCGAGTACAGACCTTCCACTGGAGCATCCCTGAAAACATCTAGTTTTGTGTTAAAATGTTGATCTGAAAATTGGATTGTTAACCCTGGAGCTAATCCTTAAGTATATCGAGTCCCCATCAACAGCTGTATGCCCAGGCCCAGGGAGAGAATAAATTTATTTACTGGAGCTTGGTTTGATTTCTAAACGCCACATATGTGCTCATGGTCAAACTTGGAAAACATGGAGGCAAATTAAAATGAAGAATAAGCTGCTTCTTGAGAATGCACAATAGTGGTCTTTCCTAACTCACTGCTATTATTTTGTGTTTTCCAAGTTGATTTACTGAAGAATTCTCTGAGGTGGTTTACTCTGAGGTGGTTTACATTGTTATGTACTGTAAAATAGGTTTAGTATTTTACCCCTCAGTGACCCATTTTTTGCCAGTCATATCAAATTTGATTATTTATGTGTGTACCATTTTGTAACAGAAAAATAAAACAACAGTGGTTTTTCCTGTGAAATACAGGAAGGTACATTATAGACTATAGGTCCAGCTAGCACAGTATTTTTGACACAAGAGTTTGTGAGGAATGCTAAGCCAAACTATGGCTAAGTGTGGATGCATAGGCGTAACCAAGGGGGACAGGGGGGCAGCTACCCTCCCTACATCAAGTAAAACAATAGAAATACTTAACTGTCCAATCACGTCAGTTCTGCCCCCCCAACAAGGTCCTCCCCCCCCCAAAAAAATCCTGGCTACGCTCATGTGTGAATGCACAGTAAAATATGTCTGCTTCACACCTACTCTGAAGGCTTAGCCTTATGTGTGAACCCGGGTTTGTGGTTTGTCTCGCCCCAGACAAACCACAAGATGCCCCCAAGGTTCCCATTGTCTGGGGAAGACAAACCACAAGCCCAGATTCACATGTAACATTGGCCAAAACATGGCTCAGCTCCAGGTAGAACAGAAACAGAAGGATGAAGAATGAAGCAAATGCAATTTTTACCATGCGTACCGACCTGCACACAGGCACATTCATACACACAGCCATGGTTTAGCTGGGTGCTATTTATTTATTTATTTATTTATTTAAAACATTTATAAACCACACTTTTGTATAAAACATATAAAGGCTGTGTACAGGGGGGGAAACAATGGCATTACAATGAAAATGTCAAATCTGTAAGATGTGTGAATCAGGCCAGTAGAGGTTTTAGACTGTTTTAAATGGGAGTCTTAGCTGACCTAGGAGATGCTCTAGCACTAAGATAGGATCTTTGCAGCTGGGGATCTGTAGTTGAGTGCCTCCCACATACCTTGGGATAGAGGGCTTCCACAGCAGATATTTAAGTACTATGTATATGTTTGTGTGTGTGTGCGCGCGCCTATATACACACCTTTAATTTATGCTCTGTATGTGTGTGGTTTTGTACTCACAGTGCCTTTCTCTTTCAACAGGTTTTTCGTGTGTGATAGTTAATTATGCTTCTCAGATTTTAGAATCATTTTAAAATGTTGTGTTCTCAAGTTACAGCAATGGTTTTAAATTGCAGTTGTTTATACTGTGTTACACAGTGTAGTCCTAGTTCTGTGGGGCATACACTCAAGCAAGTGTGAGATTGCCATATTATCCTGAATTTTATGTCCATTGCAGTGTAAGATGCCCTGTTACGAATGTAGAAAAATGTGATAAGCTACATACCCTACAACCAGGGTTTCCCACTTGAGTGCTTTGTTTTTGTCCATTGTTTTCTCCTTAGATTAGATTGTGCTTCTTAACATGTACCTTTAATGATAAACTTGCAAAATATCTTCTTCTTTTTTTAAAAAAAGGTGGCACGCCTCCTCCAAGACACTACCAGCAACCCTCCTTTTTTGTGTAAGTACCATTATGAAAAACAATGTAAAAACATAGACCAATGTATTATTATGTAACAGTTCCTCAAAATGAGTTATTTATTTAAATAACTATAATCGTGCACGTGTTTCCGCATTTCCTCAGCTGCATTTGTGCGCATTTTGCGTTTCTTGAAATATATTGTAAGCAGCATTTGGGGGGGGCAGGGAAGGTGTAATAATAGTAATAATAGCTTTAAAAATAAAATAAAATAAAATCCACGCTTCCTTGACACCCCCTCCTGCCCTGTGCGTGTCTACTCAGAAACCAAGCCTTACTCCCAAGTAAGCGGGAACAAAGACTAAAGTCTGCAAGCCTACATCCACTTACTCGAGAGCAATGCCCTTTGAATCGAGTTGAACTTGCTTCCGAGTAGGCACGCCCAGAATTGCTCCTTGAGCGGCCTCCCCCAAAAAGTTGCAGGGGGCTGATGGATCATGGGGAAGCGGAGTGGGGGACTTAGTCAAACGCGCAAAAAACGCAGAGAGAGAGAAAGAAAGTAGTGAGGAGGGAGAGAGAGAAAAAGAGCGAGACATCTCTGGAATGGGGCCTCCCTCTATGGCTCTGAGCTCTGCTGCCTGCGCCTGGCTGGAAATGAAACACACCAAAGGAGCCGCCGCCGCCGCCGCCGCTCCTTTTATTTTTTTGGAGACTCCAAAAGGATCCTTCTTCCCTTTCATGTGCCGCCCCGCTCCAATCGGAATCCAGAGGCTGCCTGCAAGTGGTCTAATCTCAATGAGGTGTCAATCATGTTCCCCGGTGGGTGAAGTAAGGTCTTTTGTAACCGCCTCTGTTACAAGCGAGACTTGAGTCGAGAGGGAGAGGAGAGGAGAGGAGAGGAGAGAGACGCAGCCAGGGCGCTGAGTTCAGAGCTGCTTTTGCTGCTGCTGCTGCTGCAAGTGTGCATCTATCTATCTATCTATAGATCTGCTCCTCTGTGCATTCCCCCCCCCGCCCATATCTCTTTTCCATCGTTGCGTTAATCAAGGAAAGGGGACGGTCGGAGCACATGGATTTCTAAAAAGAAGAAGGGAAAGGGACCCTCTTGGAATTGAGAGATTGTTGTTGTTGTTGTTGTTGTTGAAGAGAGCCAACAAGCAGGCAGTGATGCCCCCAGCTCAGCCCTGAAGCCCACTCCCGATGCCCTCGGGTTTGCAGATCCATGCCGAGAGATGGGGAAACTTCACTCAAAACATGGTAAGTTCTTTTGCATGGTTTACAGGGCGCGGAGAGGGAAAGGAGCCTAGATCTTGGTTAGAATTCACTAGATATCTGTGTATATGCAAGACTCTGCTCTAACCATCTTCTCGTTTTTATTTTCTCTCCCCCCCCCCCGGATTTTCCTAGCTGCTGTTTGTAAACCTCGAGAAAGCCCAGAAGGTATGTTGTTTTTATAATTATTATTATTCCTGTTCATAAGAACTTCCATCATTTTTTGCTTTCTCCCCCCCCCCCAACTTTTTGCCCCTGTAAAAAAAAAAGAAAGGAAAGGGAGAAAAAGTTTGTGCTTTGGTGATTTTGGGGTGGATGCTCAGAGAAGTTCTCTGCTCTCAGGAGTGGTTCTGTTCTCTGAGTCTTTTGCTCCCTGTTCCCCTTCCCCTTCTCTCTCGTTTTGTTGTGGTTGGGGCAGGTAGTTTGGGGGCAAGTAAAGAAGTATGTGGGGGGCTTGAATGAATCCCTTCCAGGGTGGCGACTATGCCTAACTTGAGGCTTTCCTTTTCCTTCTCCAGGTGATAGTTTTGCTGTGAATGCCTCGCTGGCTCGGAAAGGGCTGGAGGACTGGATGGTGAAGCAGAAATACTCTGGCAGTGGAAGCAGCAGCGGAGGCAGCAGCCTAGGACTTCAGCAAGGCTGCCAGCACCGGGCTCTTTGCAGGCTGTCTGGTTCCAGGGTGAGTTCCCGATTCCTCCTTCCACCCAGCTTGCCTTCCCTCCTCTCTCTCCTTACCATCAAGGCAGAAACTAGCTTGAACCTCTTCCAGACTAGGCTCCCTTTGAGTTGGAGCTCTTTGGGATGAAAACTTATCTTCCCCCTCCGCCCCCGCTCCACTTTCAGTTATTGCGCCTTTGGGAGTAGCCTTCTGAGTTGATTCGGTGCGCCCACCCTTTGAAGGAGTTGCAAGTTTGCAGGGCAGAGGCAGGCTCTGGAAAGGCGGGTGCCTTGCTTCCCTGTGTTGAAAAGAACATGGCTCTTCAGGAATGGGATGGGCAGATGGACAATCTCTCTCTCTCTCTCTCTCTCTCTCTCTCTCTCTCCCCCCCTCTCCAGTGTCCATTGTAGAAGTCCTCAGAAACCAAAACAGATGAGGAGAGTCCTGGTGTGTGTGAGAGATAGGAATAGAGAGGTGGCTTCATTTATTGTCTGGCATTTTGTCATTTTGCTTCCCAAAGCCAACTTTTTCAGTGCCCGCAACCCTGCTAGAGTTCTTAGCGGGATGGGATACTTTCTCATAAAGCTTTGCTGAGTGTCCCAATTTGTTCATTTGGTTGCTTAAACATCTGCAATCTATCTTTCCCTTTTAAAAAAAATGCTGTTTATATGCTTTTCACGCTGCTTTGCCTTGAGAGTGCTCTTAGATATGAGGGGATTGTGTTGCTTCAGACATGCACACTTAAATGGGCAGGAACCCCATTGAACGCAGTTGGGATTACTCATAAGTAAGCCTGCTTCCTTGCTCAGCCAGATTGGTACTTGCTGGTTGCAAATGTACTTTTAAGAGTTTTTGTTTTGTTATTTAAAAAAGCTTTTCCTGAACATCTGGATTTTGCTTTTTCTTCTCTTTCAAAACAGACCTGGGGAAGAGCCTTTCATAGTTAGCAGGGGGGAGGTCTTAGAAAGTTGTGTGTGTGCATGTTTGTGTGTTTATTGGTCTCTAAGGTAAACCTGTGGATTGAAGCTTCCCAGATCTAATGTTGCTTTCCCCCCATTGTGTCAAAACTTAGTTCTGTCTTAAGATTGTACTCTGATAATAAAAAATAAAAGAAGGGTTTCATTTGTTTGTTTGTTTTATATTGCTGGAATGATCTGGGCAACACTGTAAAAAGTCTTTGGTAAAACAGATATTGGTCCTGGTCCCGAACAGATAATGACTCTGTGACAATCTATATGATGATTTATTTCTTACACTTTAATGTCTGTCCTTATACTTTGTTTGCACTCTGGAGCTGTTGGCATTTGCACACTGCTGAGTCATTAGAAAAGATAGCACTTTGTTTGCACCCTGCTGATTGGATGAGATTATTTTACCTTGTGTTTCTGGTTGAA